CTTGCTTATTGCAATGTACATATTTTCGTTTAGGTCTTTTCGCTATATGCAGCTTTGGCAATATTTTTCAATTTTTTCCTACAAATAACCTGTTTTCTCGCTATATTCATTGTTGACGTACGACGCGAAGAGGTAGTTTTGTTCCACCTATCATGATAACGTCTTCCGTCATAGTCCCCGCCTACTTCTCTCCTTCAGTCCGCTCCGCAGCTGTCACATCGAAATGTTGCTGGCAACCATGCAGCGCTATTTGTTATCATTTCCAGTATTATTGAGGCTTGCGAATTTTTAGAGTGGCAGGCCAGAAGTGTGTTGCTGTCGTCGGATAACAACCGTAGAAAGCGTTAACAGTGACGGATATATGTTATATTTATTCAATAATTACTATGCACCATTTTTATTGTCGAAGTACGTTCGAATTATTGTGGTGAGGATAACTTAACATTGAAATTTTCTGACAATGAATTTTATGCATGTTTTAAGATAACAGTCACACTGAAATATTATTGCTGTCAAATATCCATAGCTGGGTCAGTTGTAACCAAGTTTTTGCAAACGAAGGAAACGCGAAACATTTTCCATTTTAAAGCAGTTTAACATTTTTATTCCAATTTTAGATATTTTTATTTGCTGGCTGGCTCAGTAGCTCGTTTGCAGTGATGGGCAACATCCCTCTTGGCTTTGATCAGAAGATGGCTGTTCCCGAGGTGCTATTTCATTTCTTTGTTTGATGATAATAGACAGAACATAGTGTTTCACCAACTCTTCTACTCATTTTTATGCTTAGATTCCTGGAAGTGGAATGCTAGGATCGAGACATGAGGCTCGTAATGTGTCTTATAGGCTATTTAGTATTGGATTGACAAATTTTTCTTTTTTTTTTTTGATTCTTCATGCTTTCGTATCTTTCTCTACTTTGTCTTGTTTCGTTGCTCATTCTTCTTCCATCTATTTCAAGAGTCAAAATTCATGATTAATTCGATCCCGTAACAATGCAAGACATTACCAAAGGTAATTGAACTAATGATAAGTCTTATCTTGACGGACTCTCCTTCTGATTTCGTCAGGTATGTCAGGAATTTTGAAATCAACTATTGAAGTAATTCATTCATTTTCCTGTTGAATAAAAGAAAGAATGGAAAGAATGACTATCACATAAAAAGAAGTTTCACTGCTTTTCCTTGGAATGCATATGGAAGGTTTAGATCTCAAGTAAGCCCACAAACAGGATGGGAAGAAGTGTAGACCATTTCACTCATTTTCATTCGTTAAAATTATTCCTTTATAGGACTCTTATGTTTTTTCCTACTTCAAATCGATGGATCGATTCCTCTCAGTCGGTCCACCAGTTTATTTTGTCATCAAAGGTGATGTGGAATTCAGTGACTCTTATGAACATAATAAAATTTGCTCCGGTGCCGGTTGTGCCACTGATTCATTGGGTGCTCAAATTGCCCATGCTGCACGATGGTCAAATAGGTGCAATAATTTGTGTATTCAGTTTGTAGATCAGTCATTAGTGAAGGCTTTTAAAATAATTCTTTCTAGTGGTGTTGACTGAAAGTCGGTACGAGCTAAAATAGCAAGTCTCATCTTTTACATAATATACCTGTTCCAAAACAATTCATAGGTCATTTTTTGCATTGACAAGAACAGTTGGTAGGACAGGAGCTTAGGATTGAGTGATAGATTTCAGCACTTAGAGTGATTATTGGTTAAAACATTAGCAACATTTAAAATCTGGTAGTTTCACTGATTTAGGCTGTTGGCTGAATATTTTTGCTGTTTTAGGTCGTACATAGCTTATCCGGCAATGAACTGGCTCGATGATTACTTTGACTGGTTACAACCGTTCGGTAATCCACCATGTTGTCGGATGTTCCCCAATGGAACATTTTGCTCCTCCACCGGTAACATTCCATTATTCGCAGTCTCCATCATTCACAATTACCACGAGTACATTTATTTTAACGTTTTACCGCTGCTACAAAATACTTCAGGCAATCTGTACACAACGATAGTTTCCTATTAAAATTTGAATTTCAGACTTCAAATTAATACAATTTCAGAGAATTCAGAAAGCTGCATTCCTTGCAATGTGGAATTTTTTGATGGCAGGCCTCGTTCAGATCTGTTTTACGACCATCTTACACATTTCTTTTCGAATAATCCAAGTACCAAATGTGCTAAAGGGTAATTTTCTGCGTTTACTTTTTAAGCAACACAAAAATACATATGAAAAGGTCTTCATCAAGTGTCACAGATTTGTCCTGATGGATCGCTGAAAATCTCAGAAAAATGGGAAACTAAAATATGTCTATGCGGTTCTGTCTTCTCGTATATTTCTAGAACTACTGCATAAACTTTTTCACAGTTTTTTTTCTTTTCGAAATCTATGTTTTGTTTACAGAGGTCATGCAGCATATGGTTCGGCCGTTAAGTTGTCTAGGCGTGGCCGAATCTTATCATCGCATTTCATGACTTATCATACGGTTTTGAAAACTTCATCAGACTACATAAATGCCATGAATAGTGCTCGTCGTATTGCTGCGAATATAACAGCTATGTTGAACAAAGACAGAGATGGCCGATGTTCGATAGAAGTATTTCCGTACAGGTCATTTTGCAGCCCACAAGTTATCTAGCAGAGGAAACCATACTTACTGATTAGGAATTCACTGATAAAAAAGATTTGTGGCCTTGCCAGTTGCAATCTTGGAAATTAAGGAAGGGAAAGTGCTGCTATGACTATGGAAGTTGAGTTATTTGAGTAGATAAATTGTTAATGTACTCCTTTTCTACTTCATAGCATCTGATTACTTCACTTTCAAAAACTAAAGTTGCAAGTGATACGGTTGATTTTTTATGAGCAATTCAGTGAATTTAAATATAAAATCTTGCATTATTGAGAGTAGGTAAATCAAAGATGCTTTGGTAACTTTGTAATTTGTGCTAAATTTTATTTTGCAGTGTATTTTATGTTTTCTATGAACAGTATATGACAATAGTGATGGATGCGTGTATCCAGCTGATACTCTCTCTAGTAGCCATATTTGCGGTCACAACAGTGCTTCTCGGCCTCGATCCATGGTCAGCATTCATCATTGATCTTACTATAAGTTGTGTTCTGTTCAACCTAATTGGTCTCATGTATTGGTGGAATATTGATTTCAATGCTATTTCTGTTGTCAACCTTGTCATGGTGAGCTTTTTAGCAGTTTTTCATTGTTTCAAAGTTTTCACTGTTTATCAATGACTCTTAAAACTTTCAGTTTTTATTAAAATTTTCAAATATGCCTTTTACAGACGGTGGGAATATCGGTGGAATTCTGTTCACATATTGTTCGATCATTTGCGCTAAGCGTTCATCGAGATCGCTTGATGCGTGCACGACATTCTCTCGCAAGCATGGGATCATCAGTCTGTTCCTTTGCTAAGATTTAGAACTGATTTTGAAAATATTGTATAAATTACTTTAGAATCGAAAAATGACTATTCATCATTTGCAGGTTCTTTCCGGTATAACACTCACAAAATTTGGTGGGATATTGGTACTCGCATTTGCACATTCCCAAATTTTCAAAGTATTTTATTTCCGTATGTTTCTTGGCATTGTACTTATTGGAGCGGCACACGGTCTCATATTTTTACCCGTTTTACTCAGTTATATCGGTGAGCAATAATTTACCTCCTTTTGAAATGATCATAACCATCGTAAAGAGCATGGAAGATGCTGCATCAAGGTGAAGAGTGTTGGTGCTTCGAAGGCACTCAGCCTTGATATATTAGCGAAGTTGGATTTTTGAACGACTAACAATCTTCGTTACTTTGCTAAACTCTACTTAAATTAATCGAACTTGAAAAATTATAGGACCACCGATGAATAAGCGCAAGCTGATCATGAAGACGAGGTCGGAGAGCTGCTGTATAAATGACTGCGGCAGTGCAGTAACGAAAACGTGTCTCACGAAACACTGTGATCCTTCACCACTTACGGATGTTTTTTAGATAAACTCACCCTTAATTTCCTCGCTAGTGCACTCCTTTTAATCTCTTTCTTTTCCATGCTTATTCAGACTTCTGTTCCCGAATAGTAATACTGTACTTCCTCTCAAATGTTCCTGCAGAAGGAGAACTGAAGTATTGCTGATTGCTAATTTTTTTGTTCTCAATTGCCGTGTCTATTTCATACAACCAAGAGCTTAATTTACAACAACAACTTTTTGTTAATTTAGTAGTTCATTTTATCTAGTCTGTTTCATCTTGAGTGACGTGCCTCATATCACTTTTAAATTATTCTTTTTTTTTTCTTTTGATTTCTTTTGTTCAAAGGAGTGCACATTTTCTATAATTGTGTGTTTCTGATGTGATTGAAGGCATTTCAGTTGAAGTTTTATCTTTTCATTCTATGCACACTAAAAACATTTTTAAAGGTAAGTGAATTGTACTGAAAATGCATTCCGAAAAATATATTAGCTCCATATTATATATGAAACAAAACAGGAGGCCGTTCCTTTTCTTTGGACTCCATGCAAAGAGAACTGATAATTTCATCACAACGATAGTAATTATCACCGGAAATTGTTAATTAGAAAGCTCTCCAAAATGACTGTATCCGTTAGAAATCTCCAAGTAGTTTCGATAAGAAAAAATGCTCGGCAACATTCGAATATCCAGTGAAGTCGAAGGGAAGGATTTGCTGAGATGTTCATTGGCTAAAGCCAAGAAATGTCATGGCTAAGTACTGTCCCACGGATCTAATTGTAAGGAACTCTTCCCAGTGAGCAGGTGCGTGAGTCAGTGGTGTCACTATGCCCATTCCTTCTGATGATGCTGATCTGTTAGGTCATCTGAAGCTACTGCTATCTAAAACATCGGAGTGCTGCACATAAAATATTAAGAGAGGAGTGGACAAAACAAGTGGAAATGTCAGCGCCAATGCTTCAAGAGTTACACTCATCATTCGCTCAACTGTCGAAGCGACCATTTATTCAATGAGAATGAGATGGGATTTGACCTTCAAAGACAAGAATGTCGAGAGTGCGTTATGGGTGGATGACAGCAGTGAGCGGGCGGTTTGTGCTGTGCACTGATTAGTTCTTCACAAGAAGACAATACGAAACGGAGGGAACGTATCGCCGTTCCCATTTAAGGAATTCCCCTCCTACCAACTACTTTCTTATCGTCTCTGAATCCAAATAATTCATATGATGACAAATTTAGGTGTGTATGTATGTTGGTTAACGTGTATCTTCCCGTCCACTATTAAACTTACTGAAATATGTCCTCCAAGACATCTAGCAACTCTCAGCTATTTACCAATCTACCTTCCAGTTTGCTCTTTATAATAACTCAAGTGTTTTAGTTTATAAAAATTTTGAAGATGAATTTTTCATAACTTGACTGTAATATGTCCTTCTTGAAATTTACTTCGTAAATAGGAATTATTGGTGTCATATGGAAACACATTTTGCAAATATTTTTTAGTGTTAAAGCATTGTTTAGAGTCAATATAAAGGTGAAACAGGACATATTTTCACTGCAGGTGAAATAATCACGCTACGTGCCGTATTGATGTCTAGTTCAAAGAGAAAGAGCATATCTTTTTTGCAGTAATTTTTCAGAAGAGCTTATCAGCAAAACAAAGAGCTGATTTTAAGTAATTTAAAATCCTACTGGATTCACTGATAAATGCATTAATCTAAACCGATGGCTCAGTTCAGTAAGGTATGGCATCTGCTCTTTACCTGTATTAGTGGTAAAGCAGTGATATGAGAACTTTCTACTTAACAGTAATTAATACTGTATAAACCCGCATCGTTCATTGAGCTTCTTGCAGGGTGACTTTTTATGGCTCGAACCGACCGGAAAAAGTCGACTCGTTTGCGCAGTTGGAGCACGAGTTCTAGAAGTTGAGGATAGCAGATTTAGAGTGATTGATGATTTCTCTCAGGTAGTTATGTCCTGTCTCTATCAACAGAATTATCACTCCGTTAGTGTTTAATTTAATACCAAAGAAAGACAAGTTTCATGAGTGTCTCTTTCTGATCATCCAAAAAGAACAAATGAGTGAGAACAAATGAATGATCATCTCTGAGCCTCTCCTCTCTTCTACTTTAGCTATCATTGTTGCAACTGAATTATATTAAAAATTTCTACCAGATCCTATCGGAGAGTCATTCTGAGCCGTCCGGTTGATTCAATGGTTGATAACTTTCAGGAACAATGGCTGCCAATAGACCGTCCTTATCGTATGATGCATGCAACTTCAGTGCAAGGTGTCGAAGATATGATCAGTTTGAGCGATTTGCACAAGGCCGCATTGCTTCGAAATCTATTCGTGCGTTACAACAATAAACTCATCTACGTAAGTTAATATTAAGGAATGAAATATCAGTTAAATGTTTCGATATGTTAATGAGCAGCACATTATCACTATTAACATACCGGTAATACTCAATAACTTCTCGGAAAACATGGGAGGGAAGGGACGACTCTGAATTAGAATTTCAACCATCTAACCAGAAGGCGCTAAACGCAAAACTATTGAGAAGCAAGGATTACATGACATATGAAAATCAAGAGTAATTCGTTGGCATTTACCTACCTCAAGATGTCTTACAAACTTTTAGACCTGAACAGAGTCTTAGGCCTTTCATCTAAAAGTCTGATAGACTGTGCATACCTGCGTTCAACCATAACAAGAAACCTTAGTAGAACAAGACGTTACGCCAAGACCATGCAAAAATAAAAATTCAAGAATTGCCAAATGATAAAAAATGTTATATCAAGAATTTGCACAAACATGGGTCATTTATTTGATGATAAGCCATTGAAACCACTCCTGGCATGGATGAGCGATAGGAATAAGAATTGGAAGGGCTGAACGAAAAAGGTATAGAAAATAAAAGTAAAAATTTAATTGTTTTGATTAAAAAAGTGCAGAATAGTATGAAGAGTGGGATATCGATGAAGCTGAAAAAGGATTTGATAGATACTACCAAACAGGGAAGGAAAAGACAATGGGGAGCTTATTGATACCGAAGAGGTCGGGGAACACGGGATGTGCTCGACAAGTGCGGAAAAAATATTAAAGTTAAAGTATTTGTGCGGATGAATAAATGACTCGTTTAACAGGACAGATAGAACTTTTCGAAATTGTACTATTCTTGTCTAAAAATATATTTTAAAATGTAAAATCTATCTGCAATAATTGACCCATTTATTTCGAGACTGATTTTACAGACGTATGTCGGTTCCGTGCTAATAGCCGTAAATCCCAATACTCCTTTGCCCATTTATTCAATAGAGCAAATTCGATTATATCGTAATCGACGAATTGGTGAGCTCCCGCCCCACATCTTCGCAATCGCCAGCTCTGCCTACTGCAATATGAAATCAAGTAATCGAGATCAGTGTGTCTTTATTAGGTTAGTTTAAGTTAAACTTTCTTTCTGCCTGTTTTTCAACTTAAAAGTGAGTGTGGCTTTGAATTCAAAAGAAATTTAAATGAACTGTATTACCAATTTGAATGCTTATATTTTAATTTCATTTGAATTGAATTTGCTAATCAAGCACTATTTCACTGAGTGTTTAACAGTTTAAATTAGTAGCAGCGGAAGGTACAACACATCAACAATATTTGAAGTAAGAATTTACTTCAAACTCTGGAATGAAATTTATTTTATTAACCACTGCTCATTTCAGTGGCGAATCAGGTTCAGGCAAAACAGAATCTGCAAAATTAGTTATTCAGTTTCTAGCAACCATATCTGGCCAACATTCCTGGATTGAGCAGCAAGTTTTGGAAGCAAATCCAATCATAGAAGGTTTATAAACAATTCATTAATAAATAAAGATGATCGACATTTAGTCAGTTTAACCTAGCAACTAATGTGTCAATTATGTGTGTACAAAACACTTACCAGCAGAATTCAGCTTGACCAGTAGATTTCATACCGGTGGAGTTTGCAGAAAGGTTCTTTTTTCTTTATTCCTTATCAGATCCGAAAAGTGAAGTTGTCTGCTTATCTATTCCTGTGTTCCAAATGTTTGTGACGGTTACTTAATTTTCTTTTTAGTGAGAAATAGTTAAGCTACTTCAACCTTATGCAAGTCCGAGGTCTCCTTGCTTTTGGGACAACTTCATACGCTTACTGAATTTATTCTTTGACAAAAATGATTTATAGCGTTTGGAAATGCGAAAACGACGCGGAACGATAATTCGTCACGTTTTGGACGTAATATCGAACTGTACTTCTCGAGTAACGGCGCAATTGAAGGTGCGAGATTTGAGCATTATTTACTGGAAAAGTCGCGAGTCGTTTCACAAGCATCAGATGAACGAAATTACCATATATTTTATTGTCTCCTCGCCGGTTTAACTGCATCGGAGAAGCAAGAACTGTTCCTAAGTGACGCGAGCGATTACTACTACCTGAATCAGGTTGGCTCATTCTTTTCTGATTTCATTTGTCATTTCGATAATTCCTGGCTCATAAAGTGCAATTGTCTTCCTCATATCAGTGACTGTTGAAGGGTGATGCTGTGGGAGTGGAAGGCCGGAATGATTCAGCCGATCTGGTCGAGATCCGTTCTTCCATGAAAGTTCTGATGTTTAAAGACTCAGAAATTTGGTCCATTTTCAAAATTCTTGCTGCAATACTGCATGCTGGCAACATCAAATATATCGGTAAGTGTAAACTGACTGTTAACAAAATAGTCATTGGCGACTGTGAAGTGCCTAAGTTAATATTATTTTTAGTCAAATCAGTGGACAACATGGAATCAGTGGAAATCAAAGATACATTTGAAATCGAAAGAGTTGCGAAACTTCTTTCGGTATGCTTTTCATATGTGTGTGGCATAAGTAGTAATTTACCTTTTCTTAATTAAAACTGAAACCACTTCCTAAAATGAATCAGATGAATTCATGCAAATCAAAGAATCTATTTGACAATAATAAAGTTGAGCTACAGCACATCAAACAGATCAATAGTTCATTTCAGAGTCTAATCATTTAAAGAAATAACTACAAAAAATTGATTCATTTTGAAGATAAATAAAGAGTTGTTGGTGAACGCGTTGATTAGTCGAAGTGTGATGATAGGAGTAGAACGCATCGTATCATATCTGACTGCTGAAGAAACTGTCAATGTACGTGACATCTTCGTCAAAGCAGTCTATCATCGGCTTTTCCTTCACATTTTGGAAAAGATCAATGAGACTATAAATGGGTAATTCAGTTTTCAATTCACTGGAATTTAGTTTCATTCCGCTTTACTTAATTAGCATTCATCTCCATAGATTCTTAATAGCTAAATTTTTATTATCTAACAGCTGAAATATACTGAACTGCTGAACAGAGAATGAGCTACTAGGATTTTTTAAGAGTCCGGAAAGAAGGGTCACAGAATAATACTATTTCAATTCTTGATATCTTTGGTTTCGAGAATTTCTCTCGCAACGGTTTTGAGCAGTTCTGCATAAATTATACGAACGAAACACTGCATCAGTTATTCATCAATTTAATGTTCAAAATGGAACAGAGGTTGGTATGTTATCAGTAGTTGGTGAAATGATGATTGAAGTAAAAAGTAAGTATCGAAAGTGAAAAGTTTAAGACAGGCTTGAATGCGATCCCGTTAGAACCTATTTTTTGCAAAATGTTCATATTTGCGCATTTGGATACTGCCACTCTTATTGTTCAAACCCTTTTGAAGGAAAGCGTGCGAAATAGGCAGGCTTTTTTCTTACATTAACGCCTGCTCTATAAAATACAGTCCTATCCACTGGTTAGCCATGTTACTTCTTAGGCCATCTTCCACAAAATCACTATTCTTTTTTCAGTGATTGGCAGAGATCTGAATATTAACTTCATGCGTAACTTTTGGTGAATATTAGATGTATCAAAATTTGTTTCTTCACAAATTGAACCCGTAGAGAGTAAATTTTCAGTACTTACGATAAGGAACAAATAAATTGGGGACCAATCGAAATTGTGGACAATAAGGAAGTTTTGAATTTGATCGCACTGGGACCAATGAACATTATGGCAATTATGGATGAAGAAAGTATTCTTCCAAAGGTTTGCATGCTAATTAGCGATGAAGAATTGGTGTGAGTTAGCATCTCAGTGATAAACAGGTTCTCCCTTCTGAGTAACAAGGACTGCTTTCAGGGTACTGATCAAGGCATGCTAGCAAAGTTGCATGTGCACCATGGAAGCAACGAAGGATTGTATTTTAAGCCTCGATCTGATTTAGACAGATCATTTGGCATAGCTCATTATGCTGGCACTGTTTTCTATCATTCCAAAGGTTTTTCTTTGTATTCCACTCTTTTCTTACTCACTGTGGTAAAAAGTATGACGATGGAATGTTACACTATTAGCATTATAATGTGTTATTGTAGAGGGCAGTACCCGAAACGTGTTACACGTACTAACATTGCTGTTTCCGTTGCACTGCAAGTTATGATGTATTGATGACAATGTTGCAATTACTTCTCTCGTTACATTGCAAACTAATTTGAAGCTATGCGTCTTTCAGTCAGTCTAATAGTTGAAAAAATTCCGTCACATGTCCGTTTCAGGCTTTATTGAGAAAAATCGCGACAAGTTTTCTTCTAATTTGCTCGAGCTTCTGCATGCGAGTGAATTTCGACTCCTCAAACTGCTCTTTGACGATGTCTGCAACTACGATGATATGTCAATGATGCGAAACAAGGATCCAACAGTCGCTAGCCACTTTAGGAAATTGCTGGAGAATTTAGTTGCGAGTTTGGAGCATAAAGAACCTTTCTTCATTAATTGCATTGTACCAAATGCGATCAGACGCCCTCTGGTAAATTTTTAATTTTTTATAGTTAATTTTTTTTTTAAATTTTAGTTAATTTTTTACTAATTGAAGAAAAAAAAAATCAAAGTTAACTAACTCATCCATTCACTTTCTGGGCAAGAATTTTAATTTTTTACTAATTGAAGAAATCAAAGTTAACTGACTCATCCATTCACTTTCTGGGCAAGAATTTTCGAATAGATGATTTTCTAGGTTCTCTTCCATCGTTAGCTCTGTAATCACGCAAAATTGTCTTTCTCTGTTCCGGATTTTCCTAAGAAAATTTTCCTAACGTTTTTCTGCCTCCTTCAACTTGCTTCAACTAATACAGCGGTACTTTCATCGTTAACGGCTACCTTATTTATCTAACAATGGTCCATAGCATGCCGGAAAAGTTATATACATATGTGTTTTAGATCTTCTAAACTTAATTATTTCGTCATGTCTTTCAGAAGAGACAGCGTTATTTGAAGTCTGTGATTTCTGAAAAAGTTATATGAATTACATTCTGTTTTTTCATAAGATATATGTCGAACCGTTGAACTTGTCAAGATTTCTTGGCCTCTTCATTCATTGTTATACAGTAACTATTAGGATTCACTGACATGAGTGATTCGAAATTTCTTGTGACAAATAGATTTGGAGGAGACTAAACTAGGGTGTCTGAGGGCATAATAAATCGTTCCTTAACTCCTTCTACTTTCATTGTCACCCAAGAATAACTCTTGACCTCAATTTTCAACTTTTGCAGTATTTCCATCTAATTGAAAAACTGCCAGTCGTCTCTACGACCTACATCCAATTAGTTTCTGTAATGCTAGAAATTTTTCTAAAGTAAAACACTCTACGTTCCCTCGTGTAAATTTGTAGCAAGTTATTCAATTTTCTTTTTACACAATAGTGCTTTTCATAACCGTCTAATAGTTATGAAAAGCACGGTTATGCAAATAGAAGAGAGCCTGAAAATTAGTAAAAGCTACTCAAGTTTTTCGACAGCAAGCAAACGACGAATGTACCTTTGGATAAACTTAACTAAAGCTAATCTTTTCTTCCCAAACCAAAGGACTGTAATTCAAGTTCATGGAACGTGAAATCGTTTACAAGCAAATGAGTTATATGAGTCTACTGGAAATGGTAAGGATTCGGAAATCAGGCTATCCCATTCGATATCAGTATGAATGCTTTGTGGAACGCTACCGCTTACTCGTCAATGGTATCGGTAAGGTTTTTGTCTCGCTGAATCATCCAAATTCTGAAAATTTGAATTTTGCATTTTTGTTTTGATGACCTAAAATTTCATGGCTTGCATCACTTGCAGTAGTAAAAATTCAACCTCATGAAATTTAAAACTAAAATTATGTTTTCGAAATAATTCAGAACCAATCTTTTAAGTACTGAATTGCAATTGCAACGAAAGCAATATTCAGGCCCACCGCATACGATAAATTGTCGTATGGCATCACAACGAATTTGTGATATTACTTTGGGACCGAAAGCTGATATTAGGCTTGGAAAAACGATGATTTTTTTGAAGGAGGACCAGCATTTGCTACTACAACAAGTAGTGGATTTGTTGTAAAGCACCAAACTATAACTTAAACTGCCTAAAATGAAAAGAAGTTCCATTAACTTTCTGAAATTAACCATAATGATCATTTTGATTTGTTAAGAAGATAATTCAAACTGAAAAATCTATTCACTTATTATTCTTGAAAAATATGAGTGGAATTCAGCTCTGATAATATATGATTCAGGAACAAGAACGTATGTTGACACTGCGAGTGACAATAATTCAGAAAACCGTTCGTGGGTGGATTCATCGAACACAATTTAAGCAGATGAAAGCTTCCGCTATCATCATCGAAAAGTATTGGCGATGTTACATACAACGTCAACGATACCATCAGGTAATACCCCTGCGACTCGAAGTTCATCAATTTGATTAGATTTGAATGAATTTACAATCGTAGCTTTTTTCGTCTTATTAAAAACAAACTTTTAGCCAAAAAGTTGAAATCTGGAATTTTGTAAGATAGCAAAATCTGAGGCGGTTGGTGACTGCAAAATTTCACCTTTTTAAGGGAAGATGTATTAGGAAAAGATAAAGATGATAAAGTATCATAAAAAGTCGGTTGGTTGATCTTTATGATATTCTCTTTATTGATAACTGATAAGGAATGAAAATAGACCTAAAGACATGACAGATGTTGGAAAACTAGTTGTTAAGGAAAAATGGCAACAAGCAGTATAAAGCGCTAAGTTGTAATAATGAAGAAAGGTTTCAGAATATTAGCAGAAGTGAAAATAAAACAATATTTATCCACGTTTTACGTGTTACTGCAACCTGAACTTATGATCTCAGTAAAAACTTAAACGGGTCTTGGCGGCTTTTTGTTACTGTTGGGTTAGGCTGCAATAATTGTATCTTAGCCATGTAAGTCAAGATCCAGAAATTTCACAGTTATACTCTTGAAATACTTCCAAAGCTAATTACTGTTGAGTGGATTCGTTCCTGGAAGTTAACGTCTATTTCTGTGACAATGGAGCTTCTTCCCTTTTATCTTTAGGAAATTTTAAGACCAAATAATGTTGTTGTATCAGAGATAATCGCGTTGTATCAGTTCAGAGTTTGAGAAGTTTTTGGTGTTCAGTAACCCAGCTCTGACTGATGAAGTAATTAGAGAGCGAGCATAATTTGCGGAACAATGTGATGTGAATATCTATTAGACAGGTAAACTAAGAAGAGAATTAAATTGAGCAAAATTTCAGATACAATTAGGATTTGCAAGACTTCAAGCGATCTTTCGTTCACGGCAAATTGTCCTGCACCACAAGCTGTTTCGAGCTATCATAACGAAGTTTCAGGTTTCTTACTAAAAAAAGACTTGAAAATTTTATGCTTCGTCCGTGAGTTTATTTTCAAATGGTTTTTGAGATATGCACGACCACACTTCATCAAATAAGCGTGGAAGACATGCCACTTTTGTAAATATTCTTATGTCTTTTCATCAGCAAATCATCACAACTGGTACATTCAACTGTGATTAACTAAAGAGAAGCAAAATAGCAAAACCTAATGAACTATTTTCATGCTCGTTGCCGTGGAGCGGTGGTACGAAATACACTTCGGCGCAAAATCGAGCACGGCCAACGGTATCCTGCAATGATGGTGTCAGAGGTTGATGTCCTGAGTAGCAATGCTAGTCTCACTTCAGTCTCTGTCAACGAGGATGACTGTGATACTGCTCTGGTGGCCTTATATTTATCTGGAATGCTTATCGAATTATTGAAGACCAATGAAAATTTGTGGCATATTTTTGTCATTTTCAGGTGGAGTGCTTATTCGGTCATTCATCGCCTAACAGTATCTCTGATTGTGATATTTTTCAAACTGAAAAGTGGCAGCGACAAAATGAAATGTAACAATTCAAACTCCAATTTAGAAATTCGAATCAAAAATTTTGTACTGAGCTTAAAATTTGACAAATAAATTGAAGCTCGACAAATAAATTTGAGGTTCTAGGAAACAATTGGAAATTTTTTTATCTTGATAAAGTAAACTTAAAATTTCAAACTGAGTCCAATACTTCCAGTTATCGGTCGACAACCCATAATGAGAAAGCAGTAGCAAGAGTAGCAAGCAATGACAACCTGATTGCTTTCCAGTTTGAAAAATTTGCAGCAGCATATTTTCAAATACAGAACAATGCTCATTACATGCGAAAGCCACTTCGCACTGCACTGCTATCACATGATTCCGATTTGGATCGTGCTGTAGGTCACCACCATTCCGGTTGACTGCCTCATTTATCTAGAAATTCACTCGTTCATTTAAGCTAAGTCATCTGCTGTTCATTGTCATTGCTTATTGTTTTTTGCTCAACTCGAATTTATAGGCAGCATTAGCAATTTGGTTGGTGATACAGCGTTTTATGGATGATACAGTGGAACCAAGAATCTCACCGCCTCCGCAGAATTTCAACAACGTATGCTCATTAAATTTATTTAAAACATGATGATGCGGAAGTGGAATATTGAAATTAATTCACTACCTCATCTATCATTTGGAAGTATCTGTCCTGTACTCCGTTAGTGTATTAGCTCGACGTAATTGCGCGTATCACTCACTCTCTATAGTAAACAAGACGATGATTTCAAGTGGACACTGTCTCTGATCATTTCGTGGATAACACTTTTTCCCTTTAAAACTCGTACGGATCAAATTCTTTTAGTCAAAGATTTAAATATCTCTAATTGAAGGTCAAACATACATCTGTGATAAGCAAGCTACACATGATGATAAGTGGAAAAGACGTGTTCAAAAGAACAAGCCAGCGTGAAAGTGACTATGAACAGGTAAGCTGCGTGGGACTGACTGGTGGAACGTTTATATTACCTTGGGAAGAATTATGATGAGACGAGAGTGGTCCCTCAACAGAAACACTGCCATCCTTCTTTCCAGCCATTCAACTCGACACAACACCTTTTTTCAACCGCGGAGCTGGCTTTTCCGCAGCAGAATGCTCTCCCGACACACACCGGTGCGCCACGCGGCGAAAGAGGAATACAAACGAGAAATGTCACCGGACACGGTGGTTACCAGCAGTATTACAGCACATTTTTGAGTGAGGCTGTGCTGTCTAACCAAGACAAATTGCAATTCATCGTCGGACATGGCATTCTACGATCAGATATGAGGTGAGAATTCGAATGTGATAAAGGCGTCAACATTTTTTAAATTTAAACATTGTATTGTTTTTCGTAAGAATATTTGATAAATTTCTTCACATTTTCGAATTTTTTGGAAAATTAATAGGAGGCTACAAAAAGATGATTAAGCTGATAAATTCCAAATAAACTATTTCAAACGATCATCTTACAGAGACGAAATATACTGCCAAATATGCAAGCAGTTGACGAGAAATCCGTCAGAAAGTTCGTGCGCCCGTGGTTGGATACTGTTATCGTTGTGTTTAGGTTGCTTCACTCCAACGGACCGTTTCTTGCCTTATTTGCAATGCTTCATACGACAAAGCTGTCCTGCTGGACGTTTTGCGGAATATATAGAAAGCAAATTAAAGCGGACATTATCAAACGGAACACGTAATTATCCTCCCAACTCCGTAGAGATACAGGTTATTTTTTGATTTTTGATACGTGTACTGAGGTGATTCATCCAACTCTAGCTTTACATAACTACTAACGTGAATTAATTATAATCGATAAGAGTGCAATCGCAAATTTTTAAAAAATCAAAACTCGTGATTTTGATAGCTATTGTGAAATGAAACCAAGTTTTAGAACAACTTTTTAATCCTAAATAATTCAAAGCATTGAAAAATTTACCGCTAAGTTTGCAGTCTTCCATTTCAAAAATTTTCTCTTAAAGATTTTCAGATTACTTGGAATTGTCTTATACCTCATTAAGATAAAACTTACAAAAGGGACTTTCAGGTCATTAATAAACGATCTGACAAGTTCCCTTTGTATTAATGCATTTAAAGCTCGTACGATTAAAGATTGATCAGTGTCCTGGACTTTAAATGCTTAATTTTCATGTTAAGGAATTCACTTATTTGTTGCTTCCAGGCATCAAAAATGAGAAAGCCGGTATCAATTCACATTACATTCATGGATGGTACTATGATAACTGTTTGTGCAGACTCAGCGACAACATCCCGAGAGATCTGTGATGAACTTGCAGAGAGCATTTCACTCAAGGACTCGTTTGGATTTTCTCTTTATATTGCGTACTTCGATAAGGTTGGCTCATGCTTTTCATCTTTCTATATTATTTTTTTCATTTGAAAGAAGTAATAAACGAAAAATTGGCTTACCAAAATTTAGAAATCCATAATTTTCATAATTTGCTTTCTTACTTTTGTGAATGCTGCTGAATCCGACAAGTGATTACTACTTCATTCAATGGCTTATATTTCACTTTAGAAATAATATGTTAGGTCACTTATGCTTTACTTTTCTCATTATTTTATCATTATGTTACATCTAATATTGTCACTAATTCAAATTCAGCTTATTTCCAATGAATAATTGTCTCTGACTTATTTTTTGTTCTAGCAAGGATAAAGAGAAGGGACGGTAGCAACTTTCCACTAAAAATAATGTTTTTTTTAAAAAAATCCATTCGATTTTTTACAACTAAACAGAACATTAAAAGTATGTAATAGGCAAAATGCGTTATAGGTAGTATCGCTCGGTTGCGGAATGGATCACATCATGGATGCAGTAAGTCAGTGCGAACAGTACGCAACGGAAACAGCTAAGGAAATTGTAAATCCATTATGGCGTTTCTTCTACAGGAAAGAAATTTTCAGTCCGTGGCATGATCCAAGGTAACATTCAAAGTAGTTATGCTGCTATCGCTTCAGTTATCTCCATTGATGGCACTAATCGTAGTAGCTAATAGACGACCTCTAGATGATAGACAATTGACCTCTACAATTTCTCAAGCAAAGTGGAGCGTATATCTTCTCATACTTATAATCCGTGTTGCCTTTACCATTTTATCACTTTCAATTCTGCAAATGTATTGCTAAATTGCTAATGCTATAGATGAATTTTTTCAATTTTGAAATTTCTGAATTCTTTTTGAATCTTTTTGATTTTTTGAATTCTGCATCGAAATATACATAGAAATAATCAGAAATAACTGGAAAAATTGAAAGAAACGTTTTACATTTTTTAGCAGCGATTCCATAAGCACCAATTTAATTTATCATCAGATCATCCGAGGTGTCAAGTATGGCGAATATCGCACTACTAAGGTGAGTTTTCATTCCATTTTTGGTAAGTAATAACTACTGATTAGATTGATTACGAAAGCGACAACACTCTGAAACATGTCATGATCGGATCCAGTTACTACCTTACGCATTCGGCTCCAAAATATTAAAGGATAGAATGGGAGTCCAAGATGGAATTGCTATTTCTGACAAAGTTGCATACTTTTGCTAGAAGAGTTCCTTCATAATTAATGCCTCTTTTCACAAACAAGGAAGAAGAATTGGCAGTACTTGCTGCCCAGCAGTACTACATTCATCACGAGGATGCTGCGATAAGTATTGATAAGCTGGAAAACAGTTTGGTGATGTACCTTCCGGAGGACGACGTTCAGGATACCAACGAGAACAGCTGCAAGAAGTGGTTGCACCTCGTACTTCATGCCTTCAGGAAGGTATCTTCGTGTTGTTTACCTAGCAATGTCCTTCTGCTGACACTTAGTTACACTGGTGTCGAACACGGTTGCACTCAATGATTTGCCTCCAGTTGAAAGGTAATAGCGGTCTCATTGCTAGCTAATGCTACATTAGCTTAACCAAAGGGATTATCTGGCACCAGTCATAGTGAAATGTTCAACGTGTAAGAGATAATGAGATATCTTTGAAATGAAAAATGAAATTTCTTGTAGAAATTTCAACAGAACCGTCCAACAGCTGAGCAAGTGAAGGCAGATGTGGTTACATTCGCCAAACAGAAATGGCCACTGCTTTTTTCCAGATATTTTGAAGTGTTTAGTTATGCCAACTCTTCTTTGCCCAACAGTCAGGTAACACTATTGTTTGCGTAAGTTAGCACTAGTGGTTTGGATTCAGTGTTTAATAAAATTAATGTTGAAATATTAAAATGTTCAAAAGTTGCTCAGTTGCTCGTAGCGGTAAATTGGGAAGGCGTTGTTGTGGTCGATGCTCAGGACAACGTTGTTCTACAGCTTCCTTATCCACAAATTTCACGAATTGTATCTATGACGTAAGTGAAATCAAGTTTTCAAAATGTTTGGTTAGCTGAAGCCCTTTAGACATGAAAAGGGATTAGATCGGATTGGACTGATAATGCTATCGATGTACAAAGACAATGCATCGCTCCTCTTACTTCTCATTCTTCTTACTCGATCCAAAGTTAATAATCAAATAATCAAGCAAGAAGGCAAAGTTAAGTTTAAAACTACTCATCATCCTCAATTTCGGAACGCTTTTCTCCCCCTTCCATTATTTGTCGTTTCGTTCATCATGATATATACTCTCGTCAAGCTATATCTACATCAAACTGTTTTGGGTATTCACTTACTCAAACAAGCAAGATACAGGCTTTCTTCTTTTAGCATCAAAATATAAATTGTTGTCTTGGTAGTTTTTAGCCATTGATGGAATAAAATCTAAAATGCTTTAGAAATAACAGAAGTATCGAAATGCTTATGATTGAAACGGTCAGTGGCGACGAGCACTGCTTCCAGTCTCCTAATACGAATGATATTAAGCAACTTGTTGAATTTTTCTTGAATGGATTAAAAAATAAATCAAAATATCTTTTGGCTCTTCACGATCATTTCGCCAACGAAGGCAATTGTTAGATATTTATAATTTCAGTTAATGATTTAAGCTCTAGTGAGGCTCCAGTGTATTCTCTGAACTACACAAACTTTAATGTCTTTATTGATCGCTGAAGAGAATGCAATGAGCATGGGAAGCACTCACAAATTGTAATGCTTGTACCTTTTTCAGGTGAACAGGAATGGAGCATCTGTTTGAGTTTCAAAAGGGGCGATTTGTTGTTCCTGAGCGACGGCTACTGTGGGGCGTCGCTTCGCAGCAGTCAATTTGTTAGGGGAGAAAATATGAGAACCGGTGGTCGAGGCATGATACCTGCCAGCTTGGTTCATGTCCTTCCGACCATTTGCAAACCATCTGCGGAAGCAACGGTCAGTTCTAATTTGTACTAATATCGACTTTGTAATGGTGAGGGCTGTTTCAGTTTCATTGAAAAATTTTTCCACTAATGCATCAGTTAACATCTGCAATCTTTCTGGCTTAACAGAAGCTTATATTTGCGCTCAAGCTTACATTCATGCCTGTAATATGGTGCGATTAGGGAGTTGTAATATGCTTTTTCATTGTAATAAAGAGAAAACTGAAAGCATAGTGTACGTTTTAATTCTGAAAATGATGAGCTTTATCAGAAGCACAAAATCATGTGTCTATAGGTGAAATTTACTTTAACGTAGTGAGAATGATGATAACTCATTAAATTTTCATGCAGGATCTACTGTCACGTTCTCAAAAACTCGACTGTCCTATGAATAATCGTGAAATGTTGCTCACACGCCGTTTCATAGTTAATCACGAACACACGTTAGAACGTTTTGCTCATGACAATTTCAGGTAATATTTTCTTTTCCCATGTACTCATTTTTAAATAAACACTCAAACTGTATTTTCCTTCATTTAATTTGCTACATGGATAGCAAAATATCACAGGAAACGTCAAATATATCTAATGTAGCATATCTGGAAAGGAACCCACAAAAAGTGACCTCTCTGTCACCTCATAGTGAAATAATGTGAAATAAGTGTGCAGAAAAAAATGAAATAAAATGAAGTCTTGCAGAGCATCGCCGCGAGCACCACAAGGCTTAAGTGAAAGTTTCTATGAGCACTATGTGCCATATAATCTATGGTCTTACAGTCGAGAGCCAATAAAGATGCCTTTGCTAAAGGTTTGGGTGTTTTCATACCTTTTGTGACTTTTCTGATTCGTAAATCTTGCTAAATTCCAGCACCTATCTTCTAGGACAGTAGAGCTTCTTGGCTGTCCATGATGTGGATCGGATCACTTAATAAGATAGAAATGTCATTGATCTGTGTCAACTTTTCCTAGCAGATCGCAATGTTAGATATTTTTCAGAAGCTGCAAGGGAAAAGAGAGCCATCGCAAGCAGCAATTAAAGGTTATTTAGCAGTCTTAAAATATATGGGAGATTATCCGTGCCGGCGCATTTCAGCCATCACTGAACTTACCGATGAAGTTTTCAAAGGAGCGTTTAAATACGTTCGTTTATCCTTTCCTTCTTTTGAAACTAAAGGATTTTTTGAAGCTTTCCAACAGTCAGCAGTTCAGTGCTGACTTATAATTTTTCAGGAAATCATTCGAGACGAGTTGTATTGTCAGTTGATGAAACAGTTAACGTGGAATTACAATCCGGTGAGCATAGAACACGGATGGGAGCTAATGTGGTTGTGCACCGGAATATTTCCTCCCAGTCAGTCACTCCGCAATGAAGTGGAATTATTTTTCCGCACTAGACAACATCCTTTGGCATTACACTGTCTCATTAGACTTCGACGAATCCATCGGTACGATTCGGCAACTTCAACCAATATCTATTTTAAGATAAGAAAGGATGATGAAATAGTTTCTGTTCTTTTTTCAATTTCCTTTCACTCATTTCCAAGAATTCAGGACTGGACGTCGGAAATTTCCGCCTCATGATGTGGAAGTGGAAGCAGTACGACAGCGAACTATGCAAATATTCCACAAAGCTTTCTTTCCTGACAATTCCGCCGAGATTATAGAAGTGGATTCGACAACGAAAGCTCGGGACTTCTGTCATCGAATTGCAACACGTCTGGGACTCAACTCCGTGGATGGATTTGCTCTGTTTGTGAAAGTCAATAGCAAAGGTGATGAAATGATTGGTACAATTTGCAAAGAGAACTTTGATTAATTATGCATTCTTCAGTGATCTCAGTACCGGATGATGAATTTTTCTTTGACTTCCTACGCCAGCTGTTCGAGTGGTTGCGTCCCAAAAACGGAACAGTATTTCAGTTTTCGTATCAACTTTTCTTCATGAAAAAGCTATGGATTAACACAGTACCCGGAGAAGATCGTATTGCTGACCTGATTTTCCACTATCCTCAGGTTCCTATATCTTCTTGGATGATGTATGCCACAAATCCTCATATTTCACTTGCCATTACTCTGATACTTTTTTTTTCAAGACAAATAATTGTTCTAAATAGTTCATCTATAGAACATTCAAAATCTGAAGAAAAGGGAGCAGAGGAGATAAATTAACGAAATAATCTCATCTGAGAGTTCGTTCATTTTCATCCAAAATTGGTCTTAAATCGATACTTTTCTATATCCCTGCTTAAACTTACGAGTGAATAGCTAATTATGTTCAGGAATTACCAAAGTATTTACGTGGTTATCACTCAGTCACTCGACAGCAAGCAGTGGAATTAGCAGCTATAGTACTTCGCGCCCGAACTCGTGACGATAAAGCAGCACCGTTGTCGCAGTTGGCGCAAATCATCTCTGATATTGTCCCGCGTGACATGATTAAGACATATAGTGGTACTGACTGGAAAAAGGTACACCGCCTTTTTGTATTAAAACAATTTTCAGTTCGAAAGATTGCAGATTAAACTCTCTTCGTGTAGTCTACACTTTGCATTTGCCATTAGTCTCTAATATAAGAGACATTGTGAATTATTTTCATCGCTTTGATCATTTACGATCGTTGTTGCTGCTGCTATTATTATTCTTTTTAGTCTAATTACTAGGATCAGTTCTTTTTCAAGTTCATAACCAATGCGTACGTTGAACGTTATGAAAACATGCCGTCAAGTGAAGCCAAAATACGTTTCCTGAAGACGATCGCTGAATGGCCTACCTTCAGTTCTACGTTCTTCGAGGTGTGTGCTTGAATTATGACCCATACATGGAAGTAGTAATTTCTTAAGATTCAGAAAAAGTAACCAAGATTGATTAGATGTTTCACCTTAGCTCTTGAAGCGGCGATTTGCACTTTTATCCATATAGTGTAATAGGATGAGATCCGGATTTAGTTTTTAAATGAAAGTCAGCATTTTGAAATGAGTGTGAAAATCGTTTAGGTAAAGCAATCATCGGATTCAGCAATTCCGGACAAATTGCTGGTAGCGATCAATAAGACAGGTGTTCATTTATACAACCCATTAACCAAACAACGCATCGTCCATTATCCATTCACAATATTAAGCAACTGGAATAGTGGCAATACATATTTCCATATGACTATCGGAAGTTTAATGAAGGGCGGTCGAGGTACTCGTCTGCTTCTGGAAACATCGTTGGTAAGTCTTCTTGATCCATCCAAACTACGAAGACCTTAAAACAAATTCCAGTGTCGTATATCAGATTAACTTTAAGCGCGACTGAAAGTGGAGTGGCAGCGAATTTTTTTTTTGAAATTGTGAAACTGTCAAGACATGGCAATATGCTTTCAGGGCTACAAAATGGATGACTTGCTAACCTCTTATATCAAGCTGTTCCTCAACAGCAATCGATCTTTTGCCGGAATGAGTGAAAGCGAAGTTCCGTGATTATTATGTTGCATAGTTTTTATATGTGCCGATGACTGATACTGCTAATGAAGTAAATAATTGATTAGGACTGCTTTTTCACTTCTCAGTGAGTTTTTTTCTGTTAAGAAAAATTTGAAAGGCACTGGGATTCTTTACATACTACACTGCTCTTCAGCGGAATATCCAGGGACGTGTACTGTAGGGGTCTTCCAGCCAGCTGTTTTCTTTCTCTTCAATCTATTAATCAGTTATTGTGATATTTCACAACTCAGTGAATAGTTTTCTAATTTTATGAACTTAAACCACTATTATGCGATAGCTCCCGAGAGGGATTGAGTGAATGACTTCATGAGAGCTTAAAATGACTCAAAAGCAATTTCATTTTCAAGCATTATTTCTTCCAATCGTCTCCTTCTTTCTTTCTTCCCAAACCACGGCAGTTTTAATTTTGAATTGACTTTTTAACGGTTCTTTATCAGGCAAACAAGAAGTAAAAAATGCCAGTCCAGCTCTTCAAGATGTACTGTATTTCTCTAATTAAATCCACTTGAGGTAATTAAATTTCGCACCAGTTAACTGCAATTCTACTACAACTTATGTTGAATATCTGACTTGAAATTAGCAATTGAAGACAGATGACATATGTATTTGACGGTCTGCAATACAGTAAAAATGTTCATGCAGCAAATTTTAAAAGTATAAATTATTTTTCATTAATTCACGCATAAATCTGGGTAAAAATGGATACTAGATTAAACTGCTAACATAGCAAGGCCGAAAAAAAAAGGAAAAAGTAATATTTATAAAGCTGAGGCAGAAATTGTAAATTGGTCTGATTGCATGACACAAGCAAGAACTTCATAAAATGCCAACTTTACATCATATGTGCGATGAAACTTCAAGAAAGAAGCCAAGCTGGCTCAGCATGTCCAATATTTGATTCCAATGCAGGAAGAAATCATGAAATTCGAAACATTACAAACAATTATGCCTGCTTTATTCATCAACAATCACTATTCATTTCGACCACGTGAGCATTTCGAATCAAATTGGAGCAATGTTTTTTTGATACTTCTTGTTCGTATACTTTTGTTTCAAAAGAATGTCGAAACATGGACAACATCATTGGTTGGCTTCGGTGACACACGTTCCGTTCCTTAACATCCGAAAATAATTAATAAAGCGATTTCTAAAGATTATCTGCCATCGAAAACAGACAGCTGAAAGAGAAAAAGAACGATTTAGATGAAATGCATGCAACATGCATAATGAATAAAGGCAAGCACTTATAGCATGTTTTCATAAGTGCTGTACTATTCTGGTCTTGTAGTGACCGACCTGAACCTGGAGTGGACAACTGAAATCTTCTGAAATACAAAGAGGCGGTGATTTTTTGAGGTCTGCAGAAACGGGCGAAAAAAGGAAATCTCGCTTTCAGGGCACTTTTGCAACTAATCATATGGGATGACCATACAGATGACCATTTTGCTCACATTCCATTTTAAAATGCCCTTAATTTGAAAGTGATCAACTAACTATTAGCATGCCTAATATTTTCGAAGTAACTGCTCTAATTTTAACACTCCAAAAATTTCCGTCCCTTCCGCAAAACCTACATTTGAACGTCTAATTAATGACATTACACATTACTGACATTTTTCGGAGCTCGACAATATTTAAATTAGGATCTTCAAGTAAACGAAGAATCCATTTCCGGATTCACAAGGAAAACAGCACTTTACTGGACAGACTAAAATGATGCGGCATTCTTCGCTCATTTTTAATAACAAAATCTTTTACCGATTACCATCGAAAGCAAATGTATGAGTCTGTGACATGCAGCTAAACGAGCTCTGATCTTTGAAGAATGAAGGATGCAGTGTATTGCACATGCTGCTCTAATAGGCAAATCCTGCCATCATCTGGCATTCCGCAATGCCGTAGAGGTTATCGGTAGACGAAACCAAATGTAGAAGTAGCGCTGCACTATGGATTCTATTCAGTCCACGCTCTATCTTGAGCTGCAAAATTTTGAAGTGCATCAATAAAGCATGCAAATAAGGTGGTTCCTTATTTATTTATGATCTTAACAATCCTTAAATGCTGTTTTAGCTGATTTTAAGCAATCATAAAAATGCTTCCTCTATACGAAACGTTTTACGTGAACTTTTAATTTATCTCTTTATGCGTAACTTCAGAAATTTACAATAGGCTTGCATGCAGCGTAACCGCCTTCAAATCATTGCTCGCAGCATACATTCTAACTTTGCTTTAAATTGTTCCTTTCAGGATGCATCTTCATAAGAAGCGAGCTGAGAATGACAGAAGTGATATTAGTCTTTTAGAAAACTTTTCATATTATCTGCCTCGACATCTGACGACAAACCTACAATGAAATAAACGGGAAATATCATCGCATGACGTTATTTCAAAATCTGAGCCAATGCGCTGAAAGCCACCTTTTGATGGACGAGGATTTGAACAAAATCTGAAAAAGTAAATAGCAGTGGCTTTCATTGTAATATCATCACGCCTCAAATGAAGTTAAGAACACTTGCATCACTGATCATCAAACGGTCACTTTAACAACAAGCTACTTAAGGTCCATATTACCTCATTCGGGACCGATGACCATAAGGATCAGAGCATTATGACCATTCAGACCATGATGTCCATCTTCCGTTAATTGGTGTTCCAATGCAGGCTGTTCTTAATATACAAGATCGCTGATCGAATGATGAACCAATACAGTATGAACCTCTGAATTTAGCTGATACAGATTTTGATTGTAAGAATAATTGCATGAAACTGACTGGAAGGAGTAATCGAAATACAGAACTTGTTGGAATGTACTGGATTAGAACACATTTTGCTCCGGATCTGATGACCAGCAATGCCACAACTGCTTGAACAAAAGCTCCAATCACTCTGGTTGGACCAATCGCCACTTTCGGACACTAAAGCTAAGGTAGAAGTAGAGGTCTGATGTCAAGTACTCTCTACTCTTTGATGCCATGTTTTAATTCAATGGAATACGTACGACATATAAACGGTGTACACGTCCTCTCTTCAAAATAGTACCCACGCAAAAACCTTGCAACGATGGTTTCACAATTCGGCAAAATCATCGTATGAACTGATTCATTGAAAAACAGCCACAACGTGACCACTCGCTCCATTCAGGTTACTGCAAAGCATTTCTTAAGAGTAAAAGTAAAATATCTGCTATGTGATGAACGTTGCAAAAAGAATTTGATGAAAATGTGTAAAGGAGAAATTGTCTACTAACGAGCTGATGCCGTTCGTTACGGTGAGCCAAGGAATTGTTGCTGGTCTTCTGATATTGTGTACCGTCGCCGATCATCGCACTATTTATAATCAAATCTTTTTCTAACGAGCATTTCTCATTAACTGCATCAGAAAATGAAGAGCTTATAACTGGATAAAGCATCCATTCAGAACAGAAGAAGGAAAGCTGCCTTGCACTTCCTGAATCTGGCTTGCAGACTTTCATCACAAGTAGTAGACCATGAGCTGCACTTACTGTTGCCTTTTCTGTGTCAATGAACAAAATGCATGCGGAATTAACGAATCCAAAGCCTAAGCAAATGTCAACAGCCTTCAGACAAACTCAAATTTGTAGAAAATGATATGAAGACCAAGTAGTAATTTTCCCCAATTTCAACATCAATGGACCGAACTTCTGCACTGCACTATCAGTGCTTCTACTTGTTTTTTCCACTTCTATCAATTCATTTTGTTATGAGAGATTATTACTTCAAAGGACGCTTGCAAAGAATGGCGGAAAACGTCTAAGATTGTCTTTCTTGATAGCAAATCTCAAATTACATCTTTGCTCTCCAAAACTTCCCACGTATTCAATATCTTTAAAAACCTTGCATTCCCGTACTATCAGCAATCAGATGACTGAAATAATTCGTATATTTATTTTAAAGGGATCTTCTGAATACTTCCATACTTTAGAAATCTGGAAAAGTTGAGCTTTTAAAATAAAGTTGATTATCAAAATAAGACAAAATTTACTGGAAAGAGCACTATAATTACCAAAGCCAAATTGTAAAGTTTTTGGGCATTATTTTAGAACCTATAACATAGGGTCTAAACATACCTTTTCTTGTCGTACTCACGACATTTTGAACTTTTTATTACTCTTTATTAGGACAATAAACAAATTTAATTACAATTTTACTTAAAGTGACTACTTCTCAATAGAATTACTTCAGTTCAAGAAAACTGAATCCTCTGCCATGACTCCAATCTCTTTTAGAAAAAGTGGCTTATCAAATAACTAGGATAATTCACCAGAAGTACCACAGGAATTGCCGTTGCATAGTTGAATATCTAAAATTGGTTCTCCTTTCGTGCAGTTAATACCACTTTGACAAATACCCTTCCTGAAAGAAAAGATTTAGGTAATATATGAAAAGAGCTAAAGAAAACAATAGGGAAACAGTGAAAGAAGGGAAGAATCGGATCTATTAGGAATACAGTTGTTCAGGAGCATCACAATCCATTTAAATTCACAATTCCGTAACCTTATGCGAGTACCTGCACCACAGGTACGCGAACAGGGTTGCCACTCTTGCCACTGCTCCCATATAGCCAGCACTTTTAATTCCGAATTAATTACTTCAACGATACGATCTGATGTATTAACTTTACGACGCGATTTCTTGTCACTCGTAAAGGTCGATATTTCACACGAAATGTCACAAGTTCCTATTTCTTTCGCTCCGCCTAAAGCTACGAACGTCGTCATGTAGTAACACATTAAAAAGTGACTTAAGTGATTGTAGCAGTCAATCAAGATGTCTTATCATCAAATTAGACTGTACCAGGACATTCGTGTCCTTCAGCATCAGCTTGTATGAGACCTATTCGGCAATGTCGTTCACGATGTCGTACTTCTTTACGCTCACACGTCAAACAATCACTCCAGTCACTCCATGAAGTCCATTCCGGACACGGACGTAAAACACAGCGTCGCTGGTCAATTACTGAATCCAATTTTGGACAATTTCCTGCAAAGGATATCGCTTTACATCTACTCAACGGTAGGTTAACTCATGCAATAAGCAAAGACGAATTCCAGTGTATTCAGTTCAACAAAAGATTCTCTTCATTATATCAACACGGCGATACGGCAATCCATCAGATTATTAAAGTGATATCAAACAGAGAAACTAGCTATGGATGTCTTGATTTGAATGCTTCATCACCATTCATCACGTACGTATTCGATTCAAAACAACGAACCAGCAATACATTTCCGGACTCTGATTTGTATACCTTCACCACAGGAAGCAGAACAGGGCAGCCAATCAGACCAATCACTCCACAGTTGCAACAGTGTTCCACCATTATTACAGTCCTAGAATTTTGCAAAGTATTGAAATTTGCTGAACTAATTAAGTAAAATGGCGAAGCTTTGGTATAGTGAATTGACTTTCATTTCTACGATTAAGATTCAATTAATTAGTCATAGCGTCAAAAATTCGCTGTGCGACCAATTAAGTAAACCAACTTTTTCATTACAAGTCCTAGCCTGCTTTTGTCCACTAGCACAGAGCGATCCATCACACAAACGCTCACGTAACTGGAAACCCAGTCCGCATGATGCCGAGCAAGGCAACCAGTCACCCCATATTTCCAGCAGACATTTCTAAAACACGTTCGTTACTGAAATGAAGACTTAGGGATTGGACGAAGGGAAGTACTGTAGATAAAAGAGAACTGTAAGAAAGACATGTCTAGCATCCAAATCACGTATTTCTTCATGATGTGTATAAAGTGAGAATGTGTTCAGTTAACTCTAATTGCAGTCAGAGGACGCGTGAAGAGTGAGTGCAAAGAAGAATTGCCATAATGTGTCACAACAACTATTCCAACCTTAGTTTCACATGGCTCAATTTGGATACCTTCGCCTTCACATCCATTCATCTGACTACACTGGCGCTTCCTGCTCCTTTGTCCGCTACCACAGGTCGTGCTACATGCCGACCATAATTCCCACTCGTGCCAAGCGACACAGCTAACCTGAAACTGTTGCGCTTGAGCTAAAGTAGATAGTAGGTGACATACTGACAGGGAATGTCACCTTGCTGCACTGGCGTCCTGGTTTAACAGCACTGGGACAGTTTTGCCCTTTCATGCAAATTTGCGTTCTGTCTTGCATCTTGTCGCCACAGCTCGCATTGCATCTTTTTTGCTTCTCGGACTCCCGACAGGACGATATTTTGGGAAAACATGATCGGGAATCCATTGATTCACCTATACATTTCTGCTGCAATTTTATTATTGCTTGCAATATTTGCACTATTCAAAAAACAAAGAAGTCCGATTCTCTTAGATAAACGAATCCTGATCAGGTTAGGTTGCTCTCTTCAACCTCGTCCTTATATTCCTGTTTCTGAAGAATTTGAACTTGAAACAAAAGTGCTAACCGACTGACAGATTCGTTTCCGCTGTTGTTTTCCGCCAGAATCACAAAAAATTGAGCATTCGGACCACTCGCTCCATCCAGTCCATTCCTCACTGTCACTACCGAGAATTGCAGGACAGTCTTTCCTGCTTTGCACTACAGCTTTGTTATTACACATCAGTGTCTGCAACTAAGTTCTGCAGTTACGGAGAGGATGCTTATTCGCATTAAAGAAGCTGTGCAGTCTAGAACAGAACAATTTCAATGACTCACCAGGCACTGTCCTCCAACGCAGAATTGTCCAGCCCCGCAAGGGGAGCCATCCGGGTACTGGCCTTTGTTTCGGATTAGTTCCGAATCAGTCAAGTGACACCAGACCTTGCACGGTTGTGTACTGTCTGCGAAATAAAGAATAGAAGAGTGCGAAAATGAAAAGAAGTGATTCGGATAAATCAGTCTCTTCTTAAAAAGAAATTCAGGCAATATTTAGAGAATAACAAATTACAACAGTTTGAAACTGATATGAATAATGACTTAAATTTCCAAAAAAAAAAAGAGAAAAAACTAACGAAAAAATGTAGCACCGGTAAGTTGCCGGTCCGGCTTTTCATGGTCGTTTTTTATTGCTGTACATACCTTAGTGCCATATTCTAACAGTGTCATCGCTTTGCAACTTGAGTTTACATCGCCACAAATTAGGCCACGCACATTAGAGCCTATACATTTTCTACCACCATTATTAGGCCTGAAAAATAATTTTAAAGCAGAAGAAAAATTTATAATGATCTAATATTTCCATCTAATATTTGTGCACGATATAATCTAAAGCATTTATTGCTAAAGTCAAATATAACAACATAGTTCCAAATAAATACTGGAAACGTTGCAGGACAGAAATTTCAGATTATTAAAGGTAAACAGTTGAGTAGCTGTCTAAATTATATCTGGAAACTAACGAAGGTTTGGTGCACGTTCTCATCTGACTCTTAATTTGAATACTGCCCGTTATTTGGCACTGACTGATCGGACATCGCCTTTCCTTACCACTCCATTCAGTCCATCCACCATTCACTTTGGCTGGAGCTGTTCGTTGTGGCCACTGTTGACATTGTCCTTCAATGCAGAACTGCAATAGTCAACAATCTCTACTATATACATAAATATCATTGTTCAAAATTGATGGCTGATGTCCACTGGATCTAACTTTTGCGTTCATCCATAGATATTGATGCATAAGATTTCCTTCTACTCATTTACTGCATTTCAGTAAAATTGAAACATCAGCAATGGGAAATAATCACAGATCCACACAAAAGTTCTCGCGCTTATTAATTCGGCGATCTTATCATTTTATTAGTCACAGTTAAACAAAATAAATGCAATAGCCACCACCTTGCTACCGCCACACCAACTTCCCTCTAGTGCTGGATGAGCTGTTGATATCGTCGAACCATTATTTCCACACCATAATATGCGGCAAATGTCCTGAAATAACAGGAAATCAATTTAAAACGTTAAACTTTGAAGCCAGCAGTTCAGATAGCGTTATGTTTCAATTGTAGTGAGAATGAATGAAGGAATTCGTCTTCATCCAAAGAGCACTGTAGCTTTTGGGAAAAACAAAAGCGGTTGTAGTGCTTCGATGGCTAGAAATTATTTTAACTATAAAAGTGTAGAAAAATCGAACATCCATTTTCTTTCCCCTGGGTATTTCGACTTCAAAGCCTCTGCCCCAAAAATAAGAACACTGTTGATCAGCCGTGAAGCGCTGTCCAGGTAAACGGCTATCCTTCATATGATTATAAATTAAGAGTCCTTCTGATCCATCACGCAGGCAGTTACCATGACCACTTTCACTGCAACCAAAACAATTTATTAGCAGTTTACCAAGAATGCAGGAAACGAAGATCAAGCTACGATGACATCGACACACAAATGCAATACTGAAGTTTCGAAAACGAAATTTATGAAATAACTGAAAAGTTAATGAATTCACACTTACTCTAACTGCAGTAAGAATGCATTGAATTCACGCACTGAACATTCACTCCAAGTAGTTTTGCCAGCTCCATTCACTGCTGACATTAGACAACAACTTCGGCCGCATTGATTCTGAATCCCATCGTGGACCATACCCATGCTGAAATAAAATGAGCGTTTCTTTCCTTCAGAATCTTTGCTTTGAGATTCTGCCGATTCTTTCTACTTGAAATCCAAAACGCGTTAATGTTGAGAAATATCGTACATTACATCATGTATTTCCTAAAACTCAATTATTCCTCAATAACTTTAAACAAACTTATGCCCCATTTCATGAGCCAAGACAAATGATCGGCCAAGATGCATTCCTTCCACCAAACTGCATGCAAATATTTGATCGCACATTCGTGCGACAGGTGCAACGCCAGCAACCGAAGTCGTTGTATGATAGATGTCATACCTGTACATGTTCAGAGCTAATTTCGGTAATCGAAATTATTATTTCTAATTTTCCATTCACAAGATTCAAAATTAAATAATCTGAGAGATGTACCAGCTTGCTGCGCCACTAGTACTTCTCATTATGCTCGGGAAGACCTATCTAGCGTCGCTCGTCGCTCGCTCAGTAAACAGACAACACAATCTTTTTTCTTTTTCTTTCCAACACAAAAAGTTTTAATAATAAATTTTTGTTTTTTATAATAACTTTTACAAAACCTTTAAAATTTTATTATCCGTGATTGACAAAAAGTGACATAAATATGTTTCATACGTTAAAATCATTCACTTTCAGTGATCTTTTGCTGTTAAGATAACACAAAAGAAACAGTGTCGAACGCAGCTTATCGAAAAATATATACTAAAACGGCAGACGTCAGGATATAAGTGGATGAGATCCATCTATTCGAATATATGAGGGCTCCATGTAGCTGATTAAATGAAGGGGGTAATAGTGAATGTTGATCGTTTTTTGCTGTTTAAAGTGATAAGAAAAATATTCCATAAAGTCACATCACCCCATATACTCTTGACAAACGTCAAGGCACAAGCAAATAAGATATTCATCTTCCTCAAACATATATGAGAGTTTGCATGAGCATCCAAATAATGATAGTTCCATGCAGAGAGAATAATTGTTGAAGAGTAGAAGGACATAAGGTTGTGAAAAAAAGTAATTCTGAAGTATCTGTAGGGAAAAAGATTAATTAGGTGAGGAATGTTGCCTTTTCTAAATAAATATTTTGGTCATAACAATTTTTGATTAATATTTTTTTCTTACCTATTACTGATATAATTTGATTATTATATTACATTTATAAAGACTGCAGCTTATTCGATTAAATTTATTAGTGAACTCAACAAGTTTCATAAAGTTAAAAAACAGAGAAAATGAAAAAAAAAAAAAAAAAAAAAGAACGAAAGGACAAACCCAGTAAGGAGAATGCCGTGATCCCAGTGCTCTGGATCAGTTAGATCAGTTCCCGGATTAAGGGTAGCTTGATGGCGACAAAACAGATTCAGTAATGTCTGTGCTTGTCCATTCCGATGTGCTAACGTATCAAGTCCTGTCTAGAATGCAGCATATTTGAACGATTAAATTGCTTATTTAAATCAAAAATCAACTTAATAATTTTTGTATTCTATTTTTTTTGTATTTTTTCCATGTGTAGTTATAATTCTGTGAAAAAGACTGATTAGATTGTATAAGCATCACGGAAAAGTTTTATTTCCTTACTAATTTGAACTAGTTTGTAGCAACATTACAGCATACTTTAATAACTTTAGTAAGTTTAAAAGGCCACTTAAAGACAATTTCTTGATCTTACGACTTCAAATTTTTTTAATTTCAAGTGAAAATAAACGCTACCGGTTGTTTTTTCCACAGTTCAAATCGTACGATGACAATATCCAAGTTTGGAGTCATCGATGACTGTTGGTAAAGAACATGAACATTATTGATCAAAGCAAGAGAGAAATCCACCAAATGTTGTTCGGGATCATCAATGAATTCACGTTGAAAATGCTCATAAAGCTTGGAATCCAGAAAAAGTCCAATTTCTAAGGTTACTGGATCAAGTTGTGGGAAGATGAAAAGGGAATCGAGATTACCTTCTACAGGTATTGTATAGTTGAATGTTGGTCCTTCGGCTGTAAGTTTCCATCAACTGTTTCACTTTTCAACAAAAACTCGAAATTCGGACTTAAAAATATGAAAAAAAAGAAACACCCAGTCCAGCAGCAGTGCAAATGCTGTCATGCAAAAGCAATCATTCATTTCTTGTCGATACACTTCCAAGCCGAATCTTCTCTTTCACCCCCGACTATCAACAACATTCATGCAGTTTAACTTCAGCGCTTAAAATTGTACTTATCAAGTATTTTTCGGCTGGCTTTTGTTGACAAATTTTCTGTTAGGAAGAAAAAGTACAGGAAATCTTTCCCACCTCGATTCTGAGCTAATTTCTCGGCTTTAACCAAATTAGGAAGTAATGAACTCTGACAAAATGCGTGTTCGTACATCGCAGCCTTATCATATATCCGTTCAGAATGCGGAAAGATGATCCTCATGAGCGTAAGCGCGGCAATCAGATAAGGTCTGTTTACTAAGAATTTTTAGTCTTATAAATTAAATCTAAATAGAAAAAATATAAATGCTTTAAAATCTCCCATCATCCAACGTAGCGCGTCTGTCGCACTTACTCAAAAGTAAATGGATAACTATTTTATGAGTTCACAGAGATTGATTTACTTAGATGGTGGATGCTGATTCTGTTCAGATCGATAATATTTAGAATAATTAAAGAAGAGAAGAACAAAATGACCAGCAGTAGGAGGATGTATGCATGCATGCATGTGGTCATATTTGGTGGACTGATTTTATTCCAACAACTGATATCAGAGCAGGAAATGCCCTCAACTTTGGATTGGAAGCATTTAGCGTGAAGCTTACAAGCGGATCTGCAATAGCTGTGCCTGCAGCAGCAGTAGCCTTATTGAACATGCCAATTGCATCATCAAACGACTTACTAACGTCACAAAATTCCTTCTCGTTCGACTCATCATTGAGCTTTGGTAGCTGTCCTTCTGGCGCATCATCCAAGTTAGAAGACGGGTCCACTTCACGTTTATATATGATATGATGTTGCTTGACCTGAAATGACTCATTTAAACCTGCTTGCTCACCTAATACTTACTCGTATCGTCATACGACCGCATACCTGGTGTAGATGTCTGAGACGTTGCGGAACTGTTTGTAATAAGAGAAAATGATTGTCCATCACAATGGTACCAGTCAAATAGTCGCAATAGGATATGGCGGCTGAAACGTTATCGTGTGATAATACTTTTCCATGGAAGTGACAATCTGCTTTCAGATGTGCCGGTAATCCCTGACTTCTGGAACTTCTGCTGCCGTCACGCACCACCGAGATCTAAATTCGTCCTCGATAAAGCCATGTGCTCACTCCATTTCTTGTTTACAAAAACTTTCATTACCCCAACAATGACATCAAAGTTGACTAATCCAGAACTGCGTGATTTATAAAATACATTCATTATAAATCACGCAATTCACAGCAAAATTTATTGTTGTCCCGAAGCAATAAAATACAGAAATTCCACTTATTTTTGATTAATCCTTCAACAACCGCGAAAGAGCAAAATAAAAGGTTTATTGACGAAGACTTGAAGTAGAACACACTCTTGACTCTTGTCTTTGAATATCATTAATAACGGATAATACATTAACCATTCTGTTTATTTCAATCGGTTGAAAAACCAATCATTTTTTGCAATTCATAAAGAACTATTTGACAAAGAAGTAACTTCGCATTTTTTTTTCTTGCAGAACAATCAGTTCTGACTTTTATTCTGTAATGAAAACAACGGAAATGAAGATGAAAGAGGGCAGTCAAGCTAACAAGCGTTACGTGTCGTAGCAGTTACATTTTAAGGTAATTTACCAAATGAGGACTGAGTAGTTTGAGGTTACGCTTGAGATCGACGTGAAATTTCTGATCCCAAGCATTGAATAATAAATGCACGGTACCATCACTGAATTCCTTCCTGCTAACATCGATCAGCGCGTATTCTGGCACGTCGTTGTGATTAGATACGGCGAAAATTTGTTGCAATTCTCGTTTCGTTAAGCGATGATGAAAATTCTGCAAATGGGAAAATTTCACGCGCTTTTGATGAATGAAACTGAAAACAGTGCTCATTGCACCTTTTTACTCTAGTTTTAATGAGTAGATTCAAGAGCTAATTCATTCAAATTTGTCTCCGTTCGATCACCAATATTACTAGAAATGATGTATTAAATTAAAAATTATGCTTCTGAGTGATGCAACTCGATGATTTATTCTATCTTCGCTTTGTAAAGTAAAAAACATCTTTATATTATCCGCTTCTTACTTTCCAAAAGACTTTGGGTCATTCCCGAAGGCTCGATGAACGATGAAAGATGTCCAATGAATGAAATGGAATCCGAGAACAGATACAACCGAGATCTTTCCGAGCTTTAAATAATTAACAGTATACTTTTTGACATCTATTCAGATTTCTTTCAACCCCATCCTCTCGCAGGACTCCATTCATAAGCAATCGTTAAAGCTCTCATTTCTCAAATTCTTCCATTTCCTTTCAAGATTTATTGTCAAACATATAATTCTTCTGTTACGACTACAGAATGGATGAGGAAAGTAAGCAGCAAGCAGTTTGCAAAATGTTTGAGCATAGCATTGTGCTTACCTGAACAAAAGTGATGAGCGGAGAAAAAAATAGAAAAATGCCGATGCTACTGCATATGAAGTCGTTCATCCGTAAATGATCACTGTGTCACTTCAAAATGTCGATCAGTCGTCGTAAAGCTGATTTTGAATCATAGATTACAGGTCTTCAGGACCAAACCATAGATAAAAAACTGACTAGGCAGCAACAAGCGCCGATACTGGCACATCACTAACTGAGGATTGTGTGTGACTGTAGTCGTAGCAAATACATCCACCATTGGCTATTTCGGTTCAAATAACAAAGACTGGTTCCATCACTAGCATAAGTACGAGCAAGGGGAATACATTTGCATGATTCAGAAGGACAGGTGATTTAGAAGAGCTGCTGTGCTGTGATAGTTATCGCTTCGATAATCTCGTCACCAACATCGTCGTCGTCACCATTATCGTCACAGTCGTCATCGTCGTTACGAGCGCTCTTGTTATAATCTGACAACTTTGGATCACTTCAATTCAGGAGTTATGTAGAAGATCACACCTATCGCTGTCACTCGTAGGGTGGAGACAATTGCTCATTCAATTTCACGTTTCGTTTTTATATACTTTCCAAACACTTCTCTTCTAGTAACAGATATCTCCTACCACTTTTCTTTTCTGATGCAGAACGGAGAGACGAGAAAGGCAATGATGCACGAAGGAAATGTGCAAGTACGAATTCGCGCCTACTTTCCGTAAGGATGACTGATTGGGTCTTGCTGTCGCTTTGTAATCTTTGAACAAATATATATCAAAAGAAGAGGATGGATTTATCTATTCAATTCGCTTGCAAAGAGGCTGTACAGTCACGACATCAGCGGATAGTTTCCAAACAGAACCAATATTAGTAGCGCGTTGCTCATGCTATTTCGTGTCTTTCTAAAACTCTTTATTGATTTCATTTTTAATTTTCATTAAAATAATATCTCTTTCTAAGCCTGCTGAATTCAATTATTCTTTCTTCCTATCGTAGTTTTAAAATCAAGTTTTCTGCGTTAGACCGGATATTTAAACAATGTGTCTTTTAAAAATACAGGTTTTCGCTCTTTCGTTAAATGACCTTGATTTGAAGGCATTTGAAATAGAGTGTTTTCCTCGTTGCTCCGCTTTTGTCGAAATTTGGAAAATCGGATGGAGAAATGGGTCCAGTAATAAGGAAATATATTCAGCCTCTGAACTAACCAGCAGAAGCAAAGATATTTCTACCGGTATTTCAGGTGTCGTGAGAGGTCAAGTTTGCTTAACTAAGACAGGTTTGTCTCTTGGCCCACGTCACACTCAACAGCGCAACTGCATGCAAATTCAGCGCTGTGATGACGTAAGAAAGGTTAAATGCATCAGCAGTTTCTCTATCCTCAGGTTGCTGTTTTCATTTCTGGGTTCACGTGCTGCTGTCGCTACCACACTCTACCAAAAATACCGCATTTTTGAGGTGAAGGACCCAAATTCGGAAGGGATCAATCTTATTCTTTGAAAAGAGAATAAAAATGACTATAGCCGTGTTGCTGTAATGAGTTGAAAGAGCAGAAAGCAAGGATCAAACGATTCCTCTCACCAGGAAATTTTAGTTCATTGTTTCTTAGAAGATGGACAAACTAACAAAGGAAACTGACGAAACATCCAGAAAAAGGAATGACAAGAGTGAGTCTGGAACTAGTTGATTCATATAAGGTCAATTTCAGAAATCAGTTTAAGATTTGAAAACCTAACTCATTCTGTTAATAATAATAATAAATTGAGGAGCGTACGAAAATTTTGAATTTTTCATTAATTTTGTCATAGCAAAAAAGAATTTCGCTCAAAAAGAGACAATTTGAAATTCCTCAATTTCCTTCGCTACAAACTTTCTTATTCGAGAACTTTTCGGAGGTTGGCTGCAGTTAACAAAGTCATAGATTAAAAATGCTCTCAGAAAGAGCTCAGCACTGCTTTGAAGTGTTACTAGCAGGTCCAGTGAAGTCGTAAAAGATCAGATGACGAATGAAAAGAGGAACTAATTGTAAAGTTGAGAGGAAGACTATTTTTTTGCTTTCCTTAGAGCACTTCCTTGTAGAGACGGTACGAACTCACCTTCTCGTGAAATTTCCGTTTTTAATGTCTCAGTGATGTTTTAAAAACTCAAAACTAGTTATAATGAACATCTTGGCTCACCAAAAGGACTTATAGGTCTTTGGTTCAGAGAGATAATTAATAAGTAAAAGAAAAGTTTATGGGATTTGATTCTTACTTCAGAAGACATCGAAACTGAAATACGCTCATTGGTAAGATCAAAAGTTCTTAACTATCAAGTTTCAATAATGCTTTACACTTTGAAGCAGCAAAAACATTTTGGAAAAAGCTCATGAAATTCCCTCCATTCCTTCTTCATTGCTAAACTTGCTACTATTTGTCCAACTTTCAAACCTCAACCTAATTTTCATTCGAGCTACATAATGCCATGACTCTCCTATTGCAGGAACCGACTGTACAAAAAATTTGGTGCGCCACTGTGAGCAAAAGGAGTTTAGGTTGAAGAGCGTAAACTGTTTTGCAGGGAGTAGCATACATTACCCTGCACTGATTCCTTTCCTGGTAACCAACTAATTGGTAATCCCCTCAAGGCTTGAAATATTCGATCATTAATCAGTTATTTTGACTAAACTCTAGTAATTTGATTTACTTCAATTATTTCGCCAATCTGGCATGTGGACAAAAGCACAAAAGACCAACTAATATGGGACAGTATAAATGAGCATGAAAATATTGAGAAAAAGTCTAAAAATTACTGAATGAATTTTTAAACTGACGTGTGAACAAATTGACTTTTCGAGGATAAAAACAACAAACAAGAGCACTTTCGAAACAGGATTGAAATTGATGCTTGATTCCTTGTTATACTACTGGAGATATCTCCAAAATAGAAATGAACGGATACGCATGAAATCTTCGCACAGAACGTTTTGTTTTAACTTTCTAGTCACATCTAAAACGGATTCATAAAATTCTCGTCTCTCTCATTCGCCAATATTCCTGTTAAACACGTGTTTCGAAATTTGACGGAAAAACGTGCTTTTTATGCCGACTGGAATAACGTCATCTATTCAGCAGAAGTCCGGTTTAAACGGAAACAGACTATCTTCTATGGGAGATTAAGTGTGCATTTTTGAAAAGCTGGAATAGAACGAAGTGAGAAGCTGTTCATAGATTTCCAGATTGCATATTGTTACTTCTCACTGCATATTAACTTGCAAAAGTAACTTGACACATAAATGCAGATGACGTATTTATTTATTGCTAACAGGAATTTCAACAGCAAATTCTCCGACATTTACATCATGAAGTGTTTGAAAAGGCAAGACAGAGAGAGAAAGAGAGAAAGCAAAAGCAGGACGAAAATGCATCCCGGTTTAGTAAAATGTTATGAATTTTAGTTGCTTCATTCTATCCTATTATAAAAATGATTTTAAACCATCCTTTGTACAATCTAAAACAATATTCAGTTTTTGAATTTTGAATTTTTATTAAAGTATAATGGATTTTACTGTGACTAATCCGCCAAAAACATTTGTTACCTCCAACCTAGGCCATTCAAAGTCTGTTCAGCATCCTCAACTGTGCAACTGAAATTGTCGTTAAGATTTTAATATTTCTTTAAAGCTGAAGTTAATTTCCAAAAGAGAACTAAACATTCAGGAATATATTGCTGAAATGGGAGTAAAACGTGGTATTCAGCGAGCACTCAGAAGAATGGGTAATAATCGTCTTGTGCTATTGTAAGGTAGACAAATTCAAATAATGTCCGGCAGAAGAGGTTCATTACATTCCGCATTTCATCGATAAGAGAGCAGAAACGGTAAATAGGTCGATGACAATGGTAAGCCACCTCCTGGCACGATGGATTAGCCAGTCAAACCGTCCTCCAAGCTTCCCTGACTGCGACGATTAGTATCTATGACATAACATTTACCAATCCAAATGCGATGCAAGTCTTCTCGCCAACTCCAATAAATAAAGCTCGTATTTAAAATTGCAAAAAAAATGAGCTTTTTCAGATATTTTCTCGTATTTTGTCATCGTTTAGCAATTGCCGCCTCTATGGGATAACAACTTATCTTTTTTCTTTAACAAATGTTCATATAAATATCTTGAAACATTTTCAGGACACAGACCAGTATTTCTGGAAGAAGCAACTGTTCAGTTGTAAGCCAGTCCTCAGCTTCGAGCCTTGAGAATGAGTCAACCACATTCGCCTATAGATAATGAACAAAACTAAAAGTGAGAACTGTGATAAAGGACGTACGTCGCGTAGCTTCTTCATCTCATTTCAACTGCACTTCTCTTCTCAAAGATACCTATGTATTTTTAAAGAGTTGCGATCATTTGTCACAAATTAGCAGCCTAGCGACATGCTGACGTATAACACGGAAAGGTCCAAGACGAAAAGACAAACAGCTGCACATGGATCGTATTAACTTTCCACTGCCCCAGTTACATAATAAAGAAGTGATATTGGACTTGCATTTGTGCAAACATGAAATGCAATAGAGGAAAGTTTCATACATAAAGACAAAGCCGCTCAAAAGTAAAGAATAGAAAGAGATTGATGTAATGCTTTTTGCATCAACTTCACTTCGTCCGATAAAGCGTTTTTTCTTCAAATATGAAATTCTCCAGCGTTTTGGAACTTTTTAGCCTTTCGCTTGGACAAGATCGACAGTAGGCATCATTTGGGAAGCATAGCAAAGTTGCATGCTGCACTTTTGTTGTGACTTGCATCCAATGTGAGAAATTCGCTTTTCCGCGTGCATTTCCATTTTCATTAGTGGTAGTGTGAAGCTTCCAATGTTCGAATTTATAAGTTCAGAAAAATTACCACTTTTCTGCATTACCGAAGATAAATAATGATACCGTGTCGATTCACCCGAAATTAGGCAGTCATTTTAAATAATTGGAAAACTGGACACAAATAGGTCATCATGCTAAGCACAAATTATTACTACTAGACTGTAATTGAATGCGCTTCACGGTTGTCCTATTTGATGAAAATTGAAATTACTGTCCGTAATCGTCGAAGTGCTGCCGCTTAGGATTTTAAGTAGTGAATAGCTTTAAATAGTTAAATTTGATGGTTTATTTAAAGAACAATATCGAACCAACAACACTTTAGCTTCCAAGGAAAAGTGTGATTTTAAAGAAATATTCAAATTGTATTTCCATTTGGAATCAAATGAACAAATCATACTTGTCTAAGTTAATAGGAAGAGGAAGACAATGACTAATATGATACAGGTTAATGAAATTTATACTCATATTTACACGAAATGTAATATGAAGAATGAAAACTGAGCCCAATATAAATGACTTAGTTTCGACTTCTCACAAAAGGCACAACTTATAGTGCAACGTTGGTAGCAATACTAGCAAACCGAAGTAGTATTTTACAATTTCGATCGAATATACACCAGTTAGTTAAATCTCCTAATACCCTGTGCCACTTAAAAACTTGTATGCTATTAACAGCAGTGAGCATTACGGGGCATCATCTCGTGATATCATGTCGTGATTCCAGCAAGTATTCGACTGCTAAAGGGGAAGGACAGTCTCGTGAATATCACTGAGTGCTTAAAACAAGTATTTGTACTCATTTACACCTATACTTCTGGCTAATACCAATTAAATAAATAATTACTTTCTTGATATAGTGATTCAAATCGCAAACAATTCAGCTGTAAATTCTCGAGGCGATAGCTTAAAAACAAATTTTGTGCAATTTGCTTTTCATTCCTAACTTCTCGATTTTAAGGCTTGGTCTCATTTTCAATTATAATTTAATGCTCAGATTGGGCCAACATTTCATCATTGTTTTCTTCCTTCGCTAAGAATGTCATTATTGTCATAATTATTAAGTAATTTAAGGAAAAGGGTAATAATCACTGATTTGCAAATCCAGAAGCCACAATTGAAATTTTTGTCGAATCATTATTTAATCGTTCTTGCAACAAATTTCGGTACACTTTTCCAGTGTTTCAAAATTATTCAGTGTACCACCACAACCTGTATAATTGAGAGAAGTCATTCTGCAGTAGACCAACGATATTTTAGATTATACGTCATGATCACAATTAAAGTTGCAACACTGGAGTTGATTTTGATTTTTAATGAACTTCGTATACTTTAGCTTTGGTTTGTTGTTATTAGCAAAAAATGAACCTCGTCAATCAATAAAAGCAAATACCTCCATACTGATAATAGACGCAATCATCTAATTCTGGATCATATCCATATCGAGTTTCAAATTCCTTACATTGTCGTCCTGGGTCCATTGGCTGTAGACAGAAATTTGCAGGATCCTGTAGAAGTGAAACTTAGTAAGACGTACTGAATGAATGAATGATTTATTCTTTGGCATAAAATTAACGCTCCAAATTAGCACCCTCAGATTAAGGACTATATTTTCTTTTGGAAAGGACTTTCAAGTCACCTGACAACACGCTGTGGCATTTTTTTCATCGATCACGTTGCATATGAATCCACGCGGGCACGCATCATCTACTCCACACCTGACTAAAGCCTTCCCGGATGCTTCCATAAGTGGATCGCCATGAGGACAATAATCCTTTTGTCCTGAATACAATTAGATCTGACCAATATTGATTTGCTGAATGTTGTACTTTGTTAAAGCATACTCTGACAATTTTTAAACTTTTTCATCGTCGCCCTAATTTACAGACAAAATTACCTCTGCAAGATTCCTCACAGCTTTTCTTTGAAAGGAAATTATTTTCATTACCGCCCAAACCACCGTAAGTAAATTCCAAGCACTTTTTATAATTCGCATCGTAGAACCACCGTAGAATCTCTTCACTGCCATATCCAATGGACATTACCTGTTCACATGGATTCTTAACTGAAATATTTCTTCCTAAAAGAGCTTGCAAAAATGTTAAATGAAAAATAGTCACGTTTATTTTATTTATTTGTCTGTTTTTTCTTCTTCCCTCACTTCCCATTTTTATGATTAAGTGATTTTTTTCCATCTTCTTGGCTATCCACAGGAACAGCTTGCATTTCACACCAGAATTTTTTAAGGAAGAAGCTTACTTTGTCGAGAACAACATTGTGTCGTTAAAGATGATGACCCTCCATGACAGAAATAACCGTTCGGACAATCATCTGATCCACTTGCTTTGCAAGAAATTCGCCTTCCCTCCTTATCGACCAACGGTGTTCCATCTCCACATGGATTCATTTCTGAACAAAATATACAATGCAAAGCATTCTTTAGATCACTGACCATCAGTGACCAGATTTCCATCGCTCCCTTACTTTTTCCAATCCCCTATATCGAGATTACAATACCAGTAACACTCAGTGGCAGATAAGGAAAAATCGAGGGACATGCAAATTCAACCAAAAAAAATTTTTCGTTTTATTGAGTTTGTGAAATTTGAAACCCTGGCAAATCTCTTGACAAATTCCTCGTGTGATGAAATTGTTGGCATTGCCGTAAAGGCCGCGATAAACAAATTTATGACACATTTGTTGTTTCCGATCAAAGTACCATCTCTGCAGTTGTTCAGTGCCTTTGCCAATTTCTAATGGCAACTTACAGGTGTCATTAGCTGCAACATCAAGTTTACTAATGAGAACAGTATAACTACAGGTGACAGGTGACGACTGCAAGGAAAGAGTATGTCTTCTAAGCTTTTTTTAAGACATAATTTGTTAATTGTGAAGACAACTAGTTTCATTGTCTTGTCACTTCTGCATTAAAATGATAATAATGAGTACCATTCCAATGAAAAAAAGCAAAGCTAACAAAAAACGCATCTATAAAAAGATAAAAACAAACATCCTGGACAACAGTTTGTCGTTTCCGGAGAACTCCCAATATGGCAGTAGTAATCTTCTGGACAGCTTTCACTACCACCACAAATTATCGGTTCATTTTGACCATTTGTAAGTGGTCTACCATATGCACATGGATTTGGTATCACTGGAAAAACTATTTCGTGATTCTTTTTCGCATAGAAAAGACATCAGTGATATTACTTTTGAATAATTAAGCGCTTTACTGATACTTCTGAAAAAACTCAGAATCTTGAAGAAACCAGACATTCTGGAGAACTTTTGATTCCTGAAAATTTGGAACTTACCAGGACACGTTGCTTCACAATCTTCTTCATTCAAAAAATTATTCGCATTCCCCTTTGAGCCAAGATAAGCAAACTCGCGGCATCGATAGCTATCCTTATCATAATAATATCTTAAAAGCAAAGACTGTCCTTCTCCCTGGTTCATTGGTTGATCACACGGGTTCCCGTCTGCAATGAATTGTTTTACTCATATGGCGTAAAGCATTTAAATATGAGTCTCAATGCGCATTATTTTTCACTGCATTTCCTTACTGATTAGTCCCACAGTTATCATCCGTTGTTCTTGTATTTTGACATTTTCACTTTATCGTTGTGTTAGTCTATTAGTTGTGTGATTCCCTCACTTCACAGCTTTCGGGTAATTGTCATTGCAATTGTTACAGCGCCATTCTTTTTAATAGACGGCGCTGTCATATGCCAACCGGAAATTTAATGTTATTTCAGCCCTAAAACTTGACAAGCAATAAGTCAAGTTCGGGAGAAGGATTATTCAAATTTCTCTTCTATGCACTAGCTGGCTCAGTTGATTTGAAATTAAGTCTGCGATGAAATTCTGTTGTATGATATGGCTTCGATTGCTTTTGAAGGATGAAGAGACCGTACGTACTCTTGCGGCAGCAGAAGTTCTCTGTCTCATTTGCTCCAATGTGGCAGTAGTGCATCTGGGGGCAACGCTCTTCCGGATTGCATCTCTTCGGTTTACCATTCATCAGAAGCGGCTCTCCACTGCCACACGGATTCTCATAAACAGGACATGCATTCTTGCAGTCATTTTCTGTCAAGAACGAATTCTGTAAGTAATTTCAGCTTAAGCTTTTCGTATATTGAAAATACACTGATAGGCAATAGGAGAGGCAAACAATGTTGTGCAGTTACTCATAAATTAATTTGCTAAGTCAGTCGTAAATCAAAATATCAAAGTAGTCCGGCTAGTCTAGGTAAAACAAGCTAGTAGGAACTAATTGGCGAAAAAAAAAAACAAAATGAATAAGCCCTCAACGGAATTATTTGGTAGCACTCATTAATTCTCTATTATTAACACTTTATGCAGGAGTTTTTTTGAACTTGAGAACTTACCAAATCTCTAACTTGACTTCTAAAATATGGAATTCCTGAATATCCAGCAACTTTTTTCGAAACCAACCTGATTTCCTTCTTTTCCATGGTAGTAAAATGTAAAACATTTGTGTGAGATCTGATCAAAATACCACCTCAATAAGCTGCTGTTACCAGTACCTTCGACCATAGGTTGCTCACAACGGCTTATACCTTAAAATGATAGATAATTTCTAACTTGCGTCATATTTAGTCTAATTATAGATGCTAACTCAATAAAGCAGCTGTATTTTCTTAAAGTTATGTAATCAATAATCTTGCCATTTTCTGGACAACAAACAGTGGTATTCGGCTGTGCACCTATGTGACACCAATAATTACGTGGACATATTTTCGTTGCGGTGCAAAAGAATGGCATAAATTCTGGACTCATAAGCATTACTCCAGTACCGCATGGATCTTCACATTCTCCTATAAACAATTGCAATCAGTGGGAGTTGCAAACTACTCAGGCAATTTCACTGAGTTATATGATTTCTTGCATTCTCATATTTAACTTCCAAACTGTGAATTGAAGGAAATGCATTTACGTCGTTTGCACTGCTTTTCACAGTCTTCTTTGGTAAGGAAATTGTTTTGATTTCCCTTGAAGCCTTTATAAATGAATATCTTGCATTTTCCAGTGCAGGAGTGATCGTTCGAATCTGCAAACCAGCGAGTGATTGTTTCATTGCCTTCACCATGTGCCACAGGCAATTCACAGAGATTATCTGATGCTGAAATTTCCGGAATTAAAATGAAAAGAAAAGAAAATATTAATCGGATATTATTGTAGGCGAAATATTCATTCTACTCAAGGAAAAGACTTTGAGTTATTCCATATATAAGCCAACCCACAAATATGGATCTACCAACTATCAGAACATTCTCTACGATTCATGCACAACAATATTTTGTCGCAGAAAATATCAAACAAATCGATAGTTAAATGAGGAATGAGAAAGTAATTAAAACAGTTAAATTCAAATACGCTTTAATTAGATATAAAGGCACTTGGACGTTGGCTAATGAAAGCCAAGCGAAACAAAAATGGCAGTAGCTTTAGCAGACCGCTTGATCTTTCATTTAGTTTTTCATTTTTTCCAAAAACAAAAACGAAGCCAAAAAAAAACAATTTCACAAACTTCCGGCACAACATAACGAGGAATAGCTGCTAGCGCCAATGTGACACCACTGCTCGTCACCACATTCACGACGATTCACTGAACAACTGCGATGCTCGGAGACTCTCGGTGATACTTCACAAATCAAATCCCACCCTAAAAATTGAGAGAGAAGAAAAAAAAGCGAACATAATAAGAAATAACTAAATTTATGGGATCTTATTTCTTACAATACTTGACATTTATTATTTATTTTTGCATGTGTTGTGAAATTTACGTTTAAGAAAAGGTTAAAAAATATTAATATATTAAAGACTGAAATACTTACGCATGCATTCGTGCCTGCATTCTTCGTACGTGAGGAAACTATTTTCATTACCTCGCACTCCACGGTAAATGAACTGCTGGCAGTTTTTGGAATTATACTCGTAGTAATAACGTTCTAGCCGTACACTTCCTTCGCCTTCTTCCACCGGCAAACTGCAGGGATTTGCCACTGGAATTTATATTTTACGAATTTTAATTGGATAGGATAAATTTGAGTCAGCTATCCCATCTATGCTAAGATTAATAGTGCAGTTCATTTTATTATCATTTACATATTTTGTTGGGCACACAGATTCCTCAGTAGATCTCTCCTGCAACATCTCGAGAGAATTTAAGTTACGTATAAACTAATCTTTAGTCGATACAATCAATTAAGAAACTAAACTCACGCCCGGATCGCTCACAGCAAACCGTTTCCTCTCGAGAAACTCCAATGTGACAAAAGAATCCTTTAGGGCACGCTATTGAATTTGGTGGATTGCACATCAGTGGTCTTTGGTTAAAACCCTTTGCTGGCTCACCGTATTTACATGGATTTATATCTTTTCCATAGGCTGTAAATTATTTCTAAAATTATTTCGAATTTTATACCACCTAATAATTTAAGTTTCGAACGCTAATTTTTTGATTTATTTTTAATTTGAAAATTCTGCTGGCAATTACCACTGGCTGACATTTCATACTTTCCGGTTAGATGATGAATTACATTTTTGTACATTTAGTGTCATCGTACTGGAAATAATTTCTTTGGATTTGATAGATGGTGGAAAAGAAGAAGAATGTTTTTTCACATTTCAACTGCTTCTTCTATCTAAACACTTCTCTGAAATAACATCATCAACTGTATTTTTCCTGAATGTGTGTAAATTGTAAATTCTGAACAGTCGTACCAGGGGATGAAGAGCTTGGTATTTCAAATGTGGCCAGTGAAGTGAAGGGTGTAGTATCTGTGATACGAGTAGTCTCCAGAGCTGCGACAGCAGTAAAGGTGGTAGCGGTCATTTTTGAAGGTACTGTTTCAGACGATAGAGATGGTGATGATATGATGGCTGCTGTTGTTGATGGATGGGTTAACGAAGCAGTTATTGTTGTTGAATCATCGATATAGTTCGTTTTGATTAACAAACGACGAGTTATCACTGATAACGATGATATGGTCGATGGTAGATCTGGAAAATTATGGATAAATGCTGCTGATTAGACTGCAAATCATTGCTAAGAGAAATATTAAAAAGTCTGTAATTATATCACTGTACTATTCTGCCGCGATCGATATCTCTCTGGACATGGACGATAAATATTGAAACAGCCTGTCTGAATCACGATATGTTGTGGAAAATTTGGCTCGCCATGTAACATTACGCTAGCACATGCGCAAAGCAATGTATACCAAAGAGAGTACGACATATCTTAAATTAAGTACACATAATAGTCTTGTAGAAGCAGTTGGCTTACATATTCATTTCTCTATTCCTTTTTGCTTACGACAGGAGTCTACTTAATACGGAATAAGAATGCTGCAGACGTTTATCGAACCAAAGCTTCAGATAAACTTAATAAAATCAGATTCTCAGCAAAATATTTCGGCAACCTGAATCGTTAACCCGATTTATCTCATCAGCAGCTCTACGGAATTCAGTGACATTCAGAGATAATGATTCGTTTCGTTCTAAACTTTTACGCTAGAGCTCATCAGAACGAATCTCTTGAGGCTAAAATGTTCAAATCAAAATGATTCAAATTTGAAACTGAAAAATATTCACCAAATTGTTCAAAGCAATCAGTAGTGCTCACGAAGACTGAGTGGAGAACTCATGGCAAACTGATTGTCTTGCTACTGACCGGCTAACTATCGAAAGACAAAAATGCAGGGGCCATACCTTTACCTTCTTAAAAATGTGTACAAATAATGATTTTTTAATATTTACTTTTCCGAATAGTCAACTCTTTTTGCAGTTCTTTCTACCCATTCCTCACTCACGCCACTTCTTTCCTTTAAGTGAAATTAGCAAAAGGAAAGTGGCAGATGTGAAGAAATTTCTCAACTGATCCGCAACCCATCTTCAATTCCGTTCTCTTCTCTCTAAAGAATACATCCTCTTCTTGTCATCCATTTCTTATAAGCGCAAACATACTTGGAGAAGGAGAATGGCGATTGGACAAGTGATTCATTGAAAAAGCACTTCACATCGTGGCATGCTGTACCCGGAAAATTACTTCCGCTTTGGAATAATTGAATGAATAAAATGAATATATATATATATATATTTTTAACTTCTTCCTTGCTAATGCTTTGGTAATGAAAGTGACAAAGTTCACTTCTGATGACATTTCACCTTTGAACTTGACTATTGTTGGGTGGACATGTAGCACTGCAACTGATCCATCTGATGTCACAAAAAGAGAGTTTTATTGTCCTTCCCACTTTCTTTTCCCGGCGTACTTTAAACGACGATTCCGTTGCAACTTAATTTTTCTATTAGTTTGTGTGAAAAATACTTTGCAGTAATGTCTTCTATGGCGATTCTTTTAATCTGCCATGAAACGTAACATATTATTATTATTTTCAATGCATGTGCAGTGCTGCTGTGACAACGATGTGTTTTTCCTTTCAACTGTAATTGCATAAATGTGTGTGTGTGTGTGTGTGTGACAATCAATTTTCCCATCAGACACTGGGGACAGGCCGGTCGAGACTTGCTTGACTAACTGCCAATGATATCAAAACAGGTAGCAAAATGACTGCTAGCACTATCTTGTCCTCTTCCCTTCCATCTATCAGTTGACGAAGTTATAAACAACTTATTTCTTCTCCATTCTTTCATAATGGATAATGGCCGTAGTGGCAACAGATTTCCCAACAGATGACGAAAATGTGGGTCATTTATTAAAGGAGTGTGGTAGTGTCGCAGTAAGTGGCAGTTTTCATGCTGCTGTCAAATCCTTTCGGGATCTTCCAAGATCATCTTTCCTTGCTTTTCTACAAGTATGGTCTGATTGTGAGTTATAATCCACGGCCATTTGTGCTAATACCTGTCGTGATCACCTTCTTACTTTCCTTCGGTGTATTTACTATGAAAGTTGAAGTTAGTGTTTCTTTTTCTTTTCGGTTGAATGGTAAGACTGTCTCGTTCAGTGTATTCTGATTAAAACACTGATCATTCAAAACGGATGACCTGAATTTCTCCCCGAATGACTTTTAAAAGTGTCACTTTTGCAATTCAATATATGCCAACGTTGTAGATGAAACTACTTCCAAGTTAGAACCTAATTCCAAGATTTTCTTCGGATTTACTGATAATTTTCATAAGAATCTACAAAATATAATATCTTTGCTGACATGTTACAGGATGATCTCAGGTTTTTGTATTCGCCAATCAACTCTCCAGCGCGACTTGAATACAGCATACACAGGGCATTTACTGGTGATTCCGTCAACAGCACATATGTGGCGGTAGCTGTTGAACCAAACAACAATTTACGGAATCTGTTGAGAAAGGTTACATCCATCCAAAGTTTTGAATTGCAATTTTTGTAGTACCATGAATACAACTTAACACTGTCAACAGTCTTTTGAATTAACAAAGTTTAAAAAAGAACGCTGAAGGGTGAGTAGTATTGGGAAAGGGCATTCTTGGCATACGTAGCTAATCACATATCAGAAACAAAAACGCGATCGATACATGAGAAGTCTTTAGTTATGCGCTGCCGGTAGCGCTTGCGAAGTGGTTCTGCTGGAAAGTGTTAAAGACAAATCATCTCCTCTGAGAGCGAAGTGACTATTATGTGTTAGTGAAAATGATCGAAATGAACCTTTTCAGGAAATTGCTACCGAAATTCTGAGTCTGAATGAGTTTGTTCTAAACAATTTAACTGTTAACTTAAATGGTCGAATTTATAATTTCGGAAAAGACATTTGCATACGAACAACACTTTGTCCACTCAGTAACACCATTGTACAATTTTTCTTCAACGCTTTCTGGAATGAAAAGGTTGTGCTGTTCAACATTGTTTTCATGATTCTTGAAATTATGCAAAGCAAAGGTTTTGTCGCACTTATTGTAAACAATCATTTTTTTGTTTGCAGTTATGGGATGATCCACGGGTACGTTTGGATTACCCGTTTCTGTACTTTTTCGACAATAAGTTCTTTCTTCCACTTCATTTGTACGGTGTGAAACTTGGAGGAGCGAAAGGTATTGAGTCGATCGAAATGATACATCTTCATTATCCCATACCATCTACAGATCATGCAAGTTCTATTTGTTATTATCAACGTTTTACAGATTATTTTGTGTGTGAAATACAAATAAGGCAATAAGTGATTTTGAAAGAGGCAAAACATTGAAATAGGCAAAATTTGAGAGCTATTTTTGAGCAACAAGGTGTAACTTGAAAATGTGATTTTCAGCGTTGCTGATCAGAAATCGAAGATAAGGAAAATAAGATAAAAGAAGAAGAGAAAAGGAATGAAGAATTACTAATAAGTTTTAATTTAGATTACTAAAAAATTACGGCACAAGAATAAAATGAAAGACGGAAACTTCAGGAGACAGCCGAAGTAGTTGGCGGTGCACTGGAAAGCGCGTTGAAAGAGTATTTAGCGGTAAACGAACAAAGTTTAATCAAAACATCTATGTTCAGCTTTTCAATGCTCAAAAATGAGATGAACAAAAACGCGCTTTACACCTTCCCCTTCATCTCACTCACTCTCCTTCTATTGGTCACTTTCACTATTCTCTCTTGGTTAGTTTAAAATGACGAGTTTACTAATTGCTAAAAATGTTTAATAAGATTACAATGCTGATTACTCAAACAATTCCTTAATCAGAAAGATCCGTAATACAGAAACGCCTAAAATATAATAAAAGTCTAATGAAACTTCCGGAATCATGACAACATGATCTATATGTTTTACAGCATGACAGGTGACTGGGTCACATCCAAACCACTCGAAGCACTGATGGGTGTGCTCTCCTCATCTTTTGCAATTGTTAGTGCAGCAGGATTCATGTTCCTTATTGGAATACCTTTCGTCAGCCAGGTAACTGTGATGCCGTTTCTAGCACTGGCTATTGGCATAGATGACACGTACGTAATGCTTGGAGCATGGCAAGATACACGACGTAGTCTTCCGCCATCCAAGCGAATGGCGCTATCACTTCAAGAAGCTGGCAGGTATATAAAGGCAATAAATTAATAATGAAGAGCATTACGAGCAAACTTGTCTGAAAATGGTGAATCTATTGTTGGAATTCAAAAATGAAACCCAAAATTCAGATTGAAATTGGTGTTTTTGGATATTGCAGTGCGATAACAGTAACATCGATCACTTCAATGCTTTCCTTTGGCATAGGTTCATTCAGTACTACACCAGCAATATCCATATTCTGCCGATTCATTGCCATGGCTATCATTTTCGATTGGATTTATCAGGTTAACTGCTTCCGGATGATTAACATTATGTTTTCCTTTTCACTTTCGCCGACTTTTCTTCTGATAGAATTAAATCGAAACTTCTTTATTTGTAGCTGAATTTTAAAATCTGTATCCTTTGAATTGAACCAAAAATATTTCAACTGTCTTAAGGTGACATTTTTTGCGGGTATAATGGCACTTGGTGGCAAGCGAGAAGCTGTCGGATATCACTGCATATTCGTTTGGAAAAAAATGCCAAAAAAGATCATTGAGGAGGTTTGTTTGCTTCTCAAGATTTGGAAGTCTGATTTACTTCGACATTAATCTAAAAGCAAAATAATTCAGTCAAGACGAAACACAATGTTTTCAATAACGCATACATTATTCGCGGATTATATTGCGCCATTTCTATGCCACAAAGTAACGCGCATCACCTTAATCGGTATTTACGGACTGTACATCTTTGGCGCATTTTATGGATGTTCACTGCTGCAACCAAATTTGACGCCAAGTCGTTTGCTAGTAGATGATTCGCCACTGACTCATTATTTGAAGCTGGCTGAAACGAAAATATGGTCGGAAGGAATGGTAGGCAGAGTCTATGTGAATAATGCGCCCGACTTTACTGCTGATCCAAAACAGGTATATCTATTGAGTAATTCAATTTTTTGCAAGGAATTTGTAACATATCTAAAAGCAAGTGGTATTGGCCACTTCTAACAAACTGTTGAAGGATTGAGAATACATGTCCGGTTTACATAGCTTAAAACAACATCGCCAATGAAAACAGATCTCCAGAAACTTTACCAAAATTCAATCCACTCACTATTTATTTTTACATTTAGATCGATATTATGTTACGATTGGCAGAAGATTTAGAAAACACTTCCTGTTCACTGGGGAAAAATTCTACTCAGTTTTGGCTTCGAGAATATTTGAACTACCGACAATTCTTCGAAAGTAACGATGACGACTTTTATGATATTCTTGAGTCATTCCTCAACACATCCTTCAATTCACATTGGAGTGCTTACCTGTCTTGGACGCAACATCCAATAAAGGTGACTCTAAGGTTTCTTCCATCAACGAAATCCAGTTTATCTGCTGAATTTATTCAAACGATGTTAATTATGTCACTTATTTGGCTCTTTGATAGGGATTAAAATCACTGAATGGAAAAGTTGAACATAAATCTCCAAACCTGCTAAAGAAAGCTTTTCAAATACAAAAGTTTCAGCCTAGCAAGAGATACGTAAACCGTTTTTTCTTCACAACCGCTTTCAAAATAAAAGACTGGAAAGTTCGTACTGCGTTACTGTTACAATGGCGCAACATAACAAGTCATTATGCAAAGTATGAAGCTTTGGTGTTTGATGAAAATAATTTTTACTCAGATCAAGTAAGTCATTCGGAAAAAATTTTATGAAAATGTGACATTTTCGTAAGTCCAATAACTAAAAATTTCGCGCAGATTCTCCTTCATCAGAAACAGATCCGAAAATAGAAAGTAGCGTGAGGTTGAGAATATTGCTGCAGTACACGTTCACTGATTCGCTGAAAGTGTCAAGAACTAGTATGTTCGCTTTATGAACGTTATTAATTGCATTAAGAACACGACTACCATATCTTCTTTTCTTTTAAACTCTGAAATGCTGCTAAATCACGACAAATTTAAAAATTCTAATTAGTGGCTTAAATGTTCTTTCCATTTGCAGATGTTAGAGCTCCAGTCAACAACCTTATCATCATTGGGTACTGCAATACTTGCTATGATTATTGTGTGCGTTTTGTTCATCGCTGATTGCACCATCGTATTTTGGGTTGTTTTCGCAATGATTTCAATGGATGTTGGCATTGCTGGCTATCTTTCTCTTTGGGGAGCTGATTTGGACCCAACCACTGTTGTTAATATTCTGGTTTGTATAACCAAAGTTACGATGTAAAATTATGTCTTCAGTTCACATTCTGCATAAACCTAGAGCAAAACTATCCAAATAATTGGAAAATACAGGGTAGACTAATTTAAAATCCTTCATCAAATCGCATACTTTGCCTCATATAAGCTTAAGTTATTTCTTTTCGGCATTTTATAGAAGTGACAAACATCATAAAGCTATTACTACATTGTAGTGGTTTCCATATTTCATTGTAGATGAGCATCGGTTTATGCATCGATTTTGCGACTCATGTTGGTTATAGAATCTATCGCAGCAAGTGCCGGAATCCCGATGAACGTATTAGAGATGCATTGGGAGCTGTTGGTTGGCCGGTGGTGCAAGGCGGTACTTCAACATTTTTAGCTATTATTGTAATGATGCTGGTACCATCGAATGTAGTGCGCATGTTTGCGCGTACATCCATCCTTGTTGTTCTTACGGGTCTATTTCACGGAATTGTTTTGTTACCTGTCATCATCAGGACATTTACTTCTTATCCCACTTGCAAAAAGAATTTTTGAATAAAGGAGATCCTTAAAACGGTGACAAATGAAAGTATAAGAAGTTGAATACTATAAACAAATTGAGAGAATCAATCAAGTGGTTGCAAATGTTAACTTTCATATGGAAGAGGCATAATTAAAGGAATCAGAGAGAATTACGCTTTGTTGTTTGGAAGTGGGTCGTATCCCACCGCTCATGATTTTATTTCTGCTACTCGTTTTCATCTAATATCACAGTATTGGAGTCCTGGAGGTCCACCATCAGAAATTTTGTTACTATGTTTGTTTGCTATAATCAACACAAAACAATTTTGATCATCTGTAGCAGGAATTTATATCAAAAAGAAAGACAGTTGGATTCTAATACCGACGACCATAATATATTCTCGAAAGATTGTCTAGAGCATGGTGGTTTTTTCGTTACAAAACGAATGAAGTTCTAGATATCTAGAACAGTCTATAGCTTTTTGACAGTAAACCAAACATTTCGAAAAGTTCTTGGAACCTTCTAATTTAATCCGCTACATGCTGCAATTATACCCAGAACATCATTTTATATCTAAGATTTTTAGTTCTCTTTCAGAAGCAACTGAATAATTTTTTGTTGATCTTGGTAGCTATCGAAATAACATAACAAGGAGAACCAACTGGAAAATCCGAATCCCGGAAGAAATGACAAAAATCAAATCGCAATCAATGAAGAGTTTAACAAAAAACAAACAGAAAACGAATACAGTAATCTCCATTTTTAATAACACTTCCGGTTTGGTACATCTGTTTAAGTGTAATAACTGAGGAGTAAAAAGCAATTAAAATATTCACAGGAAAACATGAAGCATAATACGAAAATTAACAAAACGTATAATTATTTGTTACTATTCATTGACTTGACTTCAGCATATATGAAATTATTTTTCTTCCACAACAAAGTATTACAAATATGTGAAAAGTGTCCACCTAATCTTTGTAACTTAATAAAGAAAGACATGTTTTTACTCCTCCAAATATTTATTCCGTGAATAAAGAATGAATATCGCCAGTGTCAATTGACTGACGTCACCAGAATTCAAAAGCCTAAAATTCCAGTACCAATATTTTATTAAACAAAACAGATAGGATTACTCAATATTAGACAGATTAAATATTTCATCATCCATTGATGTCCAATTCCAACCATTCTTTAGTTTCCACTTATGCAAATGTTACACCATTGTGCCAACCCAACTTATATAACTTGTCTCATCCTCTCAAATATCATACATCGTTCCTTATGATGAAATGTTTTTTCACAATGGTAAAAATAGCTGCAGTTGCATGACAGAAAGCAATAATTAATTACCAAATTTTAAGTGATCTGTCCATCTGATGAAGCTGATCAGTGATACTATCAGTAGGCATATAACATGTGAATTTATTAAATGTCAAATTAAATGCTTGAAAAATAATCAGAATCTCAGTCTTCACAATGTTAGTTGAAAACGAAAAATTACAACGAATATGTAACGCATAGGAAAAAGGGAGGTCAACCTTCACTTATGAATAAGAGTGCACCGTTGTGGACGAACATTCGGTCCTGAATCATCATTTCGCAATCACAAGCAAAGGCATCATTCTCATCCTTAGTATGAGGGTTGTGCAATTCTCCAGTAGGAATACACTGCGGAAGTACAAGAAGCGCTGCCAAACAGAATTTCAGAAGTTAGTTTGTACATTTAGCGAAATTTTGAAATGGAAAGGGCGTGAAAGAAAGCAAACATGGAAAATTTGTGACCGCTGAGTGACAATACAAAAGAAAATTCACAATTAAACTTTTTGTTGCATCTACACGCGAAAATAACTAAACAGCTTTTTGTGATCGAAATTATTTGAAATGGGATTTGGTAAGATTATTTCATGGGAGTGATATTTTTATGTTATTAGATTGTCGGAAAAGCGGAAAAAATATTTATTACACACTAAGTGTTTAGAATAATGTTAATGATTCATTTCTATGAACCAATTCGTTATTCCTTTGTTATTTCTCATTTTTGAAACAGCGAATCCTTTATCTAAACCTCAAATAGTAAATATACATCTGTCTTCATTATAAATGTTAATTTGCTAAGCTAACCCACTTCCTATATCTTTAAAAATCATCTCTAATTAGTTGATAAAATAGACACGATCGGTGGCAGTCTTCTCAACCTCCTACTCAATAGTACCATTTATTCCTCCGCTGTTTCGATTATTCAACTGCTTATTGTCTCGACGCATTTATAAAGAAAATGAACAATATCTGCGTTAGTCTTGCTAGCAGACAAAGAAATAACGCATAACAAATTCAAAGTAAGTCAAACGAACTTAACTAACCCAAATCATCAACTCTTCTGACCAAAAAGTTACTTGAAATTTATGGTAGATGTTGACCAATTTGCTTAAAAGGTGTTGGCAATGCTAACAGTAATGCTTCAAAGATGCATCAACAAACTTTGTAAATATCGATAGAGAAATGCTGTATTGCTCTCTTGGCTAAATTCATAGATTTTCTAATTCGTGAAAGATATGCATTCCACCTGCTAAACCATACTGCGACTGTTCATTTATTGTAGCTGAACAAAGCAGCATCTCAGAAATTTTTGTGGTCAGTTTATGATCTGATTTTATTCTCATAGTTGTTTATTACTAATTTATCATGTTTATCACTGCTTTTAAAAAAAGTAAATTGAACCTTGAGAAATAAATGTAGCAGAATTTCCGACGACTTCAGATCTCCTTAAAAGCAATTTATTAAATTCATAATACATTAAAAATTTTTCCTTCCATAATAAGATATCATTCATCAGTATTCACCCATATTTACGACTCAGCAAAAACCTGAATTTGAAAGACAAAATTTCCCTTTAAAATATTTGTTCAATTAAACGATAAATTTTCGCTTAGACGAAAAAACTTTTCCTAATTTTCCGACATGGGAAAATTAAAAAAAATAATAAATCGCGAAGACTTCAAATCTTTTTAAAAAGAGTGTATCTACGAAGGGAATGAAGGGAAAATGATTGAGATAAGCTATATAATAAGCGAAATTTCGCTCAGCATTTATTATTCTATAAATTGATAGAAAAGCCTAGCACTTGATATCATTGTAAAAATCCTGCAGTAATTTAAGCAAGGAAATAATTTAAATTATATTAGATTCTGTTTTAAATAAGTGCTAGTACGATTCTGAAAATTGCAGTTCATGAAAAAAAAAAATTTTTTTTTGAACACAATTGACATTTTAACTTGTAGTGCATATGATCTGCTCAGATTCTGACATTGTCATTTGACAACAGAAACAAAAAAAAAAAAACTTTTAAAATTTCATTTTGGATTAAAATTCAAAAGGGGAAATTAACAAAAGTGGTTAGTAACAATTTCAAGTTATTTTTGACACTGAAATTAATTTTTATTGTAAATTTAAATCTGGATCGCTATGACAATCCTACAAGGAAATAAATGTTAATTTTGTTAAATTATATTTTAATTAAGTGCTAACAATATTAGAAAATCTTCATTTAAAATATCTTGAACTTAACTGATTATCTTACCAATTACTTAATTGATAATTTAATTGATTAATGAGTTGAAATTTTCTAATAAACATTTTAGTTTATTAATGAATGAAATGGATAGTATTCACATAATTGAATCTGATCCGATTTATCACACTCTATCAACACGATACAAATAAAGAAGAAGAACAAAATGCATTCAAAATTTTCATATTTGCAATAAGTATAGCCTGACGACTTTTAACACCCATTTTAGCGCCAGCATGTACGTCACATACTGGACAAATAGCAGTTGAAATGCAAAACTTTTGACATTTTCATATTCAGAAAGGAAGAACAGAAGTTGAAGTTCGTCCCTAAAATTCAACAAATATTCTTTCTTTCACAGCGAGCAAAATGACTACAACATTGCGACAACCGCTGCGAATATACTGGAAACCAGTCCTTCCTAGAAACTGAACAACTCTCTTTATTGAGGTCAACGACGTTGATCCCTTCCTGTTCTTCCTCTAACTTCACCATCTACTCCTGTTTCTGTTACAATAACCATTCTCCGTCTTTTGCATACAGAAGAATGGATTGGTCTTACATTCGACATGCAATTTTAATCAGGCCACCTTGTTTAGTAGTCGAAGCTCAAAGTATCAGTCAAATTTGCTAGTTACTCTTATCCTTTGCTATCAAATTTAGAGCTGATGGCCAGCAACATGGGTAGTTTGAATCGATGTATTGTAATATAATGAGATTGATTATATGGTTAAATTAAGCAGAACGATTTAATGAAGATTAGTGTGCATATTAATAGTTTTCAAAAATTCCATATACTGGTCATAATCAAGGAGAATGTATTTCAATCTTTGTTTGGATTTCAAGGAGTTGAAAGCTTTGTTAAGGACAGATCTTAATGATGATTGATGCAGTTCAAATCATGTTTGAAGTTATTACGAATCACCGCAAGTGACAAACTTTTAGAACAGAGTCGCTGGTAGTACATTCAATGTTTGTGAAAAAGAGAAATCTCACAAAGTCTCTGTGTCATTTGAACCAATGTTATGGATGAATATAAAGTAATGATTTGAACATAATCCGATATGCATTTCGTATGTCTAATTGATTCTAAGATATAGGCAATGAAACAACATTTCTAAGGTGGAAAGCTGCCACTAATAAAAATAGAAAAATGCGCAGCTTTGTATTCACCAGCATTTTATGAGTTTGATGTATGTACTATTCACATATTGTCCCATTCATCGTAAGCTGACGTAACTGCGGACGCCATTTCCGCACTTCCTCCTTTACCTTTCTTGATTATGGTACCCTGTAATTTCATATAAGATTCATCATCTTGTTGCAATATTGCTGTCAATGCAACTATCACCAAATGATGCGTTTGGTTCAAATTCTGTTCTACTAGTTCCGGGTTTGTAATTTCAGAAATCAATAAAACCACCTGTTCACGATCAAACTGCCACGTTTCGTAGTCACGGAGGGCAATTTGTACATAACTTGTCACATAATGCTGTTCTTCCGTACGCTGGTACTTTTGCAAAACATCAAGTGCTAAATTTTTTAGTTCAACCATATTCAGTGCTTCACATTCAGCTACCAATCTAAATTTACAAATGTTTGATAATTTCAAGCAGAGTGTAAAACTAATGGTTTTTTTAAAAAGACAATGTTGACCTTGTTAAACGATGTCTCGATAAGCTTGGAAGTAACAGCTTAAGACAACACAAAACAACACCACCACGTCTTTTCATGACAATATATATATAACCCGTCACAAACAATAAGTTTTATCAACATACTTTGCTAAATCATCCGGTTTTGCAGGTAACGCTAGTGATAGAACAAATTTTTCTTTCTTTAATCTCAAATATGCAAGGATATGTCGAAAAGATTTTGGATCACGATCCAGGTAATAGTTGCCTGAAATTCTGAATACTGGTGAGGCATTAGCACATACGTATAAACATAACTTATTACTCCTGTTTGAGAACTTCACATACTTGACAAATGTGAAGTTTTCGAACGGTGTTATCAAATTCAAGTTCATGCTTACCAACCTCCTTTGTCGGTAGCAATCTGTTTCACAGTACCAGGTTTAAACCATTCCGCCAATTTACTTTTTGGATCTGCCAGTAGATCGGTGCGTCGAACTGTATATCGCTTACCGCCAACGTTGACATTGAGAATGTCATCGGTGTGTCGGTTACGGGCCATTGCCGGTTCTCTACTGAAGTTGATCTGTTCAATAAAACTATTTGTGTGCAATTGTTGCAATGAAGAAACGAAAAGCTGGTATAATGCCATGCAATAACCATCCCATCAGTCTATATTCTTCTGATAATAAGGCGCATAATGAGCATTGTAGAATTTCTACTTACAAAAATGCAACTTGTAATTGGCAGAAAGGCTGGATTCGTTAGGTAGTGCTTGACAAAAACTGCATGTTGCTACATGAAATGAGTTGCTCAAATAGACCAACCTCATATTTGGCGTAGAAGTCTTAGAATCACAGTTGGTATAAGAGGTTTAAGTGAAATGTTTGCATGGTTGCATAGCAGGAATAGTAGTGGACAACTCTAATCGGTGGCAATTGGTGGCATAGAGGCAGTGTGCTGACTTCTGGAGACAGCAATTCAGTGGAACAGAGTTTCTGATATTTGAGACATTGAGCCACTTGGCTGGTTGTGTCCAGGGAAGTTCGTTCAACCAAAACCAGCAAATATTTTTTGCTTAACCAATTTATTTTTGCATTGATAGTCTCTTTTAAAATTGTCTAAAAATAGTTTTTGAGAGCTTTACATTCCATGAAATATATGCCCTTAAAAGATAAATATATATGATGCATTCACAATATGTTCCGTTTATAATATGAGCAGATTTAGTGCATAATTTTTTAGCAAAAAGTGATGGAAGACCGAAGCTGTTGTTGCCTAATGGTTAGTTGGCTACAAATTTTTGAAAGCAGGTGATTCTAGCGATTGCAAAAATAAGCTGGTATTGAGTGAGAAGTCTTTGACAATAATAGGGCAATTAGTAGGAAGTGGGAAACAGCTAAAGTGAACTGCCGTTGGTAGGTCCAATTCAATTATTGGTTGAAATTTGAATGCTGTTATTGTGAATTTGTGGAGTTGGCATAGTGTAACGCAGTTGCTAGCCAATATTGTCTAGATAAAATGTTGGGGACTAGCTCGCGAGAACGCATAAAGAAATGCTAGCTTTTAAATTGTCAATCCCGACAATTTTAACTAAATTTAAACGCTGAAGAAGTATGAAAAGATAAGTGGTCTTCTCATATTTTAGGTTTGCGAAGAATTATACTATAAATGGATTGCTTGGATAGATTCATCACAGATTCAAACAACGACAAAAGCTCTCTCACCATATTTATAGTCAATTACAACATCGTCAGAGTAAGGAGAAATTGATGAAGTCGCAATGGTAGTTGGTAAACTTCCACACAATGGCTTACCCCTTTTTTTGTTTTCGGATTAGCTGTATTATAAGTGCAGCTACTACTGCAGCCAAAGTAAACTTCCCAGAAGAAGACACTACATATAAATCTGTTTCCTGTGAAAAAGAAAAGAGAAAACATGTGTGTGATGTGAAAAGTACTGCCCAAATGCTGCATCTGCAACGGTAAACTGTTCCTGCGCAACAACACCTTGGACAGTAGCTGCACTTGGAGTGCAGTGTTTGATCACATCTCTACTTGATTTAGATCACTTCTGTAGTCTCTTTCTGATCACGACTTCTCTATTTTTTAATCTTCCATTCCGCATTCTACTTTTTCTGTCTTGAGGATAATTGCAACTTTTATCGCACCACCATTCATTGCTAAGAACAGCAACTGATATTGCAAGTTAATTGGAGTGGATGTATAATTCAGCATTTCTGTGCTAAATTATTTCACTCTATCCAAACTGACAGTAGTGCAATCTACCTTGCCATTGCTGTCACATGTGATGATAGCAGCAGGATAGCAAGCATTGGAAATGTGTGATCGCTGCATGCCAACCAACCATTCTACCACATGCTCTTTCTAGCGGTAGGTAACTCCTCCATACATTCACCAAATTCATCAAAGCATTGTATCCGTCCCTCAGCGTGTACTTCAGAGAGCATTTCTGAATTGATTTGTTCTCCCCTTACTTTCTTCCCTTCTATAATTCTTTATCTCAATGTGTTTTCCGTCACACATCATCCGTTTTACCTTAAAGCGAAGGAGAAATTTGCAATCTTTATTGGTTGCTATCATATGAAGAATGACACAGCCTGAAGTTCTAGGTGCATCTCATGTTTCATTACACTACTTATGAAAGCACAGTGACTTGCTCAAAACATCACATTTCCCTCATTTTAAACGAATTTCTATAAATTGACTCAAAAAAATCATTAATCTCCATTGATTGTTGTTATTTTATGCTATTGAAATGTTCACAGGTTATTGTGTTAAGCAATTCTTCTACTCAGATTGTCTGACACGCACCACATGTACCATCCCAAGGTTAAATAACTATATTTCATCTTTTGGAAACTCTTCCACAAAGTGATGAGCATTTGAGCCACAACAAGTCTTTCTAAAAGATCTTAGCTGATTTCAAATTCGGGACATTTTGGATTTTTGGGCAGAACATGTACGTGCGATGAATTTCCTCTGTTTCATCCTTTGACACATCCTCAGTGACTCTGAAACTGTAATGTCTTGAAGAGAAAACTGAAAAATTCATGACAGTTGCGTGACTAGGTGTTACCATTGGGTACCAGTAACATTGGCTCCCATAAACAGTAGACCTGTCTTGCCCACCCACTCACTCCAGCAATTTATTCAGCATTCCCATCGTTCTGCTTTGAATTCCCCACCATTGTCTCGTCTTCACTGACAGCAAGGTCAATTAGCTGCACAATTCATCCGATCACTGCACTGTTATTGATTTAACACCAATCCCACGTATTCGATCAGCGATTCTACTAGGCTTTCTTACTACAATTTTCTCTTCTAATGTCCCTACACTATCTAATCATGTCCTTACCGAAAGAAACTGGGTACTAACTTAAGCCATTTGTGGATTAGCCAGAAAAAGATTTGGGAGGTACTGGATTACATGTCATGTTTTCTCTGTAGAACTTTACACTTCCTAACACAATTTAAGCAATACACTCAAACACCTAAGTAATGTAGAAGGAGAGTACCCAATTAAGGACATCTCTGTTTCATTGCCCCACTACTTTTTCCTTTGCTTAAAAACTTTCACGGACCAATTCGTTCACTTCACTGTACGGAACTTCAATATTTCGCATCTACTAAAACTCCTTCCTTAAATCAGATTTTTCGTGTTCATGGAGAACACCATGCGGAAGGAAGTATTTTATGAAAATTATTTCTCAAAAATCTCCCATTCTGCTAAATGTGAATGTTATCTTACTTGTATTTAATAATGGGTTGAACAACATTCTACTGCAGAAAACCCCATCCGTTCAATAAAAAGTTCAATATAAAACCATTCATGTGACGACAGACTGTCATAATTTCTCGACAAATTCATCTACTGCGTCCCTTAGTCTAGATTATCGGTAACTAAATAAGCACCTTAAATGCAAGTTGACTGTTAGTTGGTTCTGAGCTTCATGTTGCCCCGCTTGACCACAACGCAAGAACGGAGAATTTCATAACAGATGACGCTAGCTGGATTAGGTGAACTAACAAAAGAATAATTTCGGAGCCCCTGGAAAAAATGTATTGCAAACAATCAGGGAATGCTGGACCTAAATATGTTTGTCAAGTGGTTATGTGTTGTTTATTAATATTCATAAGTAATATTTATCAATTATTTATCAATATTCATATTCAGAAAACCTTAACAAACATAAATGCCAGGAAAAAGCATACTTTCTACTTAATATATCAATAAATATCAAAACTTCAGTGAAGCATCGACAAGATCAAGAATCTGTGGTACAAATAACAGGTATCTGTTGAAAGACAAGAAAAAAGGGATGCAAAAACAAAGATCTCCTGCTGGATTTTTTAGATAATCAGATAACAGAACAATAAACAACACCGGGAATATAAGTAAAAAATACTTATCACAATTCGACGCAGAACGTTTTTTTTTTTTCGTTCTCCCATGTATAACTATACACAATCCTTATATGTATCTGAATTTCACGTAATGTCAACCGTTCACTCCGAACCATACAAACTTTGAAAATACTGTCTTCAAAAAAGTAGTATAAAACGGTCGGCAAACACCTAAGTATCGTTATCGTCGTCGCTTAGTGTTTTTCGTATCTAAGCAATCCGATTCTTCTGGTAATTCATTTAGATATTGTTCACGCAAAGCTTCTATTGCTTTACACCATTCCAGTGCATTTCGCTCCGGGTCAAATAAATAATAAGTACGACTTGGCTGAAAACATTACGAGTCAAAGTGTTTACAATCCGCAGTATTAACTTCCAACTCATGAAGGTTATTATTCGTTTTCTTCACTAAAAAAAGGAAAAACAAACTGTATGCACGAAGAAAGTTCGAAAATTTTTTGCTTCAACTCGCAACTTCCGGCAGAACGGTATTTTGCCTTTTAGTTCCATACTTATGGGATCCACATAAAATATGTGTGGTCCTTCTGTCAGTAAAAACATTCTTCTTCTAGCAAACAATCCCTAAACGAAGTTTCAACACACAAATACATGAAATATTCTATCCTGATTTATTTGTTCTTCTATTTCTTCAATAATTCTTTAAATTTAAACTAAGAGGTCACGAGTCATTTCCAAATCCAATTCACGTATCAGGGAATTAATAAGTAGAAACAATAAACCGCATACGAAGGTACTCCCAATACATATGAAGATCAATTCAAAACGTGGTGACATGCGACATGACCAAACGTAAACATTTGTGCATGAAAATGATGACGGGCAACAGCACAAGGAAAACAGCTATGCAGTAGAATCACATAGAATCACAAACCCCACTTTTCCCCCTACCAGAAGACAAAGATAACGCAATTATTTCAGTACAGTTAAAACCAACCTTTTTTTTATCCAATAAACCACTTTTAATGATCAAATTGCCTTCCACAAAACGATGATATTTATGTTCTTTTCGCTGAATGTTGAGTTTTTTTTCACGCAATCCAGCTAACTCGGGTTCTTCTGTTTCCAAATTACCTTTATTTTGACTAAAAAACTTTCATAATTGTTGAAAACTCATATCTTCGTCCGTCAATAAAAACAACAAACCTGGGGGAACAGAAGTCTTTTAAAGAAAGTCCTAGCAAGCGAGTTACTGCTGCATCATCAAGACCGGGTTCTATATCATCTGGAAAATGGTAATCGCTATGAAAAGCTGGTTCTCCACAACTGGCGGGCAAATATGGCTTAAAAGGCGGTGGCGTTTTTGTGATCAAATTGTCCCAATCAACTGTGGCAAAATATGGATGCGAACGAACAGCTTCACTACCACCTGTTTGTTCAGAACCAAGACGTTTATTAGGATCGGACACCTGGAACAAATACAGAATAATATGCTTATCGAAAGGGTGAAAGCAATGATTTATAAATTAAGAAAAATAAATCTGGTTATCAAAATATACCAAGAATTTTCGAACGAGATCTTTGGAAAGGTCAGGGAACCCTTCAGGGAAATTGTAATCCAGCTTCTGAATCTTTTGAAAAGTATGGTAATCATTAATAGCACGAAATGGTGGTAATCCAGAAACCATTTGAAAAATTATTGCACCCAAAGCCCAATAGTCGCATCTGCAAAATATCAAAAACTGAGGATCATAATCCTTGGTTGAGTCATTTCATTCAAGCACAATGAAACTAACGATGGGCCAACTTCTCCATCCACCAGCACTTCTGGTGAAAGATATTGAGCAGTGCCAACGAACGTTGATCGACTACGATGGTGTTCTTCCTGAAGAGCACTTTTCGTATCTGTTTCATCTGTAATTTCAAAACCAGTGAAGAAATTATGTTAAACAGTTTTCTATTCAGCATGTACTTAATATTTAACTTACCTTTTTCTGAATCAACAAATTTCGCCGTGCCAAAATCAGATAACATTATGTGCCAATTTTCTCCAAGCAAAATATTTTCTGGTTTCAAATCCCTGTGAATAATGCCACATTTATGGAGTATGTCGATCGCGCATACAAGTTCAGCCGAATAAAACAAAGTCACCTATAAAATTATAATCAAGGAAAGGAATGAGTGGTTTCTGTGAATCGAATCACAACATACTATGAAATCATACCATAATTTGTAAATATTTTATTTGTTTTTGGACATATCACTAAAAAAAAAAAAAAATTTCTGCTCACATTACACATACAGGAATGGCAACTTACATCTTCATCAAAGGAACCAAGGCGGTGCAAATATGTCAACAAATCACCATTTTTTGCATAGGTCATAGCAAAGTCTGTAAATATTTCTTGAATAAATAGCATGCAATATGTGACAAGTGATTAAACAGTAAATAAACAGTAAATACTGCAAGAACTTACAAAGACGAGTGGGATCCTGGAAAGTACAATACAAGGATACGAAATATGGATGTCCGCCATGCAAATAAGTCAACGAAGTCATTACGTCTTTCTCACGCATAACCGACACAACCTTTAAAGTAATCAACTATCTTTGATATTCATGCAAAATCTATATCATTTATCAGTACTCTGTAGTAAACTTTCGTTTGTTTTCCCATTAGTGAAAAATCCCAAACGAGTACCTTATCATGTCGTCGAATTAAGTCTTTGTTGAGCACTTTTAGAGCAAATTCCTTTCCACTGGATACCTCACGAGCACGATACACCTGTAAGCTTAGAATAGTTGCAGTATATGCGACATGTACGTTGAACATATGCTTTCCTTACCGTAGAAAAACAACCTTCGCCCAGTATTTGTAAAAAAAAGAAGTCAACGGCACTTTTCTGCACAGGCTGCATACCATTTTTTAACATTTGTATCATTACCATTTGCGAAATCGAAGACTTTTTAATCTGCAAAAATATAAAAAAATATCAAGAAATCTACCACTTTTTGAGAAAAAAAAGAATTAATAATCATAATGTATAATCGCTTTTCTAAAAACAGTTTGATCGATAGGCACAAAAATAATCGTTAGCCGTACTCGTATACTATATACAGTGTTTGAATATGGTCCTAGGTAATTATTCGCTTATGCTAAGAACACGTAGCCTGAGTCCGGTAGTTAAAGAGATGCATTAATAAAATTAAGAAAAGTAAAAAACCTGTCTGCCCACAGGCATATCTTTGCTGCACATCACTTTATTGTTTTCATTCGCAAAATGAACAAACACATTTGCCGTCACTGAAAATTGTCCAGGATTAAACCTTCAAACTGATTTTAATAACTTTTCCACCATAAAAGATCTGATATCCATTCAATTTTACACACATGGTACGATTTCTGCTATGATGAAAACAGCAACCAATATGATGGTTATCTCGGAAAATTGTGTAACTCAAATCATGTGTAACCTAAGATAGGTGCGAACTAGACCTCGAATAATCAGGATGGAACTGCTAAGTCCTTTTCCAAGGACATTTACAAAATTTACAACATCGTTCGAAAATTGATGAGAATATTTCAACATAATAACTGCCTGAAATAAACCTATTCTCTTATCAATGTGCACTAAGTAACTATTCCCTCTTCCCAAATAATAAAATTATTTGTGTTATTGAAAAGAAGGCACATAAACAGTCCATTTATGACATCAGCACTGTTATTACAATTGTTCGGATAAACAAACCACTGGTGGATGGAGAATCACCAGCAGGTAAGTAATTGAGTGCAGCGACTACCATCAGATTACCGGAATACACAACCATCAGGAATCATCGGGTTCGGTATTCCTTCTTTGCATTTTCCTATGCTGACTTCATCCTAAAGAAATCTGAAAACTGGTTTGTTAATCATTTCTCAAGACATCGGCTGCTCCAAATTACGACACACGCATCTACCTTTTCCCAACATTCCCCATAAGTTAACACTCCATACCAATGCATGAACACGTACGTAATCATCGTTACGGCAATGCACCGAACGTAACGAACACTCTTGTATGAGCGTTACGTTCACAAACTTCGAACAAAGCTATGCACGCCCTGAGCGCATGACTAGGAACTGATTTGGATGCTTTCTCATGCTCCACTTCAAATCCCAATACCTACCAAGTTTATTATTCAAGTTGAAAATGATGGATGGTGAATGCAAATGATTGTTGCAAATGCATCATGTGCCTACACCAAATTGGCACATTAACTCGGCTAATACTATTTTGCTGCAGTCATTAATGATTAATAATTTGTCGTCTTGGTCGCGTAATCTTAACTTGCTATAAGTTAGTTTTGCGCTTTGATGGAATTTCAATCTCTTATTGTAAATCATACTTTGTTTATGCATATTGCTGGCAATATGAGGGAGATCACCCTTGTTGAAGGGGGCTTTGTGTGTTTTTACCAAGCACTATTGGTAACAGGTTTCGAAATAAAAATAGCTTGGAAAGAGAAAATATAGACATCCAGGTTGAACATGATATGATGGAAATCGTAAGAACTTAATGAATAAAGAAAAAGTAGAAAATCAACTGAAATTTTGAAGTGAATGATATATTGTTGATTAAATCATGATCATTTTTCTTTTCTTTTCCTAATTGCTATAAGGGTTTCTTTTATCAAACCAAATTTAAGCATGAATGTAGAAATGTTTTGTTTTTAAGAATAGCACGCTAATCCGATGTTAATCAGTTAATGCAAGTAACAAAAATGTTCCAATTTGACCCCTCCCCAAAATAGATTTGTTATGATATTTGCTCTTTGCTATAGTTTAAGTAACTGTAGCACAGCTTATATGATCGTCTTATCTTTTCATCCGAACTATGCCAAGAATTTGTCACAAAAAAACTCCTTAATATTTGTGCCCAGTTGTAGGACTCTTCCTATTAAATTTACATGAGTTCTTGTACTTCTGAGATGAGGAATGAACTGCAATCGAACGAAATGTATGTCATGAACAGATACGTACTTACAATATTTTGATTTAGCTATTTGCTAATCGAAATGCTAATCAAATTATAATGAAATGGACAAACTGGTAGAATCTTACCGTCTGAAAGTGTCGCATAATCACAGAGAGACAGAATTTCAATACAGTTTTCACCTGCATTAACACACTAAAAACATCCATCACTCCCCTTTTATCGTTTATGCAATTTTCGACAGAGTCTGAAAAAATGAAAGTGTTGAAAGATCCCTCACCTATCCCTCATCTACGGTTTTCTGTAATTTCTAATCATTTTATAAAGTCCTTCGTAGATTAAAGCCCTTCAATTTCAGGAGAGTTTTTAAGCTATTTACTCTTGCAAGAAAACTTTTTAAACGCTCACTATTTACATAGCAAATAAGGGCTTCAAATTTAAAGTTGGATCTTAAATAGAAATAAACACATTCCAGAACCATTGATAAGCAGCAGGTCCTGTTAAAAAACTATAGGACCTTGTCGCTCTTCTGTATTGCATTTTTCTTCATTCAGAAAGGCCACTGAGTTGCGCTTTCGACTCCTAGCAAAAATAATTTTACTAAATTTGAACCAGTATGTACCTAATGCTATACTTAGAAATTGAAATAAAATATTTTACAATAAACAGAAATTATCATCAGCAATTGTCACATATCATTTGTGCAGGAATAAATAACTTCGACTCAATTTTTTTTTGGGAAGTATTCCAGACAGGCCCGTTTGATCGCTAACTGGAGAGATGTATATGATACAAAGTAAAGAATAGAGAGAATTATGGTAAAAGTAGTCCAAAGCAATAAGGAAAAAGAAGAGTTGTTGAAATACACAAAAAAATTTCATTTGGTAAATAATTAATACATCACTACGAGATAAATAAGAAATGCAGTAAATCTCAAGTATTATGATACTGCAACTCAAAAACATGGCTACCTTCAATTTTAAACAGTATTTATGTGCTTCTTCAAATGAAATAACTCAAAAATGCTCCTTTACAATTCAGTGTTTTTTTTTTTTCAGTGCACTATACGGGAAAAACATTTCGTTATAAGTGGTATATTCACTCATTCCCGTATAAACTACAAATAGTAGTTTGACCTACTTATACATAAAAACAGTACTTGAAATTCTAGAAATTTTATTACTCTGTGCAAAATTTCCAATTTATTTCAAATATTACAACGTTATATTTTTAGTTAGAAGTTGCTATAATTTGATAAGTGCTGCTTTCGAAGAAATAAACGTAGCATAATATCGAATAGAAAAGTCACATATGCCTGATTCAAATGATATCAAATTCCTCCAATTGTACATTTCCTTTTCTTTAATTCACTTAAGAAATCAAGGATGCCGCAGAAAAGAGAGTTATTTTAATGATCTCTCGGAGATGATTAATCTCTGAGGAATCAGTGGAACAGCTCAATTTTTTTTTCATCCTGAATCACCATTCATGTAAATATAGGCTGAAAGGAGAGAGACCTGAGATTCCAAGCACACCCTAATCAATCATATTTGATTGCAACCGGGAACTAGTATAACAGAAAAGAATTGCAGTAATGAGACTTTCATGTTCACTTTTTTCTATTTTCCTTATTTGGTTGAAAGAGACGAAATACTCAAGTTCGCGCTTCAAAGCTAACCACTCTGCGAACCAAATTAGACCACGTAATGAAGCCACGGAAAAATATGCAAGAATAACAAGGGACGTCATGGCTGACAACAAATATTTCTTTTAATACTTAAATAAAGCAAGATCAAAACTGTAGTAAATTCCTATCACTTAAATGTATTCTTTAGAACGGAATATTACAATGAAAAGGGTAAATTTCTCTGTTGTTCGGTGACTCGTTGCAGAATGGATTCCGCACTGTGTCTCAACTCAACTTGTGTTTCACGAGTCAAAAGAAAAGATTTTACTGAAGTATATACTTCTTGAGTGAATCCACACCGTCTTATCACTTCCATATTTTTCATTATCTGCAGTATCATTGCCATTTTCTAAACAGTTTCACTTCAAATTATATCGAGAACGAGTAGAGTTAAATAGAAACAAATAGAAACAGATTTTATGAAGCCACCAGCATAATTATACCTGTGATTGGTTTGTATCGATCAGATCCTGGCATAATATCCCATAAAGGACTTTCAAATCGTTATCATAAAAAAGAACCGAAATGAGGTCATCTGACACACAAAAAATGTCCATCAACAATTTAACTGCACGCAAATCTGAGCAATGAATCCAAGGTAAAAATAGTATGAAAAGATTGAGGATTGCATATCCAGATAATGGTCAGCGTTTTTTGGGAAATAAACAGCCAGAGTTTACAGCTGATGATTTATGTTTGGATCTAACTGTGGAACTTACCTTTATTGTCAGCTCTACACCGGTTCAACTGTATTGTGAGTAATTGACCAAATGTAACTGGGGCATTTTTATGCAAAGTCTGAATAACAGTATTTTCATTTGACTCGAAATGGGAATTGAATGACAAAATAAACTGGAAAGCATCTGTGCAATCTTTTACTATCGAGACTATCTTTGTTAGAAATTCTAAATTCAAAGCATCTGAAAAAAAAAGATGTTTGTAAAAATAATTTGCGAGGAATTGAAAAAGCTGCATCTTCATTCTCTTTTTGCTGGAAATATTAGTAGCTATCTCATTCCTGAAAGTTATTAGATTCAAAACGACTTAAACTTATTAAATCAAAGTGATTTAAAATCAAAATATCAAAATAAAAGTGATCTAAAGTTATTTAATTCAAAATGATTATTTGAATAACAGGCAACACCATGAATATAAGGAAAATCTGTTCGAAAAAGTGTGAACAAATACGATAAAAAAGGAAACTTACCATAATGTGACGTAGGAAATCTTTCACCAGTTGAAAATAATACAGAAAGCAACTGCAAAGATAATATATCAAGTTCAGTAAGTGGTAAAGAGAAATTATTTTGTAATACTAGCAAAACCGGCAATTGTCCACAAAGTAATATTGTTATGACTGATCGGTCCAACAAGCAAAGTGAGTGGAATGTCGTAAGCAGCTCGATGCGTACTGATTTCTTTAACTCCTAAAGCGAAGCAATGATATGATATTCCATTTAAATGAGTTTCCTCTTAATTTCTAAAACTTACTTTTATATTAAACCGACCTATAATGGAAACCTACTATTTGGTAAAGTGAAACGAGCTGCTCAATGAAGATATAATCATCCCGACGAAAACGTTTCATGAGTACTCCAACATCAGCTTTCTTCTGTAATTTAAATTTCACGCAAACAACCCTAACCTTTTTTTTAAAAATCTTTTAAATATTTGAATAATTAAATTGAATTTGAGAGGAGCTGAAATTCCTATGTAACCAAGGCCACAGACCAGTGCTGTATTATTAAATTACCATAAATCCAGAAAAGTGTTGCAAAGATTTAACCATCACAGTTTCATCATTCCGAATAGACCAGTCTAGCTGCAAAACATTGTTGAAATCAATGTAGATAGAACCTTCCTCTTCATACTACATTTCTACTTCAAATTTTATTTAAAGCTGTACAGCTTTTACAGTTAGTTGATGGGTGGAAAAATAGTAGTATTGAGAACAACAAAAAACAACCGTAACTCTATGCTATGCATACCTGACCTTTATCCTCAATATAACTTGTTAAACTGACAATGACCTGTTCCAATACCTTCGCATCATGGCAATTTTCCACGTCGATTATATCGTCTTTTTCCAAAGCACTTTTTATAACACGAAGACCATATATATCGGGCAAATCTCGCAGTAAAGTACTCAAGATGATTGATACAGTATTTATACAGACCCCTATAGGGGCATCAGTCTGTTCCCGAACGACATCAACCAGCTCTCGAGCTTTTTCCTTACTGTTCAAGATCGGGACATACATGAACCACTCTAGCTCTTTTGTATTTCTAAGAAAAGTTGAAATAATCTCAGGAAAGAAAAAATTCACATTATGTACCAATTCTGTTGTACTTGAAGTCCCTCTCACAATTAATTTACCACTATTTTTTGAAAGACATGTTCGCACTTGCGCTTTGAAGATGATCATTGACCCTTACTATCTTTTTAACTGTAACATCCTATTTGCAGTCGAATTTTTGTCAAACTACAATACTTCCTGAGGAAACCGTACAACGTCCGAAACTGATTGTGAAAAGAGATGTTCAACAGTGAATCACATTCACTATAACCAAACAACTCCAACACTCACGTCAGTTAAATGGAAGTTGAATTTAATTTTTGAAGCATATGTATATTCCTTCCTTAATAGATGGATGAAAGACAGTCGAGTTGGCACAGAAGCTGTTAAAGTATTACCAAAACCTATTCATACTGCGTATCATTTCATTACCTCAAATTCTCACGCTATCGACTCATATTCGCTGTTGAAAAAGTTTTCGAAAATGCTATATACATTAACATTAAGGTGTATCAAAGGCAAAAAGCATGAATTACTGACATCTGATAGCCTATTCACTCACATAGTCATTCATTTACCACACACAATCCATCGAAACAAATAAAATAAAAAAAAAAAAAAACTCTTTACAGAAAACTGTTTTGATATGACCATAATTAACACAATGATTACAGAGGTGGAAGTGAAAATTTCCAGGTTGAAATTAATTCCAGTTGGCAGATGGTTTCTATCAAACGAAAGAAATAAGGTGTTCCAACTACGTCAAATTTCTTACAACCAATGAAGCTATAATTAAACTAAGATATATAGAATCAACGCCAGTTCAAACGGATTATACCAGTCGTATAAGGTTAGCTCTTTTCTCATTCTCCAAACTACTAATAATGGATAAGCCTATCCATCTTGCTTTGCTCATTCACCTGTATAGTTGAAGATTCCACAATCCGAGAAAATCATTTCTATATTTTTACCAGTAGTTGTTAAAGTGTAATGTAAAATATAATTTGCTTGAAGCTTTTGGAAATATATCTCAGCTTAATATTATTTGTTGCTATCCCATTCAAAGTTAGAAAACACTGGAGAAGTCCTACCAAAACTTACTTAAAAATACAAAAGAAAATGTTATCCCAACCTGAAAATATGGACCCCAAATTTAACTGAGTAACACTTCATTCATTAGAAACATTAAAAACCAGTAACAAATATTGAGACGTTAGTTTGGCATAAGAAATAAACAGAGAATGAGCCGGAAGGTACGTTCCAGGTACTTAAAGATAGCCTCGTGCAGCATACAGTCACTTTAAAGCTCCTATAAAAAACAATTGATCATGATTTATAACTATGCTTACGTTATTCCTGATAAAAAATTACAAATCGGAAATGCTATACAGAACCCAATAAAAAATAGGCAGACTAGTAGTTACAACATGCAACAGGAACAGAACTCAAATACACAGTTGGTAAATGGATGTTGTTTGCATAAAGTATAAAAGGAAAGAAGCAAACAGAAATTTCATGACAATAAGCAATACTTTGAATTCGACAAACATTCAGTACTGCAACAGATTGGTACAATGAATGCATGGTAGGAACATGGTAGATTCTAGACGAGATTGAACGCTTGGCTAATAATGCCTTGTGTAATTCTCGAAAAATCATCTTCCGAGTCTGAATCAGAAAATGACCATACTTCGGAATATAACGGGCGTCTCCGTCTGCAAAATGCCACCATCACCTTTTATGAACATAAATTGAAACAACGCAGTGAAGTAACTATATGCAGCAAAAAAAACCTTTGAAGAGTCCGCGGACTATCGCCTTCCACAATAGTGCCATCAGGCAGTTCATGTTTGTAGAAACACTTATTGCCAAATGGACAGTCATCGATATGCCCTTCTTTCACATATTTGCACTGTTTCCGTTTTGTATTCTCACGAAATCTAGCAATCAAGTCATTCTTATCTGCTTGGTCTTCGACCCAATATGTGGCTGCAATATACACACATAAGTTGGGCTTTTCTCTCCCAAAAATATGCAAAAAAGAAATATTTAGTTGAATGTTAGTCTAAATGTTCCTAAACATTGCTATTAAAAACAATCTTTTACTAAATATAAGAAAAGACTTCTTCAGCAGAGTGAGGATAACTAACCGGGAACGACGAAATCTGAATGAGTGCGACATTCAGGACAACTACGAACTGTCTTCTTCTCGAAATGGTCATTCTGATTTCGGCGCCACTGCCTAATACAGTCTAAACAAAAACAATGTCTGCAGCCTTCCAGGATTCCAAAACGACTCTTTCTTTCTCTAAAACTATACATATTCTCATGTTCACAAATGACAAACAGGAGTGATTATATTTTTATTTGAAAATAAGAAAGTATCTCTCCCTTTCCAGTCCCAGTAAGAGATGAGACACATTAACTTGCCTAATATTTTCCATACATATACCACAGATTTTATCAGCCGAGCGCGCTTCAGCAAAAGCCTCCTCCATCGCAGCTTCATGAGCGTCTATACATTCGCGTCGATGCTGTGCACGCTGCTCTGTATCTGTTGGATGTAAGCATGGCACATTACAAAGATCGCACACATCACCATGTACGAACTGACACTTGTCACCTTTGTCACAATCTCCGGTTTCAAAATATGGACATAATGGTAGCGAACCTAATGAACTGAAACCATCTCTATATTCTTCATTTTATTTTATAAACAAATAATTCAGTCTTTGCAAAATATTTTAGTTCACCTACCCTGAAGCGACGGTATTAACTTCGCTTAATGCCAACACTTTCCAAGAAGGAATGAATTCGGTTGCATCCACGGAAAACACATGACCGCTTCGGTTTACTGTTGCTGCTGTTGTTACTCCTTCACTATTACTGCAACCATTTTCAACCACTGGAATAATGAATAATCAAACTATTTCCTATGTTACGCAAACAGTTATTAATGAAGTTCATCAACTGCTCTCTTGGTAAAATCTCTCGCACCTTAAACATAACTATTTCTTCCCTATTGTATCTTATTTTTTAGTGAATGTCTGACAATTATAACAATGCATATCCAGATTACTAGCCAATTTTTTGAAACACCGTTGGGATAAAAACTACCTTTGATTGCGTTAGGACTTCCTGTCGTACGAGAAACGCTTTTCACTGCTTTAACCCCATCCAACGGCGGTCGCTTATGGTCATATCTGAAAACATTTAAACGACTCCTTTGGCGTTTTGGTGGTTTAATGAAAGCATTCTAGCCTCAACCCAATTCAGCTGTAAGAGCTATAAATATATCAGTTGAATTAAGAAACAAATGAAATATTGTACCTGCAAGAAGTACCAAAATCACATTTTCCTATAAGGTAGTAACGGCACGTTCGATCCGGTTTCGAATTACGATCGTGAGAAAACGGACATGAAGCACCTTCGCGACAGATATTATTTGCAAAATACCGACACAAAATTTTACTCGTTAGAGTGGTAGTTGGTGCTAAAAATAAAAGAAAATGTATTTATGCAGAATTCAGCAACAAAACAACTCCCCAATCCGTGTACCCTGAACAAATGCATAAATGGTCAAACTTTGCTTAACATGTTTGATACGTAGTGCAGACGAGACGTCGAACTTATATAAAATTTAATGATGAAAGCAAATGATAATAACAAACAGCACTAGTATAATTGTAGAAGCAGTCGACTTTTTCATCTCTCCCCAAATCTATCAACGTTGGGACAACCTACAGAATTTGGAATAAACTCTCGGATTCTCATCTGCAAAAAATTATAAATTGAAAGCTTACCGACAGCCATATACTGGGTGTTCTGTCCCGTTCTTCTGGAAAAACTGGGTGTTCTGCCCCGTTCTTCTGCAAAAAAAAAAAACATATATTATCGACAATTTCTTTACCATGTGTCACAATATGTGCATGGAATCACCTAATAAATACCCGTGTACCTAGTACTGCAATACGCAGACAAAGCTCACCATTCTCACACAACAAAAAAGTCGATCTCATCATTTAATTAATGCATGTGTGCACTGTCCTGAAATGAAGCCAGTACAATCCAGTATTGTCTACCGGATGACTAACTTGCACGCAAATTTAAACTGCCCGCAAATCCTCTAAGACATATCAACTATTACCACGAAATGCAGCAAAAAAACAATCGAGTCCTTCCCAATACCCAACAACGACACACCAGCCACCCTGCTTGATATCTCTGTGACGCTGCACGACGGTTAGTAGCCAAATTGCCAGCACGGCCGCGTTGCGAGCACTCCTGTGGCATGCAGCATTGTGTATTGCATTTTTGGATCGGTGCTTTATTTATTGGGAGCAGTAGCCAAGGCTTGGTTCTATCGTACTTAGTGAAGAGAAAAGAAGACGGGGAGGACATGGAGGACATCCTTACCCTTATAGTTAAGTTGTAGTGCAGTTCACTATTGATGTCCAATGAAACTGTGGTATTTTCTGATTGTCATCAGTGTTTGGCGACAAACATTTAACTGGTTTTTAAGAGTTTTACTTACCTCTCTCTCTCTCTCTCTCTCTCTTTGTGCATTTGGTATTATTAATTACATATTTCTCAGTGTGTGACCACTCTTACATTTTTGTTAATTTCGCCTGAAATACTTCACGGGATGTAGTGGTGGCAGGAACGACAGCTTTTTCAGTTATAGATTTCCCAAAAAGGTTTCTTTCATAACGGAAGTATTTCCGTAGCATTGTCTTTCACCACACATATACACACATACACAATACGAAAGTGAAACCTTAGATTTACAATAATTTCAGTCTTCAGGTAACATCATGCAATAATGACGGGTGCGTCTACAAATCAACTACTTTTGCAAACCCCAAACTGAGTTTTCTAGTACTCCCTTTGAATTCATGCTTCTGTTGTGAAACTATAGCAAGTTGTGTTGTAAAACTATAGCAACCTTACATATATTACGAGCTCCGATGTATTACATACAATTATGATAGCTGTATCTGACAATACCCAAGCTCCCATCCCAACACATGACTTCAAATCCCGAGTTGGGCACACTCCACCTCCAAAAACAGCAAATAACCAGAGTAAAAGAAAGGAAAACTAACAAAATCTGGAAAAAGAAACAAGACATCAAGATGCCGTGCGTTTCAAGTTCTGAGCGCATGTCCTGATATTCCTGTATCATCTTTACTGATTATCAAGTCACGTGATACCTCAGTTTCAACATTTACTCATGTGCAAAAAACAAATGAAACTCAAATTGACATAAGTATTTTTTTTGCAACATTCCTTATACAAAAAAAAAGAAAAAAAAAAAGACACAAAATATGTACATACACAAAAACACTGCAACTGTCCGAAGGGCTAAACCTCTTGAGACATTTTCAACAAGTGCGCAGAAATGTACATTGAGTAATTGCTGTGCATTGCCATACATGCGATCATACATAATACGGGATTGTTTGTTTTCCATAAGTTTTTTTCCATTAAAAGAAAAAGAGTGAGTTTAATATTTCAATAAGAGAAGCTAACAAAACGAAGGAATTGGAGGCATTTGTTCTACAGATTAAATAAATATTGTGAAAACAAGCACATCTGCAAATACCAGGAATTTGCAAGAACAAGCTTTTGTCACCGGAAAATACTACCACGAAGAAATGCGAATCAATTAATGGAATATGAAAATAAAGAATATGCAAAAAACAATCCTTCATCTACAGGAATGTTCATTTTATAGCCGAAAGCGTAGTAAAAAAACCAACAGGAGATAATATTATTAAAAGTGCTTAAATGCCTAACAACGAACGGGCATGTGTACTGGGTAGAAGTTTTCGCCTATTTTTCGAAAGAAGCAATAACAAAAGTAATTAAATACCAAAAGAAAATTGAGGAAGCCTTCAAACCTACGGAATATCACCTGTAAGCAACAGTATTACTTTCTGTCACTAAATTAAAACCAGAATGCAATCATACTTACTGCTTTCACAATGTCTCTGACATCTAATGAGATATACTTCTTTTTATCTTCTACTCATTTTTTTTTTCTTTAAATATGTCATTTTATTTTTTTAAATACTAGTGATTCATTATAAGGATTTAAACTCAAAACTCATTCAGAGGAGATCATCAAACTCATTACAAACCTACAAAGAATGAATTCAACGTTTTGAAAGTCACAAATGTTATCATTCCGCCATCTGTTATGCTACACTGTTAACTAGTTAACACTAACTGATTCCAACCAGTTTTACGCTAGACGAAAAAACTAATGGAAAAAGAAGTACAATTAATAAGCATCATATTCAAACAGCTGTGGCATTCTTCTTTATTCCATTCGTTTTGTCTTTATAATAATTCTTCAGAGTATCCATTCGAAGTTCTGTGGGTGCTGTGGTTACTTTTCCCAGTGGACTCCTGACACCAATTATCCCATTTCGTATAGCAACTGGATAAGCAGGTGGTGGAGGGCGCAAAATTGACGAAGATCCGATAATCTGAGCCACATTTCGCAGTGATGTCATACTGTGTTCCAAAGTGTTGCACTGCTGTAACGGTGAACGTTGCTGGTAGTGATGAGTATCAGCTGATAAAAGAGGTTTGCTAAAAATAATCTCCAGTAAAAATACTTTAATAAATTAAAATTTTCCGCATTAGATTTCGAAGAAACATCGAAAAGTAAAGTAATCATGATGGATGAAATGTAGAACATCTAACGAATTTGAGAAAAAGATACATTTCGCTGAGAAGAAAATATACCTGTTTTCTATACTAGGACCAGAAACTGGAAAAGTAGTAGTGAATCGAGGAGTATTCAGAGGTGTACGTCGAGTAACTGGTTGTCCAATACAAACTTCACGAACCATATCGGTGACAGCTAATTGTGCTGATCGAAGCTGCTGATATCCCATGGAACTACAGGATGACTGCCTATATATATATATATATATTGAAAAAATGAAAGGCTGCAACTGTAGGCCATGAAAATTACAAATACAACTATATTCATTGTTAAAATGGATTTCGAATACCTGATATGCAGAACAAAACACTATAAATTTGGGTCAAACTCTTATAATAATTACCAATTTCTTTTTTCTTTTCAGGAATTAATTTAAGGAAGATGGATTTCAAAGAGGAAACCTTTCCTTCATAGCTCGTCTGTCCAAACTTGCTGTTGTAAAACCATCATATGACCGCGATGTCGGAAGTACTGCGTAACGCAATGGGGTTTTCCCATCATTCAACAATAAACCAGCAACGGGTGGACTACTACAACCACTATTTTGATACGTCTCCAACGAGGAATTTACCAACTTCCGTCTAAGGCATGATGAAGATGGGGTCTCATCATTCTGCTGCTGTTGCTGAATCATCGCTTGTTGACTTGTATTATTATCTTTTCCTACTCCTACTATACATAAATCTCGGTTATTTTCCTGAAATTTAGTTCTCATTTTCATTAATTCTCATCTTTGCCACTAAAAGACATATTCGAAAAAAACTTCAACAGAATCCAATTTTGAAAAAAAAAAAAAAACCTGTGCAAAAAAGTCTTTCCAAGAAGGCTGTTTCAAAGCGGTTCCGTAACTTGCAATGTTTCTTGAAGAACCACTACATCCGATGATTGAATAATTAATTCGAGATTCATATTTATCGTCACTCTTAGCAAATGATTCTTGTTCTGGCAAATCGTGATCCGAGAATGCGCGCTCAACTCGACCTTTGCAGTCAGAATGATCCTGCATATGATTACTGAAGTGGAATCCAAAAAATGCGGCTCGAATTCAAAAAATAATTCTGAGGAACCACTACTGCACAGATTTTATGAGTACTGTGTTAGTAATGCTGTGTGGGTTAGAGAAACCATACAGAACTAACAAAGCCTTCAAAAAAATCTACTACTTAATGACAGGATGAGCAACTTACATTTAGTGTAGGGAAATTCATTTCTCTGTAGGAACTTTTGTAAGAGACACATGACTTATAACCAACATTTTCATATCTGAAACAATAAATTAAGCCTATACAGAATTCAGAATTAGTTATGGCAGACGAAATTTTCATACAGACAATTCGCCAAGACAGATTAATCTGCATTTTAACATAAGCAAGTTATTAAATTATTTATAAAAAGCGTTCTCATATTAGTGATGTATCACTTAACAGTCTTCTATGCTACGAAAAGTGGAAAAATGCTTATTTATATCGCAACTACAGACGTTTCACAGCACAGTTCAATAGCTTAGCTTCACGTCCGGGTAGCACAGAAATGAGAGTGATCCTTTATGATTTACTTTTCAAGAATTCAATTTTCCTTTGTGCTTGACTTACATGGGTATATGGTGATTTTCAGCGTTCTTGTTTTTCAGTTTCTCCCAAGATATTTCACGTTCTGGAAGAAAATAACAAGTACGATGAAGTGGAGGTGGTACACGCTTTGAAGTTCTAGAATCAAAAGGCGAATTCCCAAGCGACAAGCCACTTTCGCTGACACCAGTAAAGAAACTAGTATTGTTACTGATATGAGCAGAATGAATGCTGGAGCAAGTTGATGTTGAAGGATATCGCTGGACGCACTCCCTAAACACAGTAATGAAATTTCTAAATTGCAAATATGAGTTTAAATTTGAAATTTCGGAATACCATTTATGAACTCTCTTATATCTCTTACTATTTCTAACGAATATCAGATTCTTTCCCATTAATCTAGATCTAGTTCTATTTGCCGTCAATCATAATCTCAAATAAAATCAAAACACAAGAGCAAAATTGAATAAAAAATAAAGATTTTACATGGACGCTCTCCTCTTTCCATCATCATCACCATTATTATTATTATTATCATCACTTGCTTCCCGCCGTTCATTTTCCGCGGAGTTAAGCAAATCAGGAAACGAGCCTCGTGGTGTAGCTGGGCAAGATTTCGTAATCAAAGAATTTGAATCATTTCGAGTACCTAACGAAGTCGATTCGATCTGATAATCTGAACAATTTCGCCAGGGTCCTGGAAATACTAATCTAGATTAATAAATTAAATCAGACAATGAGAAACGATAACAAATCGGTGATGGTATAAGTGATAATCACATAACTATGAGCGTGATGAGTAAAAATAATTGTGAGGATAAATAACCTTTACTTCCAGGGATATTACGGATAGAACTGCTGACATCAGGTTTGCTAGCCGAAAGTCGGAGCTGTGTAAGACCGAACTCGAGTCCCCGCAATTTCTGAGTTGCCGCTATTAAATCCTTTTGGCGTTTTTTCCTCACCGATTTGTTGGTTGTTTTATCTTTAGCTAGACGTTCTGCTGCAGCAACAATTTTCCTATGTAATTCGACATCCGCTTCCAGCATAGAAATCCTATCATTCTAAAGATAATTATCATGAAAGTTTACTTAGAATTTAAGTGTAGAACATTTCTACATTAATCTTGATATTACAACAAAATCTGAATAAAGTGACACAGAAAACTGACACTATCTACCGGTCTCTTAAAAACTTCTTCACTGAGCGAAAAAGATGTTCCAACACGTCGCTTCACTTTTGGCTCCTCCTCCCCTGGCATTAGCGTCTTATAAATCTCTTTTGGTAATTCACCCGTGATTTCCTATAAAAAAGTGGTAATTAGAAGTACGACAATGAAAAAATTCATATGTAGCGTAAATTGCTGGTTTATAAGTATTTACCGCTTCCTTGATGCATAGTTCCCGTAATTCGTCAAGTTTTGCCAGAAGTTTTTCTTCGAGTTCGTTTTTTCTTTTCTTCAGCCGTCTATACATTTCAACTTCTTTTTGCTTCTCTTCCTCATTCTTCTCTACAAATAATAATTGAAATGAATCAATTATAAAGCACATCTTAGAAAAATAATAAAAACTTCTAAATCTCATATCGCGCTACCTCGATTTTGGATATCGTTCAATGATGACAATGAAACAAGAGAACCATCGGATACTTTTGCTGACGGCATACCATTCGACGATAATGAACTGTAATATGAATGACGCTTTAATAATAACACTTCTGAATGGGCAGAACTATTATTGGTCAAAAATTCAAAAGCGTTAACTTTATGTTACAAAAAAAAAAAAAAAAAAAACTAAGGAATTTAGACTTATAAATGGAAACAGCAGGAAATGTTAGAGTGAAAAAAATGATTCAGAATAAGCAAACTATTCACGAATAAAAAAAATGGTCAAATAATAAATTATTAGTCCACAGAAGCAGCGATGAAATTAGCTCGATTGTTCTGACGATTTAACTGTGGGTGAAAACCCATAAATCTCACCAATATCCAAGCAATTCTAATCTGTTACACTGCTTAGCATATTGACACATATATGTATGAGAAGTTCAAAACATTGATCCCACTGGAGATGAGTTCACCAAATACACTAAGCTGCACTGTTAGTTAAATTCTCTATTCCTTTTGTCAGTATATCTATCGGAACTTTAGGATTTTATTTGAAATTGGCCCTACAGGACAGCAGGCTCACAAAGCAAAGCAGAATTACTATATCAACTCTTTCCTAGAATCCCTTAGAAGGCTAAAGGAGGGAGTTAGAGCCACAAATAACTTCCGTCATTTTACTTACTGGCTGCAAATATTCTCTTTTCGCCGAATGAGTTACGTCCAATTAAGCTTCCACTAATAGAGTTGGGATTTTCATGAATCGACTTCTACAGCTGGTTTCAGTTCGTCATGAGTTCTTTTATCTCCAAGGTTTACAATGCATGAAAAGAATTTCTAGAATTAAGGATGTATGGATGATTCTATGTACAATGCATTTGTAGACGGCTGTGGTTCACAGTTATTGCTGCGCATGCTTCAAATTCCAATGGTGAATTTCCGAACCATTCGTTGCTATTTCGGGAATTCGTCAAAAGTCGGGAAAGGGAAGCAGTCAAGAAGTGGAAAAAAAGTTATGATTTGCACAGATAGCGATGGTAAACAAGAGAAGAAATCCTACAGCAAAAATGCAACCATCTGCCTGCTTTAATTTGACACACGTATTCTCACAAATATATGCTTATTTCGGTGAAATAATTATATTGGTGAGGGTACTGTATGTCACTAGTAAGTAAGTATTAGAGAATAAGCTTACTTCAAAGAAGGCAGTGACGATGCAACAGAAGAATGGCTTATTAGACGACAGAGTTTCTCGCCCAGTTGCTTCAATTCAACTCCTGGATCATTCGACACAATCCTCTGAAAGTAGCGCACAGTTATCTATCTAAGCTCTAATTATAGCACCGATCTTTAAACGCTGCAACACAAGTGCCCCTCCTCTCACCCTGTCTTTTCCTCCCTTCCACTTGTCACTGAGCAATAGGATACAAAATTTGTTGTAGCATTTCTACAATTATGCATTCCTTATTAGGAAATACTTCAATCAGTTTCTTAACCTACAAAATATAACTTTTTTTTCGGAGAAGCTTTCTTGATAAACGAAAGAAAACTGTCAACTAGGGATAAGATTAAATGCTGTGACACCACTGTTTTCGGCAAGTGATAATCATTACAGCAATCACCTTATCTCCTCCCCTCTTCCTTTTCCTTTAACTCATCTCACCATTATTGTGATGAGAACTCCTAAATTAACGCCAATTCAAAAGTTGAGGTACTCGAAAATGAAATATGAGAGGAAAATGTGGAATTAACTCAAAAAATCCGTAGGCACATATACTTTGCCTTTCTTTTCTCCTTTTTCTCTCTCCCTCTCCTACACCCAACTCCCTTCCACTCCAGTAAGAATTACTGACAACTAATGACCCCCTCTGGTATCGAAATTTGTCGTGTAACTTTCCTTGCATGAAAGTGCAATCAAATAATTTATAACAGATCCTCAAAGGAATGTAGAAAACAGTTACTGCAAGAAATATGGCATACGAAACGCTTCTTGCAACAAACTTTCATGATAAAACTGGTGACTTCTCCATTCATATATATAAAGAAATGAAAAGGAAAAAAGAGATCTATTCAAATGTCTATAATACCAGCACAGTGATGGATAAGAAGAAACTGACAGGAAGTGAAGTAAGGAAAACATCAACTGCCGAATCATCAGACATCCACCACAATCAGTCGACTATTATTTCAGCTCACGCAAATGACCACAGCAAATAAGAAGACATAATATTTCAATCTGATTGTTACGGAATGAAATGTAACCAAAATAAAATGGACCACACCTTCCGACACAACAGTGCACCGATGAGTTGCTGTCTTATTGACTGTCGGCATGATGTACCGCCTGCTTACGTGTATGTGTGAATGTTGTTGATTGAGGGCCAGCAAAATCTCATTGAATCAAAACCATCCACTGCAGCGTGCGATACCGTGTGATGCGGAATGGGATGGTGTGAGTGCGTTTATGTGGGCTGATATTGTTTCCAAGTATGGTTGCTTGTTATTCTTGCAGATGACTCACTCCTATGACTAATTGCGCGCGATTGCAAAAGGATATCGACTTATTGAGGATGTTCGTTAACCAGACAAATATACCCTACCTTTTTGCCAATTTTTATTTTGAATTGTTGCATGGTTATATATGTAAAATGTTCACTTAACCCGGAAGAGCTGTGCTACTGCAGCCCAACATAATTTTTGCGATCGTAACTGTTCCAAGGTGAAAGGCTACACTAATATCAATAATACAAAATTTTCCAGTGCTCATCGTAACCTTTTCAGTACTATCATGATCAGATGATTCAGAAATGTGAACGGGCACTATTCCATATATATATAAGCTCGATAATGTAACATGTTCCCAATCAAAAAGCCGACAAAAATACGACACGTATAACATTACTGCTAGGAATTAACTAGCACATTTAATATGTACATTTGTCTAAAAAAAAAATACCACATTATATTATGTCATAAGTTTCTAGGCTTCCCTATCACAGCTTGAAAGCACTTCATTGAAAGTTATCTTTTCGCTTGATTAAAGTTATAGTCATTTACAATCCCCATTCCCGCGTTTACTTGTGGATTAACACTGGATACTACAGATGATTATTCCTCCTGTCTCAGTTACTAAAACTATCTTAAAAACACATCATCTGAGAAGCAATAATCATCAAGAATACTCGGAAATTAAAAGCTGAATTCAGGGATTTGAGAAAAAAAAAAGTATAAGGAAGCAATCATGATTTCAGGAAAATACAATAAATGGTATTTGATAAACGTGCAAGGACTTAATTATTAATATGATAAACAGTGAACACTTATTTTAATAAAAATGTGAACGGTAATGACGGGACGGATAGATAAAACGCAAAACAGGAAAATTCATCCACTTTATCTCAACGTTAACAATGTATGGTTTAGCTCGGAGATAGAACCATTCAATGTTAGCATCCACAATTTTATCTTTAGCATTTTATGATGCATGCGAATGCATCTGAGATAGTTCTGTGAATTGAATATCGACGTAAGTGCTTTACTGAACAACGAAAGGCATAAACAAGAATTTAGGGCAGCAGAGTTTTAGCTACAGATAAATAATGATTTCTGGTATTAGCCCCTCTAAAAAAAAAAGAAACTTATTGCTGAATGATAAGACAGTGAATATAACAGATTACTAGCCTTCTTGGCGAAAAGAAATAACAGTGGTAATAAGCACAAAGAATAACCATAGATTTAAGATGACTTTGCAAAAATCAAAGGATATAAAAGCATCAGCAAGATTGTGCCTGAAGGACTTCATTTCATTAGTTTTAAAAAAAATATTAACTGGGAAGATGCACTCACCTTAGCACTGACACATGTTCGCTGGTCTAAATAAAACTGATGGAGTGCAATTGCTGTTGACCAAATTGTTTTGCACAAAAAGTTAGTGTCACAATAAAAAGCATGCACTTGTATAGCAGAAGATGCAACTGTTCGCCTGGATATAGACACTCTAAAAACAGCCTAATCATCCCCAAAAGTAAGCGGATTGCAAACCGATACGTGTATTTGGTGCACATTCCTTGAAATTAATTGAACTAAAATTCTGTTATTGAGAAAATTCAATCAAACTTACTGCGTCGTAGGATCTCTCACAGCCTTTGCTAGCTCATCATCTGAATCTAAATAACCCGTACTATCCAAAATACTGTTTGCACTGCCAGATGATTGGATAACCCTAAAAATTTTCAAAATTAGGAGTAAAAAAAAATCAGAGAAAGACTTTTATCCGTACATTTAAAGAAATGGGAAATAGACGATAGATACAAACATATTTCATGAAACCTTATTTCAGCAAAACCAAATGGCAAGACACAATTCTGATGAATGAAAAAAAAAAGAATACATAACAGTTACCTTTCTAACAGTAGTGGTTAATATTGTTGTATTAGTATCAGTTGAAAAATAGTAGTAGTAACTTTTTGCTTTGATGTGTTTCAGGTAGCAAAAAGTTTTCGTTTGATATTAAATTTTTTTTTTACAAAAACAATTAAAACATCAGAAGCCAGTCCTTTGCACGAAAAATCCACAATACAAAATGCATAAGAAGTAAAGTAATATATGTTCTAAACCAACCTTGTATTCCGTACTTCGATGGAAAATTTTCGATCACGATAATAAAGATTGTCTAACAGAGACCAATTGAAAATCTAAACAAAGTGAGAGTAAACGAAAAGTTAGGCATCTACTTGCATAATGGTTTTCATATTACACTACGTCACCACGCTTTTAATAAAGTTACGAATGCATTATATCAATATCATTATGCTACGTTACCAGATGTGTACAGTCACTGTGCACAGTACTGATAAAATGGAAAATTTCAGATAATGCCAAGAGTTTTGCTGGGATGGAGAAATATTCCGGGTTAATTATTAACGACTTTCAAACTGCAGTATTGAAAAGTTAAAAATGCTCAACTATGAATTAACAGTTAGCAGTAGATAGGTAAAAAACCTTTTTTGGTTTGGATATGTCAGTTGGATCATATTGAAATATTCCCTTGTTGCTGATACCAACAGTCCACGGTTGGCCAGCTTTATCGCGCACTTTATAAAAATGACATCCATGAGTTGAAGATCTTTCTGCAGTTTGTAAAAAGCTGCAAACAGTACCTATTATTCATTCATGTATCTATGCTAAACCCATCATCACTTATTTGAAATATAAATAACAAAGCGTAAATAAAAGCTGATTACTTTAGAATTGCAACTCCTTTGGGCACGCCAGTGAGATCTTTATACATTTCGATCACATTCTTTTCAACATCCTCTAATGATATATGGTATGCATGCAATATTCCATTTGGAATTGGTATAAGTTCGGTTAGTGAACATCGTGCCTTTTCATCACTGAAAATGAATGTTGTTGGGTTAAATCGGTTGCGTTTTCTTCTATTTTAATCCGAAAAAAAAAAATGTTGTATCCGAGCCAAATTTTATCCGAACTTTTATTTTAATTCGAGATCTGCTTCAAAAAACAACAGATTAATGGACAAATAGTACTCATGCTCACTCGCCATTGCAAAATCCACCTTACGTCATGTCAGCAATTTAATTAGTAAAAGAATGTACTGCATAGCATAAAAAAAGTCGTGAAGCACTCAACATAAAACGATGCCTTTTAAGAACTATTATATCCTCAACTGGAATATGATACTCAAACACTACCTTACATAATTGCCACAGTATATTTGTAGGAAGCTGGATGCAATTTTATAGTATTCCAGATCTGTGAATTCCAATAAACCCTGGAAGTAGTTTGTAGTCAATGCAAAAACATCCAAAAAAAGAGAAGTTAGTAAGAAAACTATTTTGATTTGTATTTAACAACTTTAGCACTGAAGAAAAAAAGTTTGATTAGCAAGAGAAATGTAAGAGCACAATATGGAGATCAATTTACTTTAACTAAACGCTTGGCTGTCTCCAAAAAATAGAGCTCAATAGCTGATGGATGACACAACGTGAGTACTGAATCAACAAAGAACCTAAAAAGAAATAAATGCATATTTGAAAAGATGATAAGTGTCATTTTTGCCGATGGAAATGACGTAGCTTGATTCAGAAACGTGATTTCTGAGAAGTTTGTCTTCTCTTATTCCACATTACGATTTACCATTAAAACACTTGCTTTATTAATGTCATTTAATTTCAAAATCCCTACTTTACGCTATGGTGTAACTCCAAGACGGCATGTAACTGATGAGATTTTCGTGGGATTTCATATTCCAAAACCCGTCTATCCGTGGGCAACCAGTGATACTGTTCGCTAAAAATATTGTAAAGTTCATGTAACAAATGCAGTAACAGGATATTCAACATAATTCATTTCCAGCAGTTTTCCATAACAAACTACTGTATTCCTTACTTATTAACCTGTATGCTGTCCTCAAACGGGCACAGGAATTCCCGATTTCACAATTCTTTTTTCAGTCTCGCCAATCAAAAGTTCCGTTTCCTGCACCAACCAGTTCTCTTCTATTGCCAATTCCGATTTGACAACAGCCATATTTAGTCGCTAATGCTTGATGCACCTGTTTGTATGGTTCTCCTATTCATTTTAGTTTACATCACTAACATGAAAATCACGCGGCAAGCCGGTCTCATGACTATTTTAGCCAATAAGTCAGTCTTCCAATGGTTGTGGTCCAGTTCAAAATCTTCTGACAGAGACTTATGACGCTAATTCATACGGTGGTTCGCGCTGGCTGATATATGACAGTCTTCTCTCGACTTACACAGAGCTTGCCGGCTGGAATCCAGTATAGGAAAACGTATGTGGCACTGAGAGATATCGCAACGTAACAACGGTAGCTTCTCTACAGATGAGAAAAGCGGATAGGATGCTGACGACCGGAAATAAGTTCGAAGAAACAGGCCAAAATAAGTACAAACTTACAGGTGGTCCACATAAGCTAATCCGAAATACTTCTTGTCGGCATCTTTCAAGGCTACATGACTGGCAATAATATTCAACAATTCATGAACAAATAATCGTGGTTGAATAGTAAGCTCCAGTTGTTGTCCATCCAGTAAATATATTATGGATCGCTTACCATCATGCATCTGCAATAAACTCGCTTTAGCAACCTAAGGGTAGCAGCATTGATCATTTGTCTCTCTTTACATATATTGTCCACCAACTACAATTAACACAGGTTAATCTGTCCATCGATCGGATTTTAAGGTCCGTAATAGCAAGACACTGAAGTAATACATGATCAAATCGTCTGTTGGTCTGCTTTATCCTCCAAAATATGCCGTAAAGATATTTGCACCCACTACAAAATAAAGGTATTCCCAGTACAGTTCAGAAAGGTTCCCACATATTCTATCATTCATCGCCCAACAAACGATCTTTCTCAACACAGCAATAGAGATAGCAAATGACAGCTGCCAACATTGCTTTATTTATTTGTCTATTGGTCAAGGAAATGACAAGATGGACAGAGTAGATTAAACCGAAGTACAACGTGCAAAGAGAGGAGATCGATACTTCCCTTCACACCATGACACAATAAAGAGTAGTCTGAAAATGTTATGAAGGAGGGAGAAAGAGAGAGAGAGGAATGGGAATGGAGACAAATGCTGTGGTCGGTGACGACTATTGTGGCATTGACCTTTGTCCACTGTCCCCTTTTCTGTTATTTCCTTCCTTTCCCACCTTCTCCCGTACTTTTTTCTTTGGAAATCCTTCCTTAAGGACTTTCTGGCCTTAATACTGCTAATGACACACACATACACACACACAAACTCTTTGTTGATGCAGCAGAAATGAACTGAAATTAAATTTTAAGTGGTAGCATTGTAAATTAAGGTCTAGGAAATTATAATAAACGGTCAATTTTATCTGTAAAGACTCGTACTTTGAATTGTCTACCGGACTGAAACGTAGATCAGGAGGAAAAAGAGAAGATTCTTAAATGAAGGAAAAAGAAGCAAATGAGATGGATCAAGATACCTTCTATTCGTAATTCGTCACAGCTCACTATTTGCTACTAGCCGTTTTAAGCATCGCTTTTTGAGAAATAGCTAGAGTAGAATCTTTTTCTTCACGATTACATTTGCCAAATCTCAAATAGAACACACAAAAAAATGGGTACTCAATTTTGCATTTAAAATCAAAGTTTTCTTTTACGTGTTAGATTAATTGCAGATTTGAGTAGTTTTCATATTATTGTAAATAGAGGATTTGATTTGCGAGTAAAAATGGATGAAGGAAACATTATGCCGAAAACTGGACTAAAAAACTAATGGTGACATTGAAGGACCTCCCAAAATCGGTTCCTCTTGAATGGATGAAACAAAAAACGCCCGAGTAATGAATTTTTATCGTCTATTTTTAAAACAGAGAGAGAATAAGGAGAAAATATATGATATATGAATACAATATGTAATTATATAATGGACATTCCCGTAAGGCTCATTACAATTTCCAAGAGTTCTTTATCTTTATTATTTCTTCACTTGGATTAATTAAAAAAGAAAAAAACAGAGAACTTACCGAAAGTCTCTGGAATCGGCCCATGAACAACCGGTGTACAATAATTCGTACAAAAAAGTTGTAAACCGTTTGTGTGTGAGCAGTGGAAGGAGTAGTGTGATACGTTGGAGGTAAAAATCAGTTTCGGGTAATTGATTTCAAGAGGTTGCTGGTGTAGAAATGGCAAGACGAGGTGAAGGAAACGGAAGGTGGAAGGAAGAGATGGAAGAGGTGAGGTTGTCCATACACGATAGCTGGTTACAACTACATGTCTCTCACCAAAATGACAAACTGTCGATGAGACACGAATTAAATATTATAATTCAGCGGATAGAACTGTCATTTTCTTCTCTTAAAATCACCTTCTTGTTGTGCAGCGGCTAGTCGGTGGTACATCTCGATATAACCAAACGAAATCATCTGTGCATCTGTTACGGTTAGATAGTCACTGCAATAGGTCATTTCCTTTTCTTGGGAAGTACTACCTACTACTGCAGGGAATCAAACTTAATGTTTTGTAGGCGAATGAAAAGAATAGTAAGAATCTTATTTTACTATAAACAAAAATATTTCAACTCGCTAAAAAACTGGATTGTTGAGCAGTACATCACTTTCGGAATTTGTTTCCAGAGATGCAGTAGTAGGATAAAAAACTCAGTTTGTATTTGCACTCGGTTGACTTCATTCTAGATATTTGGCTCATAATAAGTTCATTGTTGGGATGAAGTCCACTAAAAATTACTAGTGAATACGGCTCCCTTTGCAGTGCAGTTATAATTTTTTTTTCTTTTAATTTTTAATCTTAATGGGAAGAACTTCTACGTACAGGAAGATGATAAGAGGAAAACTATTTACGTATGACTAGGAAATGAGAGGAGTTTGAGGTACAAAATAGTCCAACGACTGGCTGCGAGGGCTGTGGAATTAATTGGACATAAGAAACAACAGTGCTGCTGGTCTTAAAAACGGAATTTTATTTTGTTAGCATTCTGAATTCACTGCGTTTTATTCCTTCTGATTCTGTCATAAATAAGAAAAAGGACTTAGCAACAACATTTTGCTTCATTCGGTTGAAAATTTGCGAAACCATTCATTTTAAATCCCTTCCCTGCTATTCAAAAAAGTGTGACAGTATTTGGAAACTGCTTTAAATCCATTACAAAACTTTAAAATTTATTCACATTGTTCTCTCATGACGTGAATGATAGATTAATACCGGTAATGAACAAAGCAGAAATCTAGAATTAACTTTTTATATTTGTGATGGTGGTAAATGGGATCTGATACACTGCTTTAAACTCGTGAGTGATTTTTTCTTGTGGTGGTAGACAATTGTTGCCAGTGTGACAGATGACATTGGCAACAATTGTTCACTGACAGACTTGAAGAATTTGAACAATATTTTTGAATTATCTTTATTGGAGTCACAATCAGAAGAGAAATAATAGTGGTAGTAATCCAATTGCAGAGATGATGAAAATGCAAATGACAAAATGCTGTGATTTGAGAGCTAAGGCCATGACCATTTATAGATTTCGAAGCTTTTCCAAGCTTTTGTGAATGTCCTAGCATTCTCAAGAAGCACTTACACATAAACTAGCTCCGTAAAAGTTTCCTCCGAAATGGATGACACATTCCATTTACCACTTAGAAATTCAAAGCTCTAACTGGAAAAACCGAAAATTCCACAGGCACAAATATTCATTATAAAGGTAACGGGATTCATTTTTGACTTCTCAGACAAATATGCATTTTTTTCAACCTGCGCTTTTTTCATCTCTGCCACCGTAACTTTGAAAAGATGGTGCAGCTGAAGGTTATTCTTTGTTGGTACTTTCATGTCGGCAGCTTAAGACCTAAAGTAGGAATGGCAGTGATGATTGGATTAATTTTCAGACAGAAGAGAAATTTCGAAAATATTGAACTGTCTGTTAGGCTATCATATAGGTCAAAGATTGAGCTGCCATATTAGTCAAAGGAACAGTCAAGCGAAGCGTTAACGGGGAAGGTCAGCGAAATATTCATAATAAATATGAATTAATAAAGTTATTCCAATAATATGATAATATAATGCCATGTAATTCCTATCAGGGACAAGTGATAACAGTATGTAGACTGCAAGTGTGTATTTCAGGGAATCTTAAGAGTTGTTTCATTAAAAGAGTCCCTTACGAGTCATTTTTTTTTCCAGAATTTTTCAAAATTAATATTTTTTCTACATCAAAACTCTCTTTATAATATCAACGGATGCTAGGAACGGTTATTTCAAATCACCTCCCCGTGTAAACTGATCTTCATTTCAGAATTTGACACAACGTTGTCGGAAAATGTTGTACGTTCTTTTAGCATATTTAGTGGACAGTTTACTTTTTCAAGTTGGCATGAAGTGATTCCATGTGAATGGTTTTCGACTTTACTTACTCACTGTTTCACTTCCACAGATCCCGGCTTTCAGAACAATCACATAGAGGACAACTGTCATCCTGTCTGGTTCATCTATTTCAACACACTGCCACGTTATTAAAGAGTTGAATTACTCGGCAGTTTCTCGAAATCACTGACTGAGATCGCTCTACAACTAACTTCTTCGTAAACGTAGCTGTTCACTCACTTTCATACCGCCCTCTACCTATGCGTAGGTGGTCATATGCATGCTAGTAATTTCCATTATACAACTTTGAGAGATCTAGTTTCAGGCTTATTTGTTCACCGATAAATGAAATGAAAGACGAAAATGTATAAAAAAAGAATGAGAAAAAGGATAAGAATTTAGCCTTTTGTTCAAATCTTTATCAATATGATCTACCTTTTAATCTGGGAGAATAACACCCCACTCACTTTGTATTCCAGCCTGCCTGCAAGTAAATGCATTTTGACAATTGCTTGATGTTAACCAGCATGCACAGTGATCCTCACTAGATGACTACTTGCCCCATCGCAAACGTGCATTATTGTCCGGAAGTAGGTGCAAGAGGGCAAGCAGATTTGCTTGGAGGCTTCTATGGGCAGTGAAGTGGTAAGGGATGTTGACCAGCCACGAGTGCAGCACATGTGACCAGTACCATCCTCCCCTCAGGCAGCTCTCCCCATGTCACACGTACACACGGAACTAGCACACCGCTCCACATGCAAACAGTAAAGTCTGCCTGGCCTGGCGAATATCCATCCATCCGGACGTGCCAGTGGCTCCTCAATTCTCCCGCCAAAAAGGGTAGGGTTGCGCTCCAGCGGAGCTCGCCGTGACGGTTTAGGCGGGACCCTGCATGAAGTCTTCGAACTTGCCTCTCCCTCTTCCGCTCCTCCATTAGCAGCCCTACCCTCACTATGCCCACCCACCACTCTCCGGCCCTGTTGAATTCCTGTATTGGCGGGGAACTCCACTTATACAACATCCTTACTGACATTATTCCACTCCTCATGCTTTATTGACGCTGGATTCATCAGTTTAATCATTTCTTCTTTCTCACTGCCAGAACCGATGTCAAACCGACGCCATTTTCCTTTTCCGGAATGGAACGATGAGGCAATTTTTTATTCCTATGATTACACGACCTATCCATAGACAAGTGTTGTTGAGTCTATCTTTGACCCCGAATATCGACTTCCGCTAATCTTCCATGAGATATACTATAATGACTGTACTGCCACTTGTATCCCTGTCACATGAAGTAGAACAAGTGAGATTGATTTTCACTGGTACCTTTGCAGTATGTAGTTACCATGTTGATCGATCTCCATTGTTCGTGTTCGTTTTACCCTTAATAACCGATGACTGGTGCAACTTTCCAATCCTGAACACTAGTTACCAGTCTACTAATATTCCACTGCTATTATTATACTGCCAGAACTAAACGTCTAACAAGCAGCTGGTATTCTGCTTTTGGATCTCCTCGCAGTACTTTGCTCACTAATTTATGATTATCGTTTTAGGTGTCTATATTAGATTAGAGATGAAATCTGATAGCAAAGGCAATTAGTTCCACATGTATATGTCTCAATTGTGGAAGTTTCATTTAAGTCGACAGTGTCACGTGCTGCTGACGGGCAAAAAATGGGAACCACTTGCTACTGAGAGCATATTGCTGGTTTTATTGGTTTATTGGTTCAGATCCTGAATTTCTCACAGTGAATGTGACATGTCGTTGCTGTATCCAAGGGAATCTAATTCATTTGGTGTCGGTTCACTGGAGTTAGTTAGTAGTTACAGGATGCAAGATATGCGCATTAGTATATATATGTTCAAGGAACTTTAGTCATGCGCCGTTTCGAACGAATTATTGGATATGTGGTAACGCCGACAGCAGAGCAATGGATTTATGCAATTCACACGTAGATAATTGAACCATTTCTTTTTTTGTCAGTCTTCATGAAGTTTCTTAAACCTTCGGTACTTCCTTTTGTTTGAAATATTTGAAGATGAAAACATTCTCTTCTTGTCCAAGTTCCTGTGAAATCCTACTAAACTTCTGGCATTATTTTGGCCCATTAAACTATCGAATCAATGAACAATGTCAAAAATCCTGAAGCACCATTAATTCGAGAAAGTAGTGGCATCAGCCACGTGAACAGCAGGCCTTCTCGACTGTCTCACAAGTGCAGCATTAGCGCAATGGTACCCGGAGGTACGACAGGTTCCGTTTGTACAACCACTTCACTGCTGTCCGTGGAGTTGGGTGCACGAGTGTTGCACAATGGTTCAGTCAGAGTGTCGAGTCGTTTGGTGCTTTAAGTATTGGAAGTGTTTGCAGTTTCGTTAGTTCGCTCATTCTCTTTTTCTGGGTTGGGATTTTTCCTCTTCTGGAGTTTTTTGGTTTTGTCTGGAATTCCCAGTTTCTGTTTCGAGTGATTGGAGAACTGAAAGGAAAAAGTAGTGCTTCATTTGAAGTGGTTTTGAATTATAGTTGTGAAGGACTCGGGTTCGGTTGAAGTTCATGGGACATCTTACAATCGTTAATCTTTTATCACTACTTTCGTGAGAGTGGTCGAGAACTGTTTAACATGACGGGTGATGAGTTACAAGAACAAGAGACCTTGCGAAATAATTATTTCTTATCTTCTTAGGTTTATTGTTCTTGGTTCTTTCTTCCTTTTCAGATGGATTTGGAACTTGGGGATAATCGGCCTGAGACTTCAACATGCTCAATAGCCCACGGGTTTCTTACTGTGCATCTTTTTTTTTTCACTTTTGATTTTATAAATTTAACTCATCAGAGTCGTATTATGTACCTTCCAGCCTTTCACTATCCATACTTATGTTGAATGTCTGCAGTTAGGAAAGATATAGAAGTGTTATCTCCCTATTTGTCTATCGGTATGGGTATTTCATATGCATATTTCTTTAAATAATGTGCTTATTTATTTATGCCGTTTTTCGTTGTAATCTACTCAATGCTTTGGGTTTTGAAAAACGAAAGTTTTTTTTTTCTCCTTGGAGCATGTTATTAAATAGCAAAATGTGATCTGGTCAGACATGACAACGTCTTTATCAGAAGTTAATTGATGGTGAAAAATTCTGATGGTATTAACTAAATTGCATGAAAAATGAAATTTCCAAGTTTATGTTGGATTTTTAATCATTTCAGCTTAATTTCATATATACTTTTATGCCAATTTTCAATTTGTTCGGTGTTGGGTACTGCCGGAATATCTGTCGCCGTCTGCTTTACAAGTCATTGTTTAAGCTGAATAATAGAGTGAACAGTGTTGATTGTCTAGTTGACACGTAAGTTTGTGTCAGTTTGAAAGATACATTGAAAAAACATATATAATACGGTCAATACATAAATATATTTTTATGATGAGATGCTTAAGGTCCTTTTCTGATCATATTTTTGTATGAATTTGATGGAAAAGCGTGGATCGACTTGTCAATTAAAATTAAATTAAAGATTGGACAAATTGGCACATTTTCAGTAGTTGATTGTATTTCAGTTGTGGAAGTGGTTTCAGTCTAAAAACGGCATCCGTTATTGGTTTATTATTTGGAACTTTTCATTTGTCTTTGATGCGCTCTTTGGATGAACAGTATAAGTAATCATTTATTTTGTGATATATTTAGTGAGATATTGAGGTACGGATGAAAGAGTATTATCCACTGTAGCTTTATTTCAGTCGTGGAAGTCACTTCACGCTGAAACAATTAATTGACCTATTCTTGCTTTTGAAGATGTTTTTAGTGCTGATGTAATATGCAATGGGAGAACCAATTTGGTGAGAACCTATCAACACCCCAAACTCGTTAAACAATTTTCAGAAGTGCCAGAAAATCACAAAGAGAGTTATGTAGCACGAGTTTTGAAAAAAAGTTACTTTTTTGAAAATTTATTGTATGTCTATTGTATATTATTTTCATATTACATTTAGATAAGCTGCTTTTCGATGATGTTTACAGACACGTATTTTCTTTTCATACGTATTTTATTTTTTCAAATTACATATTGAAGTTGCTGTCATGTAAAAATCAAATAATTGCAAACGTTTTCAGCAGTGGAGCGGTCACTGTTATTGTTGATAATGAGTGCTACAGCAAAAGTAAAACTTGCTTTGACCTATTATAATAGTGGTTATCATTTATCAAACGAAGCAGACCACACTACGAGGTGTACTGTAAGTTTGTAATTTTGAAGGTATATTTTTCCGCTGTTTGGAAGGCTACTGTCTTTCATTAGATGGAGAGAGTGTTTTTAGATATAAAGAATGTCATTACTATTAAGAAATGGTCTGCAGGATTTTGTTGATGAGCAAAGAGAAGAGAAGAGAAATATTGCCTTAGATAATCTGGTAAAAAATGCCGATGCACGAAAAGAATTGAATAAGATAATCAGAGTGAGTCAGTTTTTAAATTTTACAATTGTTGGTTGCGGAGATCTGTTATCGAACTGGAGAAGACTTTCGTATGTATTTGTAACAGATTAGTAAGGTTAGCAGGGAAAGAATCGTTTGCGAATTCAGCAAAGAAATTAAAGCAGAGCAATGCAAATTATTAGAACGTTTTAGCATATGCCAAACACTGACTTAAAATTTCTGCAAATCATAATATAGGCTGAATATAACAAGTGCCTTTTAAATTATTTCAATGCTTGGTAAATGTTTTCATTACAGTTTTTAGTAGGACACCATCACTTTCAATTTTAGAGCAAGGGTAAGAAGACCGGAAATTTAGGATTGGAACTTTTGGAGAGTTATGAAGTAATAAAGACTAATAAAGGGATAATATTAGTAGAAATTCCGCTCTTCATCTTTCTTTCTCTTTTGTTTTCATTTATAATAGTTTGTTCCATAATTCTTTATTTTTCAGATAGCTAATATTGGACGTGGAGAAAAAGAAATTGAAGATCATCCATTATTTACTGTTGCGGAATCGACAGCATATTATTTGATGAGGCAAATGGATTATGTTGAAGCTTAAAACCAAAGTTTTTTATTTTTTTTGTAGAAAGGAGAAAGTGTTTCATTACCAGATACCGTTTCTTTTTATTTCGGTGTTCAGTGTCTTGATTTATTACTCTGTTGAATGTGTCAAAGATCCCTGGATTATTTTGTTTCATATTTCATTCGTTCGTTTGTTAAATGATGCATGAGTTTTCATTAGTTTGTAAAGCGTGATTAAATTTCGAAAAAAGAAGTGTAGTGCACCTTTTTTTCACAGATCGTTAAAGACGTTTAGCAACAATTTTTTGTGCTAAATAATTGAGTCGGTCATTTTTTCATAACAGTGATGTTTGTTTTATAAAAATGAGAAGCACACAATGGAGCTCTTACACTCTTCTTCATGGTAGTGTCAATAATTTAAAACTAAGTGGATTAAAAGTGGAAATGGTAGGAAGTTTTATGCGATAGCAGTGAAGATTTAACTTGAGGTATGAAGGGAGATTTCATCAAGAATTGTGGATAATAGTTTGTAGTATGGATGATCTTATGTTACTGAAAGAGATGCAACCGTGTCTGGGGCAACCGTCGTGTGGTGCAATAGCATTGGTTCAGCTTCGTAATGCATCTTCTCTGGTAGTTACTTTATTTTAACGAAAATGTCATTCTGTATTTAATGTGTTGTACGAAATTTCGTTTGTTAATCCACGAAGACTTTAGAAGATTTATGGTGATCAATTGACGATTGTATTTAATTTTAATGCAATCATGCATTACTTCCTAATCTGTCTGCTAAATGCTTGACATAATGGAATAATTTGTAATAAACAGCACTAATCATCCATAGCTGCACAACTTTTTATGACCTTGCTCTTCAAAGTTTTTAACTTGAACTTAAAGGGTAACAGTTTGTGTTCGACAAATATCGAAGTTGTTTGTAGAAGATATGTTTAGGAGGTTCTGCGAGACGGTATGTCAAGACTAAAGTAATCGTTTCAAGAGTTTTCCAATTTGTTTTCTCATTATTGTTAAAATGTCATCATTTAGTATATATTTGCATGTGTTCTTATGCTGATTAAATGGATTACGAAGTTTCTAAGTCAACAGAACGAATTCCATTGTTTTTGTATCGAATGCTAAAGAACCGATTGAATTTAAATTTGAGTGGTCTTGTTAATTACATCGGTTTTGTGGTCGCACTTTTATGTGGCTTCATTTTTGGGAAGTAAGTTCCATCATTTGTAATTTTTATTGAATCTCGCGTTGGCAATGGGAGGATTAGCTATTTCAGGTATATGCAGGAGTTGCATGAGACGAAACTCTGGTTTTCGCATATCCGGCAAGTTGAACAAGAGATATCATTGAGGACAGAAGCTGGTCTTTACTATTCCTATTATAAGTTTGCCGTTCATCCAGAGATATCATTTAATAGCATAATTTATGCGTTGGTGCATGATAACAGGTAAGTATATTAATTCATTAGGTGTGTGCTAGATCTGCAAAGGCGTTCTAATAGGTTAGGAAACAGTGAATACTAAAACATAATTTCAAGACATCTGGTGAATAGATTGCTGATTACTTAATTTCAGCACTGAATTCCCTCGTCAAATTAACGTATTCAAGCGATTCAACATTTATCAAGAGTTGATTCTCGCTGTTTTATATAAATTCTTTGCATCTTTCCGATTGTTTCGAGACTACTATTTGCCGAAACCAATCCTATTTTATGTCTATTCATGCTTTACCTTTGCCGGATTTGGTGTGACAACATTATTTCTTCTTGCTTGGGCTCTAACAGGAAGGCATATCATTTTGTTTCATTTACTTTAATGATTTCGTTTTTTTTTTTTCTTGAGATTTCGAAAACATCCAACCAATTCAACTGAAAACTTTTTAGCTGGCTATATGGATTGCTTGTTTTCACATGGATGCTTACAAACATCGATGATAGCACTCGAGTTTTCTTCACTGTTAATTTGCGAGAAATTTTTGCATTGCCATTTTTTTGGTTGCAAAATGCCTGCATTGTTATCGTGCTGCGACTCTCTGATGTTGCTTGCAAGAAATATTACTTCATCTTTTTCTTTTCCACCTTCTTATTTGCTCTATTTTGGCAATTTACTCAGGTAGAAAAGTTTTCTCTTTCGTACTTATTTACATGCCGAGACCGGTTCCTGGCGTTAATCTTGATGTTAATGCCGAAATATGGAAGGTAGTTTCTAGGACTAATGCAAGGTTGAGAGGGTGATATATTATAAAAGCTCAATAAAATCATTAAGAGAAGAAATTGCAATTGAAGGAAGAGATTAAGTAATGATTGATGTTTGAAAGCTCTATGAATGATGTTTGAAAGCTCTACTGCTTGATTAGATGCTGAGGTGAGGTGAGACTTCTTCATTACAATTCTTATTGTTGGCTCTATGCTTCTCCACCACTACATTATAATTAAGTAAGCATCTTAAATTTTGAAGAGAATATTTTTTTGGTGCCGACAATATCACAACAATTACAGTTCATCTTAGTGCTGCAGTCGATATCTATGGTTGCAATGAGTCTGATTATACCTCGTCTGTCATCCACCATTATTTCATTTCTCTTGCTCCAATCACAAGCATTTTTCCTGGTTATATTAGCGCAATTTGGCCAGCCAATGAATATTGCTTCCATTTGCACAACCTTTAATTTAAGCTCCATTGTTATCCTTCATTTAACAACCAACATGAAAAGGTTTGTTGTACGTTATCATCCTTTTGCTGGCAGAGAGAATGGTACTGAAAACAGTCATGTTTTTTAACATGCTTATTTTCAATAAGTTTTCTTTCATTTTATGACAAAATTACAGCAATCGAGTGAGTATAATATTTCTGAAGTCAGTTTATATCGTTGTATTAACACTGTTGCTAAGCTGGTTGATTCGTTATCTTGTGGGTGCTGAATCTGACACCCATATATGGACTTTTGTAAAAGCTAAAATTGGTTTAATTTCCAGGTAGTTACATTCTTTGGTATTTGATAAGTATTTCTGTTTGCTTTATTCCGTGCTTACGATAAATTCGTTTTTGATAAAGACAAGTAAACAAAACATAATTATATAGGAAGAATTTGATATAAAGGAGGCCGAGAAATGATAACAAAGTTGCCAATTAATTGAGTTCGAATACTTTGATAATATTGCATAAGTGCAAAAAATATTGCAATATTAGTAATTTCATAAATCTCTTCATGCAGTATCATTTATTCTGGTTTTAACACTTAGCAGTTATCTTGCTTTCCATTAATTTTAAGTTGAATGGAAGGGGAAGAAAGAACGTTCAATTTAGGAGTCACATGAAATATAAAGATAGTAGTCTTAGAAATGCAAAAACACGCGGACTTTTATTTTTTTGTCCAGTACTGCTTGTTTTGAACATTTACCCTTATTTAGGTCCTCAGTACCCTTCGAAACTGCCTTATATTTGTGTCACGGAGCTTTCGCTTATCTGGATGGTGACTTTTTTCGACGAACATCGCTGAATGGTTGTTTTCCGTTGTTCATAGCGGCAATACTTATTGTTACCCTAACGACGATATATTCACTTACTCTGCAGTACTGCGATCAAGAATCTGGTACTGTCTTTATTGGTTTAAATAGGATGATGTTTTATTTTTGCTGTGATTTGCATATATTCTTGCAGCGCCTGCATTTATTGATCATTTTACACCGGAAACAATTTTTATCGTTATTCAGTCAATGTTATGTGGAATAGTTGCTGTTTTTACTCTCCGAATGAAGTACCTTTGGTTCCCACAAATTGCCCTTGTTGCCTGCATATTACCTGTGTTGTAAGTAAATCTTCATTCTGGTCCATTTATTTACAATGTCATTGTGCGTGCTCTGTACGGTAAGTGTTGCTAAGGGCTGTATTTTGCACAGCTATGAAATGCGTAATGAATTGCAGTTGTTTAAAGAAATATTAGAAGTTCGAAAATGTGAAATAATAGAAAAAGTAGCGTGCAAGCAATAAATGCGAATATTGAACAGTTATTTTACTAGGTGATGAAAATATAGAATGAGGTCTGTACTTCTTTAGGATTTCGAAATACTCGGGGCGATTTATTGTTGAGATGGTAGTAACAGCTACAATCACAACTCTGTTGTGCAGTCATTATGGTGTTTATAAGGAACAGTTGGCAAATGAACAGGTATAGATCACAAGTTTGTTTATGCATATTTCTTGCAACCATTCTCATTTTATCTTTGTTTCCGAACTATTTGCATTGAGAACTGAGCTGAGAGCTACGACCAAAAGTACTAATTCAGGAATTTTATGATCCCGACACTGTCGCGTTAATGGAATGGATCAAAAGGTCAACGCAACCTTTAACTTCATGGTCAGGAAGTATGCAATTGATGGCTGGAGTGAAAGCTTGCACGGGAAGATATTTGGCTAATCATCCACATTTTGAAGATAAGTGGTTGCGTGATCGGACATTACAACTTTACCAGGTTAAGTATTGTAACGAATCTCATGTAAAGTTCTGGATGATATTGCTGTTATCTCGACAAATTGAATAATATAGAAAAATAGTCATGGATGATAAGCAAATTGATTTCTTATTAGGTCTTAATTTTTGGATAGCCAAAGAACAGCTGATTGATCAGACATCTTTGCTGTAAATCTTTTCTCAGATGTATGGTCGAAAAACACTCACCGAAATGCATGAAATTTTGACAGCTCATAAAGTAGATTATATCATATTGGAAGACAGTATATGTCTGGCTCCCTCAACAGGATGCTCAACAAAAGATCTGGTGGATGCTGCTAATGGTGATACGCCAGAATACGTCATGCAAAAAGGTGTAATTATGGATATGAATTACGAAAAAATTGTTACACCATTTTGTAGATTTGAGTGTATTTTCCAATAATCTACGCAAACTTAAATGGAGAAAAAAAAATCCTGAGAGACTATTTAGTCCGTAAATCTAACATAGAATGGAAGTAAGCGCATTGTACTATGTAGTTCCTAAAATCAAAAGGAAACTTATAAGAGAGTCAG